GATCGTGCCCTCAACCGGTTTAGATTGGGATTTGTTAGCCAGCAGTCACATGGCAAGAGGGGAAGTTAACTTTGTAGTCTCCATATTGGAGCCACTCAATTTCGTATCTGCGTGTTCAATACGTACTACTACTCTCTAGTATACGTGACTATAGTACAATATATTAAAGCAGAGACGGCGTCGGAGGGTCTAGCCATTCATCGTCAGTCTCTTCATCCAAGGGTGGTTCCCAGAAGAGGTTAAACTCCGTCCCAACAACCATATGAGGAATGTCAAACGTCAAATGTCCTCGTATGAAGAGCGCGTGTCCATCACTGGAGAAGCATTTAGTAGTAGTAGTGTTCATCGACTCCCAGTGGGACATTATATGCCTCAATTTATTTCGTAGTAGTATATGGTATCTTAGACCCCAATAGTTAGTAACAATCATCACTCATAGCCAGAAACACTGATCCACCAGCCACACTCGCCCACGTAATAGCAATAAAGTCTACCTTGCCTCCTGGACCTCCTGGATCGTAAGCTTCACCCCCTCAATAACCACTCCCCACTCGACCTCATGCACCTTCTGCTCAAATCTATGCAGATCTTCATCCTCCCCCTTCACAAACGGAATCTCTCTGACCAAAATGGGCTGCCCCATATCCACCTCCGAAATGACCTTATGAATCATAACACCCGTCTTATCGATTTTCCCTTCCAACCAAGCAGCATGCGCACGCTCGATAGCGTTCTATTTCACCCACCCATCCCAGAATTACGTCAGCATGATTTCTTCTTGCCCACGGATGAATTTTAGAGGCACAAGTTAAAAGAGAAGGACGTAAGAAAACAAACAATAAACATACCGCCCCATTAAACGCTCCGGGCAAAGCCGGATGCAGATTAATGATATTAATCTTAGCTTCCTCCAACGGCTCCAAGAACCTCGGAGACAAAACATGCATGAATCCCAAACAAGCCACCATTTCCGGCTTATCAGCCAGTACCAATCGGGCCAATTCGGCGTCGTATTCTTCCCGCGCCGCCTGGATGCCCTCCGGTGTAGCAGGGTGCTGTTTCTTGTATTTCACCAAGTTGTGGTATTGCGTGGGGATGTTGGCCTGTCGAGCCCGCTCGAGACCATACGCATTCTGGCGATTGGAGATGACGCGCACGATCTGCGTCGAGAGTTGTCCTTGCTGCGTCTTGTCTATCACTGCTTGGAGGTTGGAGCCATTGCCGGATATGAGAACGGTAAGGCGCACGGGTGTGTCCATATTGGCCTTTCTAATATTTTTGTTCTTTCTGTTGATTGGGAGAGGGGGGCGTTATTTTGGAAAAGGATTGAGGGACTAGGATCGGTGGTGTTCTGGTCTTGTAGCGGGGTAGGTCGGAAAATTTCTGGAGTGGGTTCTTTTGTTTTTCCCTAGCTGTAGAGGATCAGCAAGCTTCACCCAATTGATCCCACGGTGAGGGGTAAATTTCGCGCATCAGGCACGCAGGGTGTCTTACCAATGGCGCGGAGTTTAGGCCTACGAGAATCAGACTTCAAAGCACATCCCAAGTGCGTAATGAGCCAGTGGATGGCAGGAGACGCGGGGTGATGAGCTGCGGTGGGCTGAGTCAGCCGAGGGGCGGAGATGCGGGACTCTCGCCGGGGTTGGGCTCCGCTCCGCCAGTACAAGTCGGCGTTTTGTTGGCCCAAGCTCATGTCTGGTCTTTACTCAGATTTTAACAACAGATAGATATCTTTCACTTTCAATAACAGGCTGTATTCAACTAATATGTACCAAATTAACTGCTATTCCCGTGACTGCCAGGCCCAGAAACCCCTGCTACCAATGCGCAATCGCCCAAGAGCCGTAGCTCAACCAGAGAGGGGAATAATACAAAAGGAATGAGACCAGTAGACGAGAACTCAAAGACTGAAGTTTTGTCACAGGAACCAGATATCATGGACTCATGTAGGTCCTGTAAGTAGGGCAGACTGCGGTGAGCCACAGAATTGCAACCACTCTAACATTGCCTCACGCGTCAGCTGTTAGACTTCCTTGAGAACCCATCTTCCACGGGCCATGACCAGAAAAGACCACTTGCTTAAGACAACAAGAAACAGAAAGAATTTCGCCGTGCCTGCCATCCGTAGTGTGGGAAATAAACCAGTAAAAGACGTTCGTTAGGGTATGAGATAAGACGCTTCATGCTAAGCTTCAAATAAGTCAAGTTTATGTAGAAAGATGATGAATCGAAAGAGAATAACTAGCGTAGCGCATGTCCACATAGTTACGCTGCTGCTGCGCTAGGTGCATCTGGAGTGGGTTGGTTATTCGACGTCTCAGCCACACCCTGGCCTCGGCAAAGTGGGCATGAATTACGGCCCGTGGTCAACCACTAGCATAATGTCAGTTGAGTGCCAAAACATCCGCGGAGATATATGCACAAACCTGATCAATGCAATCCCGGTGGAAAAGATGCTTGCACTTGGTCAGTTGCCGAAGCTCCTCTGCCGCCTCGTAGTCACTGAGACAAATCAAGCACCGCTCGCCTTCGGGAAGTTGGATGGCGCCAGCACCTTCCAAAGCTTCTGCAACTAGCGAGCCGGCATACTCTACAAGGCGGAACAGTCCACCGGCCGTAGAGAGATCTTCCTGGGTCGCAACAGGTGGCTTGACAGGCCCGAGCAGAGATGAGAGCAAGATCATGTCTTCGTACGTTGGATTCTAAAGACCCTATTAGCCACAAAAACGTACCAAACAGAGAAAGAGGCTGGGGAGGAAAACGATTTTAGACTTGGGATTTCTTACATCAGTGAACAGACTTGGCGTTGCAAAGGCAGGGTGATTCTCTGAAAGATTGGTTCCGACAACGTAGATCAGCCAGCTTCTTCCGGTAGGGGGTGCAGCATTGTCAGGTTCCACAACGCCGTTACGCCTGACGGCACCGGACCCTAGGTCACGATGGCGCGCATATTCCGAATCACTGCGACGTCGCTGGCGCGTATTCGGGGGGATACCGTCTTCAGTAGGCTCAACGGTGGGCTGCATCGGTCGATTGGTGTCAATGGGGGGTAGGGTGCTTGGTGACATGGCCGAAGCAGTCGAAGGTCTCCGACTAGGAGTGGACGCGCTAGATGACACGGCCGATAATCCCGGCTCGGCTGGCGTCGAAGGAGGAGGATGGGGGCCTGGAGGACTTTCCGAAAGCACCGAAGGGGCTGCAGACAGTGAGCCTAATGGGACCCGGGTGCCCGCGTCAGACAGCCGCCGCAGTGGGGTTGGTCCTCCTTGTGAAGAAATGTCACTACCCGTGGGAAGTCCGCTAGGATGCTGCTCGCCCTGGAGCCGGATAGGTGGAAGCCTGGGCCGCCCATCTGGACGTGGTGGAAAGCCAGAGCCGTTCTCGTGATTGCGTGCTAGACTCCCCGGCGTTAGGAACGGCAAGCGAAGCAAGGCATCCAGTCCAGTTCCTGGATTAGCTGGCTGATCGCCGCTAGGCCCATTTCCGGAAGGGACCGATCGTACTCCAACCACCACGAGCGTAACAGTACGTCCCTCAGGTCCATCAGTAGGGTTGTCCACATCCATTCCGTTGCCGTTGCTGTCGGTGTTCTCAGCGTTTGTCGTTGGACGATTCAATGGACCACCGGGTCGAGTACCGTCAGAATTGGCAAAGCGGAAGACTCTGAGGAAATTAACCGGAGTCGGAGGACTGTTGTCGCCTGCCGCACTCTCTCCCTCGTTGGGAGCCGTCTGGGTGGACGTGGCGTGCTGTAAGCTCTGTATGAAATTATCCAACGAACCATCAAGGCCATCATTGCCCAGAGCCTGGATGTTGGGCATTACGGGACCAGCTGTGCCAGAAAGTTGAGCGGCAATGGCGGCAGCGGCCAGCTGAAGGACACGCGACAAAGGAGTCTGTTCCTCTCGACGCATAGCTCGAGACGGTCTTGCTCGCAGCAATCCCGGGAGTTGCCGTAAGCCAGGTGGGCCTTGTGCAGACTGCGATGACATGGGCGAGGTAGGACGAGTACTGCCTACAGCAGGTTCCACCGAATCAAGCTCATGGGGCTCATCGAAGTCCATCTGGCTATCCATTGACCTTGTATAAGGAAGAAAGCCGTCAGTGTCCTCACTAGAGACTGGATCCAGGGGTGGTTGTGGGATTGGTCCTGATTCTTGAGCCGATGCGTTCGGAAAAGATTGGCCGAACATGTGGCCAATGGGTCCTGACAGAGAATTCCGGACACGATGCAGCCGAGCACTGCGGCGCCATGAGCTTCGCGTAGGTTCTGGAGCGATCTCCGTGGTAGGGTCGAGGAATGAGCCGGAACGAGCGGGATCTGACGAGAGAGTTGGTTCATTGCGGGGGATGAAGTACGGCCCACGTAAAGAGCGTCGCCTAGAGACGCTTCTCGAGCTGAGGGAATTGAACGGGCTAAAACGAGCGCTGGTATGCGTGGCTTCCGATCTTGGAATCGACCTTGACACGATACCATGGCGATGGGCGTGGCCTTCTGCTGGTGTTTCTTCTTCGCTGCTCAGCAAGCCACGGATCACCGAATTAGGAAGGATCCTGGAACCCAATCGCGACATGGTTGACTGTCTTCTCGCAGCCATTCGGGCAAAGATGTCCGAGCGATATTCCCGCTGGCCCGGCTCATATTGCGCGTCGTTCTCCTCTTGTATTGTTCTCATATGTCGTTGTTCGTCACCTGAAATATTGGGATGCCATATCTCGGCAGAAGGGTCGAGATGAACGGGGGCTCCTAAAGCTGTTGGAGTGTTGTGATGGTCTGTCTCTGTTCCCGACCGGGGTTGGTGTTCCCCAGTCTGCTCCGTGTTGTAGCTGTTATTCATTGCTTCATCCCTGTTTCTGCGGACACGGATCGCGTGGAAAGTGGGAAAGTGCTCTGGAGGGGTACTGTGACGACGATTTCGTTGCGTAGAGGAAGACTGTCCCATAGTAACAATAACGCAAGGACGTGGCGATGGGAGTCTATAAGCCGCCTATTGCCATCGAACGGTGGATGACTAAAGGTACAACCAGCATTAGTAAGATGGCAGACACAGCAGTGACTCACTTCAGGCACAGTCCGATGGGCAGAAGTGAAGGCAGGGAAATCGCGACCACGAACAAGTAGTGAAGTGGTGGCCGATAAGACAGCTCTTGCAGGCAATACACTCAGGCAACGCCACTAAGAAGGGTCCCGACTCCTGAGGACCCTGGAATTGATCCTGATAGTTTCAGGCGGTACGTACCATTGGGCAGTCTTCAGTGAAATGACATAAATTCAATCCTTGGGCGAAATTATGGTTCTCGGTCTGCAATTCAAGGTCCAGATGTGTTACTGCAGGCGGGCGTTGGGAAGTGAACGTGCCTGATCGCACCGTGTTGGTAGGCCGTTCGGAGTCCAGGCGGCTGCGAACGAGCGTTGGGCAAAGGCGGAAACTGAGAGGTCGGCAGGGTGAAGAAGAGCAATTTCCCCGGCTAAGAAAGTCCTAAAAGGCGTGGGAAACTATCTGGAAGCCAGCCAGCAGGTGCCGATTCCTATTTAAGGGAGCCACAAAGGGAAGGACGTGTAGTGGGATTAAATGCCGTACGACATTCGGGGGGAAGCGACCCCACGACTTAACCGGAGGCTACCGTAGTTATTGCAGCTTAGAGACGGGTAAGTATGGGAGTTGTTGGCGAGACAGTTGTCCGCCAATGAACGTGAATGCCAGGGTGAGAGAAATATGAAGAAGTGAAGAGAAGCCCTGGGGGGCTCTGAGAGATGATGGAGCACGAAGGGAGCGCCCCGAGGTTGAGGGAGATGACGATGATGGAGAGGAGATGATGAATGATAACAGTTGGTTTCGGTTTGGCTGCTGGTCGGGCGGTTTTGGTTTTGGTTTCGGCTTGGCTTGGTTTTGCTTACTTGACCTACAGTCCGTCCCATCTCGGCCTAGTCCCTTCACGGGGGGTCTTGCACATTAGCTTCTGATTGGCCTTATTCTTTAAGGCGATCTTGCCTGTGACTCCAACTGTCACTGAAACGGCTTAGTGGCCCGGCGGTTTCGGCGGTTTCGCCCTCCTGGATGCCGATCTAGTGGTTTCTACAAATGGACTAGCGCCCAACGTGTTCCAGGCGGCATGATTTGTGGCACTGCTGATTGGACAACAAGGCTCGAGTTTATTGCCTCAGGTGTCTTTGTGCATCTGCTCCCATTTTTGGACTTCTCTAGACATGTACTGCGGGCCTACTTTACTTCCGATTCTATCCATTCTTTTCGATCGATGATCGTCAGTGATACAGAGTACTGATAGAGTACTAGTGGATGCCGTTCCTATAAACAAGACAGTGAATACGCTCAAACTACTCGTCCCCATCACCTTTCATGTGGTGATCCCTGCTGTCAAGGCCCACGGGACCTTCCCCCGTACCTCAATAGTCGTCCTCTTCTGGAATAGGCCGTCGGCATTTTAATCATCCGTGCCTCTATGGCATCTGTTCCTGCAGCGTCTGTCTTTTCTTTGCCCCTAGCCCCATGGCAACAACCTTCTAGTGTGCGCGTGGCTCAGTACGAGCCTAGGAAGCGCAAGAAGGATCTCAACGACTGGGGGGACGATGATGACGATGTTGATGGCGACACAACAGATGCGGCATCAGAGGCAGCTGCTTCTGGTCCGTCCCTCATCCTCTCCCCGGATGAAGCCCACCAATATCGCATTGCTGGCCTTTCCTTTGACCAAGAACTGCCCGGGGGCAATTTCCCACATGCCCCGGTTAAAGATCAACCGACCCGTCGGCAGACACGAAATCAGGTCCTGAAAGAATTGACGTCATTGTCGTCTCCCATTTATCCTCCCCAGTCTGCAGCTCATCAAGGGAATCTTCGTCTTCAGCATCTGGCTGTGCTATCCTCCATCTTGCACCGTTGCCTACTTCAGAAAGACTTCGTTCGAGCGGGCAGGGCCTGGGGGTTAATCCTCCGTGAAGAAGTTGGGGGCACCCCAATCGACGTTCGCACTGAAGGGAGATGGGGCATTGGCGCAGAAATCCTGCTCCGACGTGACTGTCAGGTCTCGGACATGACTCCTGATAATGCGCAGGAAAGTGAGGCAGAGCCGTCTGAGGCACCGTTTTCCAAATTATTATTCACAAGGCAGGGGTTTGAAAAGGCCAAACAGTATTACGAGACGCTCATCATTCAGCATCCATACCGAAAAGCTGCACCTGACGCTATAAGCTCTCTACACTTCTATCCTGCCATGTTTGGACTATGGGTGTATGTCACCCAAGAGGAGAGCAACGTTTCTCGACAAAAATTATGGGACGCCCATGGTGCTTCCCCTGATGACTCGGAAGAAGAAGATTCTGCGCCCGATATGCAACACCATTCTAGCTCACGACAGAATACGCATGCGATGGTTGCCAGTGTTAGGAAGAGTGAACTGGAACAGGCCCAGAAGATCGCAGCTAGGATGGATGAGATTCTCGGATCCCCTCCGTACTCCGACTCCCCGGAGTTGCTGGAGCTCCGCGGAATGATATCTCTCTGGATCGCTGATCTCTTCGTCTCATCACTGCCATATGCGCGGACAGAGGGAGATCTGGATGGTTACGATTCGGATGAGACCGGTTCGTCATCCGCGGAAGATCTCCAAGACTCACTTCAAGAGCGGCGAGAACGCCGTCTTGCAGTTGAGAGGAAGGAATATGAGGTCCAAAAATCGCAGGATTACTTTGAAAAAGCCAAACATCGTGGCAAGGGAGTCACCTCTACGTTTGGAGACCTGCATATAGATGATGATGCTTCATTTGGGTATGCGGATTAACGTGACATGATCATGCGAAGATGTATGCATTTATTGTACCAGCACGATGATAACACAAGAATAAACATGAAACCAAATTATGATCTCTCTCACCCGTAAGGATAATCCATCGACTCCTCTCTCATTACTTTAGTTCAATTTTGAGGAATAGTTGAAACTGGTAGTATTGACGCCCGTCAGTCACACGTGACCTCGTGTGGATGCCTCGCGCGTGCCTGAAGAATCAACGCGTTTGCCAGTTTCGACCTCCTCACAGCGCCAGCGTTCAATAACCTCACAACCATGATCGGATCCACCCGTTCTAGATAACAATTGTAATTTGCAAGTCATTCACCATCATTCTGGCATATCCGTCAGCCCCTTTCCAACTTGTTGTTTGTTGAATACTACCCTTCCTTCTCCTCACCCCGCTCAGACTCGGGTAACCATGGGAGTGGGCGATTATGTGCATTCGAAAGAGGCTGGCCAGCCTCGACCACGCACAACTGAAGTCTCAAACCAGTCACGGCAGGCTGTAGCCGCACAAGCAAGGATTGACGTCCCTCCAACGAATCTGGTGGCGCCAGTGCCTCTGCCAATCAATAAATCAATTCCCCTGGAGCATTATTCAACACCGGCATTTAGCGAGCAGATGCCTCAGGCGCCCGCGGAAAATGGCGTGCATAGAGATATGTTTGACACCGATGTAGAAGGCATCGACGAGTCGACTATCGCTGCGACAAGTGTCATGGGCGCAGAGGATGCTCCGCTGCAATTCCAATTACGACCCGCCACGGTTCCTCAATATCAAGAGGCAGCGCCAGTAGTGGATGAGAGGCCACTGCATCCGTCTCGATTGCCACGCCGTGCTTACGATGGCAAGTGGTACGAGAATTTCGGAGACAAGGCTATGAAATCAGCTGGTTTCGATTCAGAAGATGCCGATGATGCAAGTCAATTGACTTCCATGGCTGGAGACGATGAGCGATCTGATACAACTGAGGACGCAAACTACGCCCGCAGATACAGGTCCTCCACCGAGGAACCATTAAGCAAACGACTACAGAGCTTCTGGAGTGCCAGCAGGAGATCTTATAAGAATCCAGAACCACAAGCATACCCAGAACCATCGAAGACTGCTGCTTCTGCTGCCCCTCCTCTTCTGCGGCAATCCACATCCGACGCCAGGTTATCAAAACAGGCTCTACCCAACAGGAAAGTCACACTGCCACGCAGCATGACAGCAACCCCACGGACACGATTCAGTCCCCCCAAACCATCCCTCCTAGAACAGTTGGACATAACCCCAACTCGTCGGACCTCAGGACCTCGACCCCAACCCGGCAAAGAACCAGGAATCACGAGCACCACCACCCACCAACACCACCGCCACAACTCTGACGACAATCACCTCTTCAACACCAGCCGCGACAGCCTACCACCCCTAAGCACCTTCGACATGACCAACATCGACGACCTAGATGTCGACGATGACAACGACCCAATCAACGACCCGTTCGCGCGCCGCAACTCCGTCCAACGCATCGTCTCAGACCCCGACTTCCAACCCAACAAGAGCACCATAACCAGCAGTAGCAGCCAAAACAAAAGACGAAACCTCGAATCCGACTATCCACCCGAAATCCTGCGCCAAAAATCCTTCAAGGACCTCCAATCTGAACCCTTCGACCACACCCCAACCGCAACAGCAAGTGCACCCGTCAAAACCACCACGCCAGCCCCAACCCCCGGCCCTAACGCCACCTCCGACGAGAAAATGGATTTCCTAATGAACTCGGAAGACAAAGACCGCCGCGACTTCTTCTCCACCCTTACCATGAACGAATGGGAAGATTACGGTGATCTCCTAATCGACCAATTCAGTGACGCCCTCTCCAAGATGAAAGATCTACGCCATGCAAGACGCAAAACGGCGGCGTTGTTTGAAGCGGAAATCGCTCGGAGGAATGAGGTCGTGGAGGAGCAGTCTGCTGATCTGACGAGGAAATTGGAGGAAATGAGGAGTGGCGGAGCGGAGGTGTTGAAGGGAAGGACGCCTTGATTCGACGTGATTTGATATTTGTTATACGCAAATGAAGTGAGGTGAGATGAGTTGCATATACTTAATGGCCTTGTTCTTTGGGGAAGGCTGTACGCGCTTGTCATATTTATTTTTCTTTTTCTTACACCCCCCCCTCCCACAATTCTTATTGGGTTTGTGACATGTGAGTGTATGGGCTGAATTATGCACTTTACCAACATTTCATCATTGCTCTCATTATTAATGAGTTCAGACTGTATTGATTTGCTTGTTGTTTTTCTCTTTCTCGGGATATTCAAGGTTTATGATAGAGCTTACGTGAGGATGACCAGACCACCTTTCTTACTGTACCATGTCAGTTACTGCTTTTGTTATGTATGGCCCTGCTGATTCTTCCTCATATCAATTAGCAATATCATTATACCCCTCATATATAATCCCATAGCTAATATAGCTTCAAATAAAATCCGCATTTGATTAAACACTAGCACTGCTAGCTATGACTTTGACCCAAATGGCTGCAAATGCAAGACCGGACTGAACCTGCACACTTTGAAACACTGAACACCAGCAGTGGTCTACAATCTCAATGACATAACACACAAAAAAAAACATGAAACGCGAAATCGCCATGAAGAGAAAATGGATACAACGAGAAAGGGAGATAGTATGAACAACCATGTGGGAATCATATGCTTTAGGAAAAGAAAAGGTTGAGAATGATGATAGCGAAGGATTTCAGTCAGGTTCAGGGATTCTGTTTCGATAGCGCTGCTGCAAGGCGCTTGTAGTCGTCCAACAAAACAGATACGTCGGCGATGGTGAGCTCATTGGCGTTCTGCAACTGGAGGAAACGCTGAATAGGCGGGTCGACCCGCTCTACCCGGGGTGGAGCGCTGGGGACGCTTGATGAGGATGTCTCGCGGGAGAGGATCGAGGCCCTGATTCTCTCGGTGGGAGTGTTGGATGATGGCATCGGACCGGGAGTGTCAGGAGTTCCAGGGGCACCACGTCCAAAGTTGCGGATCATACCGGGGATGTGGTTTAGTGGGTTGAGGGTGTTTCCAAAGTTCCGCACCGATTCAAGCGGTGTAGGCGTCTGGGAGGACGCGCTTGCTGGGGAAGCCTGGGGCTCTTCCTTCTGCGGGCCTTGGGAGACTGTTGTTTTCCTGGAGCTGCCCTGAGTCCGTACACTCTCGACACTCCGGTCACGTGGAGTTCTTTGGCCGCTGACCAGCCCTAGGAATGTATCCTCTGCCTTCGATCCGATGCGCCTTAATTGTGGGCGATCAATGGGACGAGACTCTCTTCCTGCATTTTCGTCCTGGTTCAGGCTATGCTCCGTAGATATAGGGTTGGTGACCAGACGTCGAGCATCTGCCAACGTCTTCGGCAGGACCGGATTCCCATCTTTGACAGGGAACTGGTTGGACTGCAACTCTTTGAGGCGGCCAAACAGAAAGTTGAAGCTGCTGTCTAGGGATGCCCCAATGTTCTTGAGGCCCTGGTCGGCAGTGTTACGAACAGCATCATTAGCAGCGCCGAGCACTTTAGCAGGGGGCTGAAAGAGATTGTTCAGCCGCCGTTGTTGAGTGCTCGCCGATGACTGAGGCCTGAGCAAGCTATCCGAAGCTTCTTGACCAGCTGGCTTCGAGAGTTCAGGTGAGGCTGTCACCGGTGTAACCGACGATACTGCTGCTTCCTTGATGGTAGTAGGAGATGGGAGAGAGTCGATCTTGCCGGCCGCAGTTGAATCATCATTGGACGCCTTGGTCTGGCCTTCAAAGGCTTCCTCGCCGCGCAATTCGGACAGATCTACATTCTCAAGAAAGCTAATAGCCGCTTCCAGGTTAGTCAAGCAATATGCGGTTTCACCGTCTATCTTATTTGACGACCTAAACCGTTGAATGAATTGTAGATTGCTTATAACGTTGATCCCCTCAGGAGGGCAAGTGATCAAGGAATAGATCAGAGTGGGCAGTATCTCGTCAGCGGAAGAAGAAGATGGCAGGAGCTTAGTCAAGGCATCAACTATCGCCTTGTGCGCGGCGGCAAGTTGCTGCAGTTTGCCCAAAGGATACTTGTCATCGTTCATCTTTGCCAAGCAGTCTCGTGCAGCAGAAAGGCATTCATCTGCTTCTTTCTGTTTCCCTTCATCAATAGCACTTAGGTCGATTTCGACGCCGAGATCCTTCAGATTAATACCAACTACAGAGAGAGCCGCGGTCTTTGATCGCAATTTCTCGTCCCTGATTTCATCCAGTGTGCTTTTATGGCTCCATAGCTTGTCGTAGATAGTCTCGCAAGCTCTCCGTTCCACAGCTTCTTCCAAAGCAACACGCTTGGTTGCAAGATGCTTTCGCGCAATCCTCCTTTCTGTCACTTCTGATGCTGTCAACATTTGACGGCCATCTGAACCTGTATTACTAGACTTGCCCTGCGCCGCACGGTACGGGGAAGGGTCACGATTTATCCGGGAAGCAAGAGCAGAGATGTGAGTAGCTATGTGTGATTCTGCTCGGACGTAGAATTCTTGGAACCGGCTCGATACTTTCTCGATTGTAGGAGGAGAGGAATGTACCTTGGCAGTAAGAGAGTGGACAAATCTGCCAATATTTAAATCAGCAACACATTACCGGGTGGCGAGAGTAGAGGCCCGACTGTACCTATCTGTCATACTTGCGAGCTCTATAGGTAGTTCTTCCGTGTGACCCAAGCTACCTCGAGAGAGCACCGAGGTCTCCTCACCCTGCTGCGCATCGTCCCCCAAGTCGGCAGAGCCTGGTTTCTCGAACAGGTCAGGGCTGCTATTCCGGTCCTCCTCGGACGTGGACAAGGGTAACGGGAGTGCTTCGGCGTCTACCGACTCTGGTATTGCCACGGACTGAACAGTCTTGGCTCTGGAACGAACGAAAGGGCTGGTCTCGGGAGTGTCCATCCTTGGGAACGAGCGGGCCGTGTGTAGGCGCGGCTTTGCAGCGCCATCGTCGGCAGGATTGGCAGACATGGTTATATTAAGAGAAGTAACAACGAGGGATCAGTGCGACAAATGTTCGGCTTTCAGCTGCTCATATGATCGGCTCATACGAATGCAGTTGTATGGAGCCGGTGCGTATAGATGACACCTGGAACTTTAATCTGGCAACCCCAACCGAACGGACGGGTCAGGGGGGGAGGGCAAGAACTAGATCTGGTTGGGATTAGTTGTCCAAGCCACACATCATGAGCAAACTGCCTCGCAGGCCAGGCTTCAAAGGCGACAGAAATGCAAGAAGAGGAGAGGGAAGTCAACAATCAATACCGTAGTGGCTCATGATTGCGCGGCGGAGTAAGCGTCGGAGAAACCCAAAAGCGGCGGACGTCACGCGCCAATCACGTGTGGCAGTCACGCTTTCTCCGCAATCGGGATTCCCAGATGCGGCTTGTCACGATAAGTGATCTTCGCCTAGCTTGGAGTTTGTTTCTCCTGTATACCCGAGCGAACGTACGAAGCGGTCCGAGTTCCGTCAGACAAAAAAAGGGACTTCTTTGGCGCAACAATCATAATCCATCATTTACATTTGTGAGGGTGTCAAGACAAGCATGAGTGAACGAGGCGTCAATTGAGAGTAAATAGGTATCATATCTATCTAACATTCATCATTCGAGGATGACTATGCACATGGAGCAAGGAACAAGGGCTAAATAAGACAAGGTGAAGAGTATAGTTTACAGACGAGCAGACTTGGAGTGGTCAGCCTTGGCCTCGGTAGCCTTCTCGATGCGGGCACCCAGATCGGGGTTCACACGATGGAACATGCCGTAGGTGGCCTTGCGAACACGCTCGTGGGCGGCGCACAAGTGAGAGGAAACATTGTGGACGAAGTTGTCCTGCTGGCCGGGCTGGCGACCCAAGACCTGCCAAAGACCGTTGGCCTGGACGTAATCCTCATCGGTGACGGGCAGCTGCTCAACAACGACGGAGCCGGCCCACTTCTCGTGCTCCTGGCTAGCCTTCAAGGGCTGGTAGTTGTAAGGACGGAAGGTGGAGGGGTAGTTGGGGTTGGCTCCGTAGTTACCGTGCACGTTCATGTAGCCATCACGGTGCCAGGGGCTGAACGAGCGGAGCGGGCAGTTGACGGGGATCTGCTCGTAGTTGCCGCTCAGACGGTGGCGCTGGGTGTCGGGGTAGGAGAAGAGGCGGGACTGCAGGACTGGGTCGGCAGAGGGCTCGACGCCCGGAACCATGTGCGACGGAGAGAAGGCGGCCTGCTCAACCTCGGCGAAGTAGTTCTCGGGGTTCTTGTTGAGAGTGAGCTTGCCGAAGCGGCGCAGAGGGACCTCACTCTGAGGCCAGACCTTGGTCAGGTCAAAGACGCTCCAGCGGAACTTCTCGGCCTGCTCAGGGCTCAGAACCTGGACATAGCAGGTCCATGAGGGGTTCTCGCCACGCGAAATAGCGTCAAACAAGTCCTGGGTGTGCCAGTCGGGGTTCTCAGCCGCCAGGCGAGTGGCCTCCTCGTTGTTGAAGGTCTTGTTGCCCTGGTCGGTCTTGAGGTGGATCTGGACGTAGTTGAAGGTGCCGTCGGGCTTGATCCACTTGTAAGTGTGGCCGGAGTAGCCGTTCATGTGGCGGTAAGAGTAAGGCGTGCCACGGTCACTGAAGAGGTGCATGACCTGGTGGATGGCCTCCTGGTGGGTGGAAAGGTAGTCCCAGAACATGGTGGCATCCTTGAGGTTGGTCTGGGGGTTGCGCTTCTGGGTGTGGATGAAGATGGGGAACTTGGCGGGGTCACGGAGGAAGAAGACGGGGGTGTTGTTGAAGACCCAGTCCCAGTTACCCTCTTCAGTGTAGAACTTGATAGCGAAGCCACGAGGATCACGCGCGCTGTCCGGAGAGCCCTTCTCACCACCGACGGTGGAGAAGCGAGTGAACAGCTTGGTCTTCTTGCCAATGCCCTTGAGCATGTCGATGACGGTGATGTCGCTAATGTCATCGGTAACCTCGAACTCACCAAAGGCGCCAGCACCCTTGGCGTGAACAACACGCTCTGGGATTCTCTCTCTGTCGAAGTGTGCGAGAAGGTCGATCAGGTGGAAGTCCTGGAGCAGAAGGGGTCCGTTGCGGCCAACGCGCTGAGCAGCCTGGGGGTCCATAACCTGAATGTGTCAGCCTTGTATCCGTAAATTTGATATCGGCGTAGCATACTGGGCAGCCATTGGAGGTAGTGTAGATGGGCTTCTCATTGTAGCGGTAGGTCTCTATAAGACAAATCCAAGTTAGTCTTCATTTCACGCTTCAGAACGAACGGAAAGCCAAAGAAGTATAGACATACTGGGTTGATCGTCCTTGCCCATGGTGACGGTTTGTGATGTGAGCTAATTGAGATTATTGGAGGAGTAGTGAATCGAAGATAGAGACAAGCCGGGGAGAGGAAGGCGTTGTCTGGCGGGCTAAGATAGCTTAATGCGGGGTTCTAGTCGATGAAAGACCTAGCAGTAGTTCGTTGATATGGACAAGGAATTCCTTGGGAGGGATGCGGGGAAAAAAAAAAAGGCCACGGAGTGAGGTCCCGATGGAAGAAGAAGTAATTGCAAGAACTGAAGCAGCAGCAGCAAGGGAAGAAGAGATTATAAGGAAAAGACCAGACGATCCATTGAAAGATTTGAAGGCGGGTGGCTCGTCGCCGAGGGAGGCAGATGGGGAACCCCGTGCCGCAGCAGCCAATGATGATGCCGGGGAAGGTCAACGCGGTGGTTCCACGGAACCGCCTGCCTCGATCAGTCCCGCTGCCTGTCCGATTTCCCGCCGGTTCAGGTACTCCTACTAGGTTACTTCATGACCTTGAGCAATTGATAATTGAGCTCCCTCTTAAAAGCTCATGTCAGGCTGAAGCTATATCAATCCTACTGGCAGCAAGGGGAAGTATCCAGAAATTCGTTCACATATTGACTTTCTCGGAAGCACCAGAACAAACAAAATTCACCCAAAGGAGCTTTCCGATACGCTAATTTACCCCGCACAATTGCACCAATCCGCCAGGGGTGTCCACCAATCAGCACCATCTCGATGTCAGAATGTCGACCAAGTCTAGAAATTCCCCGCGTTTCTCCTTTGGAAAGGACATTGACTAATACTAATCATGTTGAGCATAATGCGGAGGATGACTATATTCTAGATAGTTTACTAAGATAAGTGGTGTGGTGTGGATGGAGATCCTCAACGCGTAACCACCTAGACGAGTACTGAAACGGCCCGAGGTGGGCATGGCAAGCTCCGACAGTCTGCAAAATGCGCTAAGGATCGAGGTTAGTTTATCCGCTAATGATTTGGTTAGCTGTGGTGGTCTGATAATCAACCTTAGTCAACGGACCTGGCCAGAAGTTCCCTGCCTTTCTGCAGACCGCCAGCCCTGCAGGCACTACTACTGGTAGTCCGTCTGGACCTTCCGCGATCCCCATCATAGAAGTGCTATCCGGGCGTAATTCCTGCCTCTTTGGGAAAATGGCTGGCTTTGATTTGCTAATTTTCCGTAAGAGGAAGGCAACCTTGTTTGGCCTTCCTAATCAGGTGATAAGATGCTTTGAGCTGCTGTTCGTTCTCAGTTACCTAATAAAGTTATTAAATGAGTTCTCCCTGATAAAAGTAGTAAGATGTGATCGTGGGGAGTAAAGCGATGATGTTAGGTAGCTTCGAATCCCGAACATTCTTCGGAACATAAGTCTCCCTGAATTACTCTCCGCTCTGAACCTGTCGATTCATCACCGTACAAAATACATGATACAATTGGCCGAGGTAGCCATCCGCCTGTTTCGAGCACCAAATGCGGCTATGATAGTCGGCTTCTCCAGCCGATGTAATGCTCACCCGGTTCTTTGACACTGCGAAAAGTGATATCTCTACCGACAGCTACGTCAGATGCCACGGGGACTTCCCCGCGGAAAGCTCCGCCCTCCGAAGCGGAGCGAGATTCTCCTAGTGGAGTTGAATCCGAGCGGCAGATGCCTCGGAATACCCTCCCGCTCGGTTCCGATCGCGTTCAGGCTTTACGCTTCATGTTCCATACTCATTGTCAAAACGTCAATTTGTTTTACAAGCACGCAACTCATATAGATACAATCCAATCAGTCATTGCAAGCCATATCCAATGGAGCGAAAAGAATGTTAACATCCGCCGATTTCATTACAAAGCATATTCATCAAGTCATGTCATTATCAGCCGGACCTCGCCGCCATCCTTACTTGCGCTCAGCATTCGCACCCGATCTGTCGCCATTGATGCTGCTGAGGATATCTCCAGTCGACTGTCCGACGCCCCGGGTGGTGTTGCCCAGGCCTTCAGTAGCACCGCCGACAGTCTTGCCTAGACCCTGGGTTGCGCCGCCGACAGTCTGTCCGAGTCCACCCACAGTGCTTCCGACGGTGTCTCCGAGTCCGCCCACGGTCTTTCCTAGGGTATCACCGAGACCTCCAACGAGGTTGGCTATATACTTACATATTAGCAACGGGTGTACATGGCATCGAGGTGTGTTGGGATTAGGTACCCAGGGGTGCGAGAACTTCAGAACGCGACCGACTAGTTAAGTCAAAGCACAAACAAGGCGAGAATAGAACATAAGAACAGTGGGTGCGAAGGCCGATATCACTTACGGTTGTCGTTGTTATCGTTGCCAGAAGACATGGTTTCAGTATCGTGCGAGGCAAACTAACCTTCAGCGGAAATAATTCGGAAGAAAGATGATTTTGTCTTTCGAAAGGTCAAGATGATTGTTAAACCAAGCTGATCTTGCAGATGAATCGAACTAATTGCCAACTGTTGCGATAAGTTTTCCTTTTTATATACAAGGTACACAGCACAAGTATCCAATATTCAAAGTCGCCACGGGACGCTCCATCCCCCTATGATATCATCGTGTCCTGAAACCAAGATGGTACCACAACCCGCAACCAATGAACCCGGGAAATCGAAGATTTGATGGATGCAGCTGATGACGCTCATCCGCAAGATGATGAAATAAGGCCCTGGCAGTTATGACAGTGGCGCGGCGACCCCTAGTCTGCGATGCTGGTTGCAATGCCTATTGGCTGTTGTGGGCACCCGCATACGTAGGGAATAGGCGAGTTAATATGATACTTCAACAACACGAGGCCAGATCGCCCTAACCAGATCGAGGGGTTAGGCAGCCATGGGGATTATCTTCCAGCCAACCTAAGCCTTTCGACTCATTTACGCAGCAACCCTTGACCAAGCAGATTTAATTCGGGCAGTTGCAAGTATTGGGACCCATTCCTTCACTCTGGTCCACGCTGGTCGGGATGACTAGTGCTGACCGGTGACAACCAGTAGAGAGATGGTCCATCAGCTCGTCGATTGATGGGATCAGCTTGGATTGACATTGCGCAACATAGCCGTCAATCATCTGTAACTTACGTACGAGCAGAAGAAAGTCCCCAATACCAACTTGAATCAAATAACACCTTAACATCCTCTCTCATAACATGTCCTCCTCACCCTCTACTTCAAAACCCCTGTCACCATCTCCACCCTCAGAGGCCTTGTTCCGACTTAGGACAATGTGGACTGGGACACTCAGGCCCATGACGCTGCAAGCAACATACCAAGGCAACCTCATAAAGTGATCCAGCGTTTGCTAAATACCTCCTAGTATTGTACATAGTCATTACCGCAGTACTGTATGTTTGAGTATGTTAGATTGGGTCTGTATAGATGCATCTAGTATAGAGAAGGTACCTCAATCTAGACTCACGTGATTTATCTATGGCGCAACTTCACTCTTGGTCCAATCAATCAGGGGCTGCAAGCGATCATCAGCAACTATCATGAACTGGAACGCAATCATTTTCTAGGGATGATTGAATCTATCGAGATAGTTGCACCCACAACAACGGCGTCGTCCATGACAGAAGTCACAGCCGACGAACAGCACGCGGCCAGTGTTTCAGGCAATGCAGACAATAATGAATTAGCCGGTTCTACGGGCAGGCCGGCAACTACCTTCGACGCGATAACCGATCATGTCAGCTTGCGTGGAGAATTTGAGTATTCAAGCGGAGCGAAATTCTGGCTCCTCATGCTCACCCTGGCTGCTGTCCTGATTTTAAGCAGCATAGACATGAACATCGTCGCTACAGCCGTGCCTAGCATTACTGACTATTTCCACACTGTTGCAGATGTCGGGTGGTATTCCTCTGCGTTCAGGCTCTGTCAGTGCTCCTTTCAGTTTGTTTTTGGCAAGGCATACAAGCTCTTCTCTATCAAGGCCGTCTTTTTGCTTGCCAATGCCATTTCTATAGCAGGTTCGCTGCTCTGCGGGGCAGCCAGTACGTCGACCATGCTCGTCGTTGGTCGGGCCGTAGCTGGACTAGGATCTGCCGGTCTTCTTTCAGGGTGCTTCGTTATCCTCGTGCAATCCATGCCTTTACACAAACGACCTATGTTCACCGGCATGATGGGTGCCGTCGAAGGCCTGGCTACGCTATCCGCACCACTTCTCGGCGGAGCCATTGTGCAGTCTGTTGGCTGGCGATGGTGTTTTTACATCAACGCACCTCTTGGTGCTGCTACACTGGTATTAACAATGTATTGTTTCTCAGATCCGGCGAAACCCAGCGACATTTCCCGCATGGGACTTAAGCAGAAGCTCATGCAACTCGACCTGATAAGCAACCTACTGTTCATCCCAGCGCTGACGGCCCTATTTCTGGCCTTTTCATGGGCCGGTACCAAGTTTTCCTGGGGCAGTGGCCCAGTGATAGGCCCTATTATTGCCTTTGCCGTCCTCATGGCCGCCTTTATCTACAATCAAAAACGACGAGGAGACGCCGCCGCTCTCCCTTTCCGCATTATGAAACGCCGCAGCGTTATCGCCGGATGCATATTCATCATGTGCGGTAATAGCACCGGCAACGTTCTCGAATATTATTTACCTACTTACTATCAAGTCGTACGTGGATATACTCCCGCCAAAAGCGGCTACATGATGCTCCCTATCATCATCGCCGGCACCATTGGCGCACTCATCCACGGCTTCGGGACCAGCGCCACTGGCTACTACGCACCGTTCATGCTTTTCGCCTCAATCATAATGCCCGTCGCCGCGGGCCTTATCACCACTATCAAAATTAACACTAGCTTTGCAGAATTGATCACATACACCGCCTTCTCTGGCCTGGCCTACGGTATCGGCTTCTCTGGACCGCAGAACGCTGTCCAAACGGTGTTACCCGTGGAGGACGTGCCGCTTGGCACATCTATCATGCTCTTCGCCCAGTCTTTTGGACCAGCAGTGGCGATCGCAATTGCTCAGGTCCTATTCGTAAATCAGCTCTCGATGAATCTAAATGGTCTCGTGTCGGGCTTGAATGGAGCAAGTATCGAAAACAGTGGCCTAACACAAATCGTGACGAGCATGCCACCGGCCAAGGCTCGAGAAGCCCTCGTGGCTATCGATAAAAGCCTGATACAGACGTGGTATCTGGTGGTAGGACTTGCATGCGCAACGATGGTTGGGAGCTTGATGATAGAATGGCGGTCGGTGAAATCGAGACGCGACTAGTAGTAGAACAAAGCAGCAATACCTTACATGACGCCAATTATATATCATATTCCGTTACACTCCCTCCTCACTCTCCTCATCAATCACTAAAAAAGCAGGCCTCCCCTCATCCCCAACCCTCCCCACCTCCAACAACACCCTCCAAACCCAAACCCCCAAATCCACCTCTCGAAACGCCCTCCCAAACCACTCCTTCCCACTCCTCGCAATCTCCCCCGCCCTCTTCCTCCCCTCTTCACTCGACGTAAAATACCTCACCACCTCCGGCATCTCCTCCATCCCCAAACTCGCAGGGATATAATGCACCCACGGCCACAGCCTCTCATCATGCCACTCCCTGAACAACGTCTGCTTCATAGGCGCAGAATTCGACGCCAGGAGGCTATAGAACCTCCCGCTGATTCCATTCCCATCGAGATCGAATACCAAGCGCGATTGTAGGCCCTGGTCTTTGTCGGCCCAGGAGTGCGGGTGGAAGTAGCGACGTTGGGCGCGGCAGGGGTTGGCATCGCAGTTGAAGATGCGGGTGAATGAGATGGTGTAGAGGCGGGTGTTGAGGAAGGTGGATTTGTGGGTTGTTATTGGAATGTCTTTGTTTGTGTCTTTTTCTTTCTTATGTTTGTTTTGGTGAAGGTAGGTATAGGTGTGGTGGTGGTCTGAAGGGTTTGTGAGTAGGTTCACGAAGCGTTGGCGGTGGAAGTTGTGCCAGTTATTCTTGGGGTTGTTTGTGGCGAAGGCGCCGGTGGTAGAGCCGGCCCAGTACAACGTGTTTTGCTTCTGGGACCAGGAGATATCCTTTTCGGGGGTGTATTGGAAGTCGGGTTGTAGGTAGGCCGGGCTGGGGTAGAGGATGTCGGTCATGGTGGAGAGGGAGCCCGGGGAGAGGATCGGGAGGAGACCGGTTATGGGTCGGAAGGAGGTTGGGCTGAGGAAGATGCCGTGCATTGTGCTGTATTCCGGGTGGAGGCAGAGGTTTTTTGCTTGTGTTGGACCGGTGATGAATGGGAGGTTGGGGGCTTGGGATGGTGGTTGTTGGTCTTGAGTCTGGGTTCTATTGGTATGGTAAAGGCAGGGAGCTGATACAGTGTCCCATGTTGGTTGTCTGGACTGGTCCTTTATGCTTAGACTGCTGTGGATGTTGTCTGGTGGTGGGTATATCACTCTTGGCTCATCGAGATGATTGACTAGGAAGGTAATGTCAGGTAGAGTTGCGGGTATATTTTCAAGTAAGGTATCGAATGTATGTTGAATATCTCGATCAAGTACGCGGAAATCATGCGAGCATTTTGTTTTGCGTGAGCTGCCAAAGAACGTACACGTCCAAAGGTCGTTTCCCGGCAGGTTGTGCGCGTTTTTAATGTTTTCGTTGATCTCTTTGCCACTCAACTTCAACATCGGTAGTATACTGTTGTATATAGCATCGTAATCGTCAATTATCGGCGACTGATGAGCAGATGCATATTGGTACCACTCCTCAAATCCTGGTGGCGGCTCGATCTTGTATCGCCGTCGGTACTCCTCGCATGTAGCTGTGTACGTGCGAGATTGCTTATGGATGGTTGCTCCGAACTCGAGTCTGGCTTTATCCATTATCTCTGCGATGGGGTGGTTTTGGACAATTGCGTTGTTCGAGATATATATGGTCCATATGTTTGCGATGTATGGGATTACTGTTGCCAGACCAAATACCCACAGGATCCATCGACCCTTTATATTACTCGGAAGCACTTGGGTGATTTGAGAAAGCACAAGCAATGAGGCGACAACATTTGAGAATGCTTTGAGGTCTGACGATTGGTTGAACGGGCTGTTGGCAGATAGAAGACTGAATGTTTCCACCAAGACAGCTGTGCTCCAGGAAGTATAGCAAACCTTAATTAGGGTCAGTATTGTACCGTATCGTGGGTCTCTGGAGCTTACGGTGTGGATAATGAAGAAATAGGTAAAGGCCTTAAACGAGCCCAAAGCAAATATGCTAAGGGGATGACCCCAGGAATACCCGAATATAATCATCTCCGCCACGACCGTCGCTGCCAACATCGGTAGAATTCTGGCAGCGAGGTGAAACGATGTAAGTTCGGCATCTATACGGTTGGGTAACGATCGTCCATTGTGAGACAAGATAACGAGTATAATGCCCAGGATACAAGCTAAGGGGATTAATGAGAGACCCCATTCAAGGTTCGTGGAGGATGCGAGGCTGAACGTTCCCAATAATGAGACGACGATAGATCCGTATAAAGTTTCTGTTAGAAAGGAGAATGACCTCTTTTCTATCAGATTGTGTGAATGGAACCTGAACACCTTCCCTGCTATCAGCAGTAATGGAAATAGAATTGGCTGGTGTCACATCAGCCATATATTTTCTTGAGGGTGCTCGCCTAACGCACGAAACTTTGAAGGACCCCAATTTCCGCCTTGAACCAAGAATATAGACATACACCTGCAGCAATTAACCATAGGTGTATAGAACGCAGAGAACCATACTTCAGCGGATTAGGACTCTGCTCAATGGGGTAAGTTGAGACCTGGTGGTATCCAGAACTTAATCTAAATAATATGGGCAGTGTTGCCCATGCCACCATTTCAGAGCCTGTTTCAGTGCACTGTGTGAATGAGTGCTCTGCTAGTATTCGCGTGAGCAAGGCAAGAGAAATTATCCCGACTGCTTTGTCCACCTGGACAAACGGATGATTTGCGGACATAGCAGAAGTACGCTACGCTGGCAGATCGATTTGCTCCTGTGTGGTTGTTGTTTGCTGTTCTAAAGGGATCAAAGGACAACAAGCTGTAACTGCAGAGATCATTGACATTTTTTTCAAGGTAAATCTAACAGGGCTGACTACGAAAAGTTCTACGTTAGGCGCAATAGACCCGAGACACGTAGTGCACTGGTCGGGCTGGCCGAAAAGGAGGGCATTGGCAATATACTTCTGTCAACTTACGCATGCCGATCTTTTCAAGTGTCCAATCGCAATCTTGTCGCCTTACGAGGGATGTTGGTGCTAGAAGATGGAGTAGGTGGCCTAGTTAGGGCACCGAGTAAGCCCGTTCCTTTGTGCTAAATATCATCATGCCATAGGCTCCAGACAAGGCTGCTAACGTGCGGGGTAAGGCTGAGGTCTGGTCATCTAAGCCCTATCTGGTAATCAGGGTCTTGGGATCGTAGATCATCATTTGGCTTTAGTAATAGTTATGCCGTTGTCCGGGCTATACAGCCATAGTAAGATTATAGAAAGATAGCCATAGGATGATAGCTCGCCCTAGTTGTTACTAATGGATACTTGAATTTCTTATAATAATCAGTAGATATACTTAAAATATAGAGATGACGAGAGAAATCATTCTTAAGGAGAATATTTCCGTAAGCTGAACTCTTGATGGCTATAAATAGTAAAACCAGATCCCTGCCAGTAACAATCAGAAGTGGCTTTATTCATCTCGCGGCTCCCAGGAAGAGCAAGAGGAGCGCAACAATGAGCCAGTCATCTGAGAGACACTAACTGTGAAACACATGGCAAACAAAGCGATAAATGTATTAGATATGTTGTTATACTACTAGTACGTTATGTTGTAGTGGATTAAACGCCGTGCGTATCCTTGTGAAATATATATCCGGCCGCTTTCTGAAGTTACTCGATTCCCTTTCTCCTTTTTACCGACACCCAAGATTATCCATCCTTCCCTATCTCTATCCCAAACAACACTTCATTTGAGCCTGTCTGGGTTCACTACTCGGAAATGTTAGAATACTACTCCATCTAGACACAGGATCAAATAATCACAATGTTCCCGCACTCATATTCGAGTAACAGCCCTTCAAGACCGGTGAATGTAATGATTAGGCGGGGAGCATGGAGATGAAGATGGAGCAGGGAATAGAACTAATTCATGGATATCAACCTACTTATCTTGGGTAACCATGGGATGAGACATGACATACGTGGAAGAACTCTATAAGGAGTTTCGGGTCGAATACCTTCAGGGCATGATCACCTGTAGTTTCAGGGTCCTGCGATGAATCAAAGCCACTGCTCCAAGGAATCTAAAGTCGGAACACCAGGTTAATGTATAACTATCGGAACAAGACTTGGTATGTATGCAGAGGTTCTCATTGCGACGGGAAATTGCCGGAATGAAGCACATCTTACATGCCGGGATATTCTTGTTTTCAGGAGATATCATTTTGATGATCGATTGTCTAATGGAACCGTAAACGTGGATATCTGGCTGAAGTGCTATGTTAATAGTGCCCATATTGTCTGATATTCAGACAAGTCTGCGCACTGCTACGTAGGGAAGGTTCAAAGCCCAAGTGTCTTGATATGATCCGCAACTGGCAAAGACATCCAAGAAGAAACTGAATACTTACTATCTTACAGACTCTGTCATATGTGAGCATCTGTTTGCTAGATCTATTGAGCAGGTCAGTCACCCAGCTACATGGCAGCAGTAAAGTATGGTATGAGGCTGAGATAACGGAACCGAAAGCCTGGATAATATAATAACTGAATCGAGCCGTGTTTAAAAACCTCCTGTGGTATATTAGTAAATCCCTGCGTCAGCCTCATGGATTGTCTTCTTCCATGCGTATCTGAAACATGGACAGAGCCGCGTATATAGTATCGACCAATTGACCAGGACCATCAGGCCCGTAGGTAATCGGAAGAGGGCTAATCGAACTACAGGGACTAAATCATGATCCTGCAAAGTGTGATTGGGTATCTGCATATACGCCATGTGCTCAATGTTGCTGGAATTCATTGGCCAGTGGATAAATAATGAATCGGAGATAGTGCGAGAATCCTTCGCAGCATGATTCATGCATATACGCGCAGACGAGAAAGCCAGGGTGGCCAAGCTTCACCCACTTACCGAGAATCGAAAGAAAAGGAAGAATCGGAGATCCAGGCGGATCCTACGGGATCAAGCTTATCGGAGAATTTTGGCCTGCATTCCTGCCACGAGGCACCTGCAGACGATGCCTCTTAGCGTGCATACTCGAACATCTATACTTTGTGCAGCAATTGACCACACGTTAAATTTTCTTTCTGAGTTGAACCATGATATCCTGTTAACTATTTTTATTCTTTTTTATCATTTTGCTTCTTGTGGACACCAATTGGCGGAGGGGCAGGCCGTCCCTGTTTTCCCCGCACACCCCTCGTGTCGGATCCCGGCGTAAATGAGACTTGGCTTGGCCTAGTCGGAGTTTAATCTGCCTGGATATCCATTGTCACACCAGATCTTTGGCAGACCAGATGATTCGAAACTAAGAGAATTATCAAGATCTGACTCGTCATGCCATTGGCAAATGCACGCAGCAAACGACACCAAACCGGTTCCTGCAGTCGGTGGGGGGGCGCGATACTCACCACCGCCGGCCCCGCCGCCAGCATAAAAATCTAACGATGGCCGTCCCACTGCTAATGCGCGCTCCGGTCCGGAACGTCCCTGATTTTCCTGCTGCCCTCCATTGATTATCGGTCAACTCCTCCTCCTCCCTCCTCTTTCCCCCTTCACCTCCTCTTTCCCTCCCTCCTCCCCCCCTTTCACCTTTTTCTCTCCCTCCCCCGGGATTGCCTGCAATTGCTCGCCAGCATGGCTTCCCACAAGGTTCCGGATGCCATTGCCCCGGCAGAGCAGCCGCCATCGCCCTCCTCCGATCGCCAGGATTCCATGGCTTCCGCAGCCAAGATCATCCAGAATGCCAAAGCGGCCACGGATAAGGAGCAGAAGATGACCCTGCTCCAGGGTATCAAGCTCTACCCCAAGGCCGTCGCTTGGAGTATCCTGATCTCCACCTGCATTGTCATGGAAGGCTACGATATCAGTCTCGTCAACAACTTCTACGCTTTCCCTCAATTCAACCGGAAATATGGCGAGTTGTCGGCGGATGGGACATATCAGGTGCCAGCACGGGTAATTGACTCCCTCCCCTCTATCTCCCTGGGACCTTCCTGCAATTGCACTGTTATCTCGCACGTCATGCAGTGCTCGCGTGACAAAATCGGCTGACAAAAGTCTCCTATATAGTGGCAATCGGGTTTGAGTAACGGCGCCTATGTCGGAGAAATTATCGGCCTTTTCATTAATGGCTGGGCTTCGGAACGCTTCGGATATCGTTATACTATCATGGCTTGTCTCGTTTTGATCACAGCGTGGACCGCCATCTTCTTCACCGCCCCGAATGTCCAGGCGCTGCTGGCTGCGGAAATTCTGGCCGGTATTCCTTGGGGTGTTTTTCAGACATTGACCGTCACCTATGCTTCGGAGGTGTGTCCGGTTGCGCTGCGTGGGTACCTCACGACCTATGTCAACTTCTGCTGGGGATTGGGACAATTGATCGGTATCGGTGTGATCAAGGGTATGATTAATAGGGATGACCAATGGGCGTACCGGATCCCCTATGGACTGCAGTGGATGTGGCCCTTGCCCCTCTTCATCGGCATTTCTCTCGCCCCGGAGTCTCCATGGTGGTTGGTCCGGAAGGGCAAGACCCAGCAAGCCAAGAAAGCCCTGCTGCGATTGACGAGCGTGAAGCGGGAGACCAACTTCGACGCCGACGAGACCATTTCGATGATGGTTCATACCACGGCCCTGGAGAACAAGATCACTACAGGGGCCAGCTATCTGGACTGTTTCAAAGGCACCGACCTGCGCCGGACCGAGATCGTCTGCATGGTGTGGGCCATTCAAAACCTCAGTGGCAACTCCTTTTCCAACTACTCGACTTACTTCCTCGAGCAGGCAGGCCTGAGCACTGACAATGCCTACGCATTTGCCATGGGCCAGTACGGAATCAATATGGTCGGCGTCTTTGGAGCCTGGTTCCTCATGTCCATCGGCCTGGGCCGGAGAACGCTCTACCTATACGGTCTCTGCGGACTGTGCGTCATGTTGCTTGTCATGGGATTCCTTGGCCTAGTGCCCGAAGAGCACAAAACCCAGGCCGCACTGGCAACCGGCTGCATGATGATCATCTGGGCGCTCTTCTACCAATTGACCGTCGGCACGGTCGCCTACTCCCTTGTCGCCGAGCTCTCTACTCGCCGCCTCCAAATCAAGACGGTCGTGCTTGGCCGCAATCTGTACAACATTGTGGCCATCGTCTGCGGTGTCTTGACCCCGTACATGCTGAACCCCGGAGCGTGGGACTGGGGTAACTATGCCGGCTTCTTCTGGGGCGGCATCTGCTTCCTCTGCATCGTGTACACGTTCTTCCGGGTGCCGGAACCCAATGGACGGTCGTTCGCGGAGCTCGACCTCCTCTTCGAGCGGGGGGTCAGTGCGCGCAAGTTCGCCCAGACCCAGGTCGATGTGTTTGACGAGACCATGGAGCATGGCACGGTCGATCACTATCAGACGGAGAAGACGGCGGCGGCTGATGTGGCGGCCGTGGGGAAGGAGAATTCGAATCCGACTTCGACTCCACCGCAATGATGAATGACGCCCGCTTGTAATAAAATTTTAATATATTAATGTACATAGAGACAGCTAATAATGAATATAGACGATTAATGATGCATTCATTCTCATGCTTACTCAGTCATTAGGTGGGCTTGATGGTTACTACATTGACAATCAACAGGTACCTCACTTCACCATCCAAAGCTCATCATCTTCCAATCTACTCATTCGACCACTCGGGCTTCTTCTTCTCCGCAAACGCCGTCATGCCTACCACCGTCAGCATCACCTACTTTTCAAAGAAGAAGAAAGGAATACTCACCAATCTTCTGATCCCTACTCCCGAACAACCCGTGAAACAGTCTCCTCTCAAACTCCACTCCCTCCCTCAACCCAACCTCGTACCCCTTATTAACCACCTCCTTACCCGCCACCACCGCAACCCTCGAATAACCCGCAATCGTCTCCGCCGTCTCAACCGCAGCATTCACCACCTCATCCTTACCCCCCTCCACCACCCTCGCCGCAACCCCCCACTCACCCGCCTCCTTCCCACTGAAGTTCTTCCCCGTCAGAATCAACTCCATCGCCTTACTCTTCCCCACCGCCTTCGTGAGCCGCTGCGATCCGCCCGCTCCCGGGATAACACCCAGCTTGATCTCGGGCTGTCCGAAGGTCGCAGTGGACGTGCAGTAGATGATGTCGCACATTAGGGCGAGTTCGCAGCCGCCACCCAGAGCGTAGCCGGAGACGGCGGCGATGACGGGCTTGCGGATTGCGTTGGCGAGATGTGACCAGGGGGCGATGAAGTTGTTGCTGTATGCGGAGGAGAAGGTTAGGGGGGCCATTTCTTTGATGTCGGCGCCGGCTGGATTATATCATTGGGTTGTTAGTGGGGTTGAGCTTGTGCTTGGTGCTGGGGTATGGTCTGGGAACAGTACCAGCAAAAGCTTTTTCACTGCCGGTAATGACGATTGCGCCGATGTCTTTGTCCGTGTCGTAGGTGGTTAGGGCATCATTGAGTTCTTCGAAGAGAGGGCTGGAGAGCGCGTTGAGGGCTTTGGGTCGGTTGAGGGTGACTGTTTCATTTCCATTGCGGTTATGGTTAGCACTGGATACATGCTTGTTGCCATTGCTATTGAGTGAAGTGAACAGGAGATGGGGGCATACTCAGTCCTACGCCCGGCTTGGGGGTCGAGGTGAGGATGTGCTCGTATGCCGAGGTTGCGGTTGCGGAGAACGGGCGGCCGCGGGCAAGAAAGGATGTCAGAGGGATAGCGGTGCGGGAGGAGACGAGACGGGAGCACTGGCGGGAGAACATATTGAGAGCAATTACTGATTATCGAGTATATGAGAGGAGAGAGAGTGTGTGTGTGTGAAGAGATCAATTGCAGACGTGATAAAAGAGAAACAGTCGGGGAAAGGGAAGGGATATGATGATGATAGCAGCTCCCCGCAAATCCCGCCAATCCCGCCGAGTTAACCCCGGCAATAGCCGTGACAGCTTTTACACGTGATAGCTGTCGCTGAGTCATCGTCCCCTGAGGCGCAGTCATCATGACAGTGGCTGGTGTCGCCCAAAACGGGTTAGCGGGAGCGGCCGGGCAGTGGCCAGTTTTCCCGCGAGCAGCTGCTGGCTGGGCTGTCCTTCACCTTCATCAGCTGAAGCACTTCGCATTCCTGATCCATTGCTTTCTGTCCGTGCTCGGTGCTGTCTTTGTGCCCTATGCGCTGAGTCTGCTGGGTGCCTTCTTGTCCGCTTTTTCATATCTTCTCTCTTCACTCTCCTCTCTTCTTCCTGCTACGCGGTTGATAGCCACATCCACATTTCCACCATGGACGTTCCTGAGCCTGAGCAGACGCCTTTCACGGCCGTGACGGCGCAAACCTCGAAGCTGGCTAGGGTACGTATCTGTACTTCCTTTGGGACCCTTTTTCACAGTGTCTGTCGCAATCCTGCAACCAGCGCAGACGACGTGCCCATCCGCTACCCCAGCAAACAACACCAACCCACGGACCATGACATGACATGATAAGCTAACTAATACCTCGCACAGCAATACCAAACCTACCTCGACGCCTCCACCCCATTCACAGCCTACCGCTGGACCGGCACCGTCGTCCTGCTCCTCGTCTTCTTCCTGAGGATCGTCCTCGCCCAGGGATGGTACATCGTGGCCTACACCCTCGGCATCTACCTGCTCAACCTCTTCCTCCTCTTCCTGCAACCCAAGTTCGACCCCTCCCTGACGCAGGATGAGGGTCTGGAAGACGGCGACGCCGCCGCTCCCAGCCTGCCCATGAAGCAAGACGACGAATTCCGTCCTTTCATCCGCCGTCTCCCCGAGTTCAAGTTCTGGCACTCGGCCACTCGCGCCATTCTTATCGGCTTCGTTTGCTCGTGGTTCGCCGTCTTCGATATCCCGGTGTTCTGGCCTGTCTTGGTGGTCTACTGGATTATTCTCTTTGTGTTGACCAGTACGTATACCAGTTCTGCTTATCTGTGGTGGGAGGCGAAACCGGCAGAAGGCTAACCCAAATTCACTACTAGTGCGCCGCCAGATCCAGCACATGATCAAGTACCGCTACGTGCCGTTCTCGTTCGGTAAGACGCGGTACGGCCGGTCATAAAGCGACACCGACACGCAAAAAAAGAAAAATAGATATATCTTTTCATCTGCCTGAATGAATCACGGCAGATTGCAATGAGATGTGATGAGACGAGACGATGATGTGGTGTGATATGATGATGAAATTCGTCATGTCATGCTATGCGATACATGGCTTTGTGCTCTTCTCTGATGGTTACGCTAGTACATCCGTATAATATCGATGAATTAGATGTCGCCGTTCGGAATATTTCTCCCCCTTCCTGTCCGATGTCTTACACCATGTACTCAACCTTCATGCCAGAATATAGGCTGGTTGTTGGTAAGTACACGGGGTAATGACACAAGGACAAGCACAATAAATACCTTTACAACCCCTTTAATTTCGCTGTTTCTTTCTCTTCATGATGATCTTTGTGTGACCCCGTGGTGGCCTTGTGTGTGCGTGTGAGTGAACTGACTTTATGAACCTTTACTGGGATGTTATTAGTACCTTCCTACTATTCAATGTGTACAGAATTATAAGTCAATGCCGTTTATGCTTATTGCTCTCTTCGCTTTTTTTGCTCCTGCTCCTGATCCTGCTTTTTTCTCCATGTGCCATTAGAACTTTAGCTGATCTTCAGTGTGTCGTGCCGTGCCGTGTAAGCTACTGATATCGTGGTGGAGTATGATGATGGTGAATAGATAAAAGTGCGCTGGCATTCTGGTACTTTTCTAGGAGGATAGACACTGGGGTCTGGGTAGGTTTCAGATAGTATCTCCAAGTACTAGTAAGTACTACTTGACAATACTGGTAATGGGTCGGTTTTGATTGGTCGAGAAGTGGGTACTATTCAGCAGAGGAAAGAACGTCTGAGGTCTCCTTTGTTCCTTCGGAGACCACATTATCATCTTCAGTCATGCGTGTGCTATGGAATAGTAGTAATTTACTTGTAGCATATAGGTAAACTGTCTTTGAAGCATATCGTTGTCTATTCTAGACTTTTGACTATGTGCATAGTATCTAAATGATACTCATCACTAACAACAAGAGGACATAAGGTGAAGTATGGCAAAGGGGCACAAAAGGCAAAGATGAAGGTCGTTAATGGAGAGAAAATAATGGAAAATGTGTAGGAAAGGAATGTTCACATTGCCATCAAGGCAGTAAGTATCAATCATGATCAATAGGTTAGAAAACATAGCAACATTAATATCTAAGGGGGTGAAAAGCAAAATCATATCTCAAGATGCTCTACGCTGTTTCTCTTTGGGGTGATGTTGTCCAATGACAGCCGACATGGCGCGACTAGGTGCCGGACGTTCGAGTTCTTGCGTCTTGGTGCAGATCCAGGTTGAGGCGTACATGTTTACACTTTTGTGCATTAGTATAGTTGTTCAAGTGGTACAGCTATTAATATCAGGATACTCACCGATCAATGCATGTTCCCGGGAATCTGGCGCCAACACGACGTGCGGAGAAGCCGTTCTGCTCAAATTGCTGGATATACCATGGCTCGATGCTCGCAGAGCGGAGTAGTATCCGGCCGCCCATCTTTAGGGCGTGGTTGAGCTTTTGTGCTTGGATGGAGGCTTCTTCGCCTTCAGGGTCGAACCAGTCCATGGAGTCCATGACCTGTTTGGAATTGTCAGTTTGGATGTATTTACGAGAGTTGGAGTAGGAACATACCACAGCGATAGTCAGGCTGCGCGGCTTGATCCGCTTGATTACCTCGTTGATCTCGTCTGTATGGATGCGGAGACCATCGAATGCGCCGGGCGAGGACAGCTTCACGTGGGCTTTGGGGGAGAGGTATGCGGGATGGCATCTTTCATTCTTCAGTTAGATGCTAGAAGCGTCAATAGTAGGGTGAGACATACCTCCGTGAGAACTGTCCCTGCAAGCAGAGTAAGTAAAAGTAGTTGTCGTTGCTAATCAAAGTCTCCTGGACCACGGGGTCCAAGGTATCCACCACGTACTCCCAGATCGACTTGCCACTGACATCCTTCGCCTGCTTCATGTCCTTGTTCAGTCCGTTTCTCTTGAAGTAGTCATCGACAATCATGTTACGCTGGTTGCGAGGCACGCCTGCGGCCTTCCATGCAAACCATTCCGTTCCCACCACTGCCCAGTGAAGAGGCTTGCTCATCAGGACAGAGCGGATGCGGGGCCAGATCTTGCGCTGCTCCGCCAGGGTCTGAGCCTCACAAAGCTGTTGCACCTGGCTTTCCAGACCGAAGACTTTAAAGAGGTAGCGGACCATTTTGATAGCGTGGCGCGATCCACCCGTCTCGTAGAGTCCCTTACCAGAAGAGGAGGTGAAGATATGGGTATGCTCCAACCAGTACTGGAAGGCTTGGCTGGAGAGGTGTGGACTCAGTCGGGAGATGAGTAGCTTGCGGAACTCAGGATGCTTTCCTTCGCCGAATATCTTCCACACATCGCGGTGGCCCAGAGCCATGAAGCTGGCTACCTTGAGCTCCAGCAAGTGGTTTTGATTCGGGTTCAAGTCGACCGCATGGACACGACGCGGGCTCTTCTGGAGATAGTCAAGGATGTTGTCACCGGCGCTGGTAATGGCCAGAATGACATCGTCTCGCTTGATATCCAGCAAGCGGTGGTCAACGCGGGGGTCTTCCCAGTTGAAAGCATAGATGTACTCATTTCCGAACTGAGTGTGCTTCGGCAGAAGGTCATTGTAGAAGATACGATGGTGGTGGTTCTGGTAAAAGGACGAGGGGAGAGGCAGGTTCGCGCTCAAATTGATCACAGCCGACTCGTATGCCTTGGATTTGATTTCCTGCGTGCTGTTCACAACAGCAGTCTCCATCTCCTTGCGGTGGTTGGCCGGGGAGAGGTACGGCGATTCCGTGAATGAGGCGTTCAGCTTCTCAATGGCCTCACGACCAGAATGGGTGGTCGAGTCCTTTTGACAACCGACAAAGATATAGTATGGGATACCGCCCAAAAGGTAGTTTCTCTCGCTGGCAGAGATGACAGTTCCGAATCGGTACTCCAAGTAGTCACGGCGGGCTGCCTCCAAGCTGACCCGGTCCACATCGAACCAGGCGCGCCAGAAGACACGACCGAGCCAGTTCACATGTCGGTTGAAAGCACCGCCAGTGTAGTTACGCGACGAGACATCAACAATGCTTTGGACTATTGACGGGTTAGAATATTCGCGTTGTAAGAGGTCACCAGGACTTGCCATAGAAGTCGCAAACTCCGAGAACGCCGGTTGGTTTCAGGAGCGCAGGCAGCGCGTCGATGACACTGTAGTAGTCTGTATAGTATGAGCATCACCCCCCAACACGTCATTAAGCACACTAACCTGGAATCATAGACAGGCTATAACTCATTGTTGCCAAGTCGGCACCAGCGCTGCTCTCGCTACGGGGACCGATCTTGTCATCCTCCGGCAAACGGAAGGAGCGAGCATCCTGGCAGACAACGTGGACATTTTTCCATCCCAGCCTTTCGAAGCGCTGACGGGCCACCTCACAGAGCGAGGGCGATAGATCGACCAGATAAACGCGGGAGAAGAAATCCTTAACGGGAAGGAAGGTAGACATGGCTTCGATGTTGTATCTAATAGAGGTTAGTGTTTCGTCGGATGCCATGTCCTTGAGGTTGCTCACCCAGTGCCTCCGCCAATCTGCTTTGTTAGCCAGGATTCAGTAAGTGATATTGTAGAGAGTGTACTTACATCAACCCAGACAGCCTTGCCAGACTGAAGCTGCTTATTCTCGACCTTGTGCTTGAGTTGAGCCGCAACCAGACCCAGCATATCCTCTCGACCGCACAACAAACGCTTGCGAGTGGCGTCATACACACCGGCCTAGTATCGTTTCTGTCAGTAAATGGCACTGAAACAGTCAATTGGTGGTCTGTCTCGCATACCTGCGTCTTGTAGAAGCTCTCGAGAGCATCTTGTTGGCCATTTCCGTGTTTCTCGTGGGGCTTGAGGAATGTCGCATATGCGAACTTGAGATAGGTGAAAACACCGCTGTTATAGTCAATTTTCCGCTTCTGCGACGACATTATTATGACCAATGCGACGAACGCGCAGACTGCAAACGCAGTGCCGGCAATGTAGACATGCAGCCAATTCAATTGGCCCCAAAAGGGACCGGTCACACTGCTGGACGACATGAGGACACAAAGGGATGTAATGGGACAGAATCGAAGCCTCCTGTCGGAAGAAGGACAGATGAGAGGCAGAGCTTCTGCCTCAAGAATGGCGAGGAAGGGCGGCTTCTTGAATCAATTGCTTCTGCAAGCACTGACAGAGCAATGCGGGAGAAATTGATCACATCTTTGGGATGCACGCCCCACATGCGACAGCCCCTCGTGGTCAAAGTTGAATTCAAAAAGACAAGAACGCAGCGCGATGCCCTATCAGGGGGACACATGGTCCGGAGATGATAAGCTGCATTGGCTGTCCGTGGTGCGAGGGTGAATGGCTCGCGGGAAAGGGTGGAGGAAGGATCTCCGGGTGGTCCTTTGGGACCAGCTGGCACCGAATTGCAGTCGGAGACCTTTACTAGCAGAAGATGGAGAGGGGAGTTGCAGAGCTTCAGTTGTAGAGATGCTTTTGCATATAGTTCGGGTAGGCCAATCAAGGGTGCATGTGCCCGCACGCCTTGGGCTCCGAGAGCCACTCGCCGCCAATGAATCCCGCACGACAGCCCCAGGCACCCCGATCTTCCAACTTATTGGTGGGCCCGATCAACGGTCAGCACCCATTCATCGTCTTGCCAATAATAGCAGTGATAGGAAGAGGTTGTATCGGCAGATCCTCGATGCAGACGCACTGCCATCAATTCCTCTCGCGCCCCCTCCCCCCTTCATACAATCATCCATCCCTCCTTTTCGTCGCTCAGCCAGGTACTAGGGCGATCCCGGATTCTGGGAGAGGCACATGTCTGATAGACTTCGTACACCCACGGTCAGCTGGTGCTCTCCAGTGTAGCATGAAAGTATAAAAATCCAAAGCTACCCGACCTGGCAAAGTAGGATGCGAGGCCCATCATTGACTTACAGGCCGCTCAGTTTGCGACTCTCCACCCTACTGCGTACTCACCCGGTCCACGCATGCACGCCTGCTTTTCGCCACCTGGAGTCCATTTTCTGTACATGATACCCTCCCTCGCAACCGCGATAGCCGAGTGCTTTTTGTCTTCTAGACTTGTGGGATAATTGCAATGTATGTACCGATACTTTCATCATCCGGCTCATGGTGCATATCGTAGTTGGTGCCACAAAATGATCGCTTGGCCTTTATATGTGTTCATGGACAGGACCTCGCTAGCGTCCCAATATACCTAGATGAGCTGGTAATGTTGAAGCGCCAGGAGACATCCATTGACTTGTTCATGATCGAGTCAAGTTCACCTGGTGAAACTCATTATGAGTCTCTATCACAAAAGAGCAGAAACTGTCGAATCGATGGTCTGCCAGCGTTAAAGAAGTCCTTAAAAGATGCAATACCCACGCACCACACATATCAAAGTGATCCTTTCCTGAGCCAAAGGATGAGAGGCAATTCTCTCGTCCAATGTGACTGTCTTCGTCCCAGAACTAGATAGAACTGAAGGAATTGCACTACACTCGATTCAGAACCGGGGCCCCGCTTGTGTTGTACTAGAGAAACAGCCCCACTAGCCCGGGTCAAAGGAGAGGCCTATTCTAGGCCTGCAGCATAGAACAGCGTTGTTCTAGGTTGGCTATCCACGTTAATTGAATTGATGCTAACAATATCTATAGGTATATACTCATCACACTTTCCCAAATGGTACCCCAATTTCACCTCAATGATCCGCAATCCCCGAAACAAGATCGCGAGCCAACCCAGCAATAATCTCCAACCCAGTCATATCCGCACTCTCACCACTAGGTGACCTCAGCCTCCTAGCCGGCCCATCAAGTCGCTTCCAGATCTCAATATACCTCTGATTATCCTCATTCAGGCCCATTCCCCGAAAGATACTTCGCATACCATAAAAGTCCCTAGCTTTCTTCAGATCCGAAAGCCGAACCGCGGTCGACGAGCATCTCCCAGTCTGTCTTGCCTCCATCTCCGCTTGAATCGCTCCAAGCCGGATACAGTGCAGAACAAGAGCAGCAAGTCCTGCTGCTAGAGCAGTAGAGATGGAAGAGCCAGACTTCTCCTCTGAATCAATGGGCAGCCCCTTCTCGAGATATGGGCTCCGCGGGGATATCTTATGTCCTGGGAAGATGAAGCTCAGGTTCTGCGGGTTGCCCGATGGGCCATATACCCTGCCATCGGCTGTGGAAGCACCGATTCTGAATATGCGTCTGTCGAAGAAACAGGGATATTCAATCTCTGTAACGGCCCCTTTGTCGGATGCGGCGCCGAAGAGTAGAATTTTTGCGTCTAAGGCGGCTCTGATTGCATCTTGAAGTGCGGTGATGCTGCTTTGGTTATCTTCTGTTTCCTGAATTGTCCAGGACATGGATATAATGTCCACTTTCTGGCGGACAGCTGCCATTACGGCCTGAGATTTGTTAGGCTAGTTTTAGGTTTGTTAAAGACAGCACTCGTTAGGACTCACCATTGCAGCGCTTTCGGCGGAGATTTGCCTACCGCCACCGTCAGGGTCCGGATGCATCTCAAGCTTGCAGACATACAACCTGGCCGTTGGGCAAACCCTGCAGACCATATCTGCCATCATCGTCCCGTGGCCACCCCCGGAAATGTAATATGGACTGGTTCCGTTGCCATCAAGGTATGTGCGGTCGAAAGATTCGCCTCCGATGACCTTTCCTTGAAGGGACTCGATGTGAATATCAACCCCATCATCAATGACGCCTACCTTGATATTTTCCTTCAGCATAGGCATATCTGTCGGAAGTAACTTGACATTCTGAAGCTCGTCTGCAAATCGGTCTACGCAATCCAACCACCGATTTGGCTGTATTCGTCTTTTTCGTATGTCGATCGATACGTTGGCTGAACTGGCTGTGTCTTTGGGTCTCTTGTTGGGTGTAACCCCGATTTCGCTTTTTCTGACGACGATTGGGTTTCGTGGCTCAACTAGGCTGCTGTTCTTGTTATTATTCCTTCGAGCAGTATTGATCTCTGCCACTGCTTGGTTGAACCTTGATTGAAGATATTCGACTGCGGAAGCCACTTTGTGAAACGTCTCCGGACCCTAAAGATGATCAGAAAAGGTCAATGAAATTATCAGGGAAGCATACGTACCTCTTCTTTATTCCAAACCAGATGAACACATTCCAGTTCCTCCAATTTTAGGAGGCCATCCTGCTCAGTCCAGGTCTTCAAGATAGATAAATTCCCGCTCCATCGGAGATAAACTTCTTTCAAATTCCGGCAGGCATTGAATAACGTCTGAGAACTCAAATCAACCTTCCGCCAAGACAGCGTCTCTATTTCGAACTTGCTTAGACAATCCACCATTGCCTTATCTGTGTGGGGTGCGTCTTCTGTATCATGGACGACAACCTTGAGAATATGTCTGACATTCTTACGATAGAGCCAGTTAAAGAAGAAGACGAGATCGTTCGGACCCTGATCCTCTTTTTTAGTCTGGGCTAGCTTCTTTGCTAACCTTGAACCTGGTGCAGGCCCAGGAGGCTTTTGCAACAGCACTGGTCGGAACGATACGTATCGTAGAACTTCGTCGAAGACCATATGACGGTAGCTGTCTTCGAAAGAGTCTTGAGATATGGTCAATGGGCCCTGAGAGAAGTCGAATGAGAGATTAACATCTGGTCAGATGTTAGAATTACCCAGTTCCTTTTACGTAGGCGGATACATACTTCGAATATTTGCACCATATAGGAACCTCGTTGCAGAGAGCTGGTCTCTAATATTCCGTTCGGGAGCACTCTCGAAGGTTGATCGAAGGTAATACAGTTTCATCACTTGCTGGATACTGTCTGCATACGAATCCGTATCAATTTCCCGAGACACGTCCGTCCTTGGTTCTTGCCTAAAGCGCCATCAGTGAAAGCTATGTTTTAAGTTACCGCAGGTCAAAATACCTCTGATCACCTTTGTCCATCTGTTGCGGCAGATTTCGGGTATTTTGATGTATCGGCAGCTCATCAAGCGCTCTTCTACCTCTGACTAGGGTTGACTGGTCTTCGACTTGTCCTCCTTGAAGCTCGAGAGAGCTCCCTGATTTTGCACCCTGTTGACCCATATGCGCTTTTTCCCGCGTGTAGCGGTGATATTCGTACACCGACAGACTGGGCGGATTTGTCGTAAATTTATCCAAGGCCCCATCCCCGCGTGCGATGAGCGCCCTCACAAGGCCCACTTGCGAGGCAGAGGACCGATGATACTCAACTGCAAGATGCAAAGGGGTAAGGCCATTGTGATCGCTCGCAGAAAGTGTAGTGTTTGATGCCCCCTCGATAAGTTTCAAAGCACATCCCTGGTTCAGGGAGTGATAAATGGCAGCGTGGATACAGTTCTGTCCATTTGCACAAGTCTCTCGCAGAAGAAGGTCCAATTCCGTACCATTAACCTCCTTTAGTATGGCGTCCACAAAGGCATTGTTCCCGTACACGATAGCAACATGTAGAGGGGTCCTGTCACTGGCGTCTTTGTACTGCAAGAGATGTCTCTTTTTCCTCACCACGAAACGTATGGCGGTGCTGTGTGCCAGCCTGCTCGCTGCTATATGGAAGAAGGTCTGTCTGTCGACCCGGGTTCTCTCCTCCAGGAAAAGCCCATAGTCGGCCATAAACGCGGCTCGAGAGCCCTCGTTTCTTAGGTCCAAGGTCTTGTTGCAGATCTTGCTAATAATCTCGTCGAAGGCGGCCTGTACCTTATCTTTTGGAGACATCTGCACTGCATAATTGGTAGAGTCATCGTCGTCGTAATCCAAGTCGAGATCAGGGTTCTTGGCTGTTTCGGACGGTGTGGCTTCTCGGAAGATCTTTAGTGATTCTTTGAAGATCATGATGTTGTCACTTCTTGGGTGATCTCGGGGTTGAATGATATGAACTGGAAGTTGAATGTCGGGACCAGAGCGCTTCGAGGTCAATCATTATACCTCGTATATATGTACATATCTCTTATAATATCCTGTGAGATTGTCGGCAATGTCTTAGTAGATGGCGTGGGAACCCCTCATGCAAGACAAGAGCGGTCCATATATCTGGCGCTTCTGAACAGCCAGTGAGATACCTCTATTGCTAGCTCTCATCAACAAGGGCGGCTAACGACGAGAAACCCCTATCGATTCCGGGCCACCTCAAAACGAATAGTGTCTGAGAATTTTCGCATTGTTGAGTGCTTGTCTATGCATAATAGACCTCGATCAGATTTTCAGTAGTTTTTGCATCATGTCATTGGAACGACGAGATGACTGGTAATGACTAGTCAAAAAGAAGGAGGTGTATACGAATGTGATCATGCGTGTGATCCTTAGCAGTCCCTTTAGCGCCGGGATGCGGAAGGCTGATGCTTAAGCTGCCATCAGGCGCCATATTTAGTAGTAGCATTGCACTGTTGCTTTTTCTTGTGGTTGGATAAACGGCAGTCAGACGGTAGTGTATCAGCTCATTGGCCAGGCTAAGTCTGTGTAAGCGCGCGCTTTAATCAGCTCCTTTTCAGGAGATACTAGTCTATATTGGCTCGCATATAGAGATATTATCGACACTATGTTTATTCGATTCGCAATCACATAATGCACGTGGGATATCTATTGTGAGAAACTTGAAGAGAGGGAAGAATTAACCGCCCGCCCTCTACAGACGGATTGGATCCTCGAGTATGTCATCACCATTCTCCTTCCTAGCGCTCCTCAAACAGTAGGCGGGCTCTGCATGCGAGTTATTTTTGATATTGACTTTGTGAAGGCTGAAGTTCCCGCTGCCACGAGAGCAGCTATCATGCTGAAGAGAAAAGACGAAGGGAAGTTCCAGGCTAATGTCTCGATCCGGGCAAAGGCGGACTGGAAGACGCAGCTTGAGTGGCTGGTGGGCTCGACAAGAGCAGATGATCCCGTCCTGTTCGACCCGAAGTTGAGTCCCACTAGTGACAGTTACGATGAAATGGAGCTGAAGATGGGCGATATTGATCTTAAAGGGCATCTCGGAAGTCTTGGTAGAAAGCGGAAAGACCATGGCATAGATATGGGAAGTCGCTGTACGTTATGATGCTTTTGTCTGCTGCTTTTCGCCATGTGCAAGTTGCTACTTGTTCAATATTCATTACATAGTGTTCTTTGGCTTGCCTTTTCAAGCCATATAACCAGTTAAGGCGTTGGAATAAGCAGACGGAAAATATATGCTTGGACTTGCGACTTGGACCCATTCCGCTACTGAAAGTGAATGCACCTGGGAGTTACCGCAGTGCTGCTTGTCGCATTGAGAGTCACAGTGCAAAGAGGGCTATTACCAGGATTTCTCTCTCTGCACCAGGAATGTGCATTTCTTCACCGGGTCACCTGTATAGCTAAACGCGGATATAAAATTGACACTGTCTCGGCTTCTGTCAGAGTCAAAGTATATACTAGCGTCAGCAGTGATAACAGCCACAATTGAAACACCATGCAGAACCTACCAGCAGAGATCCTCGGAATGATAGGGATGTGCATTGCCCTGGACATTGATGAGGATTGCGAAAAGGTGCGGAGATCGACTTTGCTTGCTTTGACCCTGTGCTGTCGAAAATTTCACAAGATATTCGAGCCGATCCTCTATTACCATCTTGACCTGGGCTACGACCATCCCCTCACCGTTGCTCATATCCATCTTATTATTCGTTTCTGGAAGCATCCCGAGGTGGCAGATTGGGTTCGCAGCCTCAAACTTTACTGGGATCATGACGAACCCATACCAGTTCATGACGCCAGTAATGACGATTTTGATGTATTCTCACCCTTCGTGTCACAGGCATTAGACAGAATAATCACACCAGGCCCAAGGTTTACAGACATGTGGGAGGAATTCCGGGATTGCCTGCTCGAATTTGAGATGGAGGCTTGGATAGCAGTCCTGTTTGTTAGATTGTCACGCCTGGAACGCATTGAATTCGATCATCAAGACTCAGTTTTGTTCCATGATCTTCTATATAAAGCTGCAAAGCGGGAGCAACCTTTTCATGAAACCGCACCGTTTCCTTTCCTCCGAGAGGTCGTCGCTCACTGCCAAGATGAAGGTCAAGGAATTCACGAGGATTTTCTCACTCCGTTTCTCTATTTTCCAAATGTCCAGTCCATCACAGGCTATTCGATCTGGGCTAATAAAAGCCGTGAGGGCAGAAAGCCTTATATCTACTCTTACGAGCCGCCCCTCCCAGTTGGCCCCGTTAGGCAGATTTCATTGGACGATATTTGGGGATGTACCGGGATGCTCGACTGGCTCAAAGTATGTAAAGAACTAGAGCATTTCTCAATCGAAGCCTCACTTCACCCCGATACAAGGGTGATTGAAAGACGCTTTGATACTCGAAAACTTTATCAGGCTCTTCTTCCATTCAAAGATACCCTCAAGTCTCTCAGTGTGACATATGATAAGCAATACAATATTTGTCTTGAGATGAATGGGGGAATAGGGGTTCGTACGGATAACATCCCCTTCGAGTCCTTTCGAGAGTTCTCTGTCCTTGAGCATTTGACCGTTCGACATGCCCACCTCGTGCCCATTTCTTCGAACGCCCCCGTCAAGAAATCCAGCGTTGACCGGCTTGTTGACAGACTTCCGAGCTCTCTGCAAACACTTGCTGTCCAAGACGTTCTCTCCGATAATAGTCGTCTGCTGGCGGAACTTTTGATGGTTGCTCAAGATCGAAATTCGTTTCCTCACTTGAAGAGTTTGGAACTCAGGGACAAGCCTCTGGAAGATTTGTCTGCATCGGATGATGAAACGATACCGGATGGGACAACAGTGGGTGGAACATTGACATTGGAAATGTCTTTCGCAATAGAAGAAGTCGACAAAGAAATTGAGGGTACGGATAAGTTGAGGCGGGAATGTGAGGCGAGAGGCATCGATATGCAATGGTTCATGGAAGGTGAAACAGACAACGAAGCAGAGAATGGGGCAGATAATGCAGGACATTAAGCCATAGCTTTCGTTGCTAAATGCATGCCTGGCTAATATGGCAAATATCCTGATCGGGTCAGTTTGTTCCTGGTTTAATAGATTGGGCATCGCAGTCTTAAGAAGCAAATTAATGTTGTGGTTCGTAGTGGTATCTCATAGATTATTGACAAACTAATGCCTGATTTGTTCCAGATACGCAGTGATTACCAATTGAAACTCTTGCCTAGAGGATATTGTTCCTCGGGTAATGTAATAACGTAGATGTTGCTAGAAGAATACCAAGCCGCTTCTTCCTGTAACCATAATAAGCAAATACGCCGGTCTACTCAGGAATGCGCACAACTGCCCGTCCCTCGACCTCAGATCGTCCCAGTCGCTGCAGGACATCATCAATGCAGTCGAACTCAAAGCACTCAATATGTGCTGTCACATCGCCCCTTACAGCCATCTCCATCAGCTCTTCCATCTCCTTGGCGGTCCCGGCAGAGTTGCCAACAATTGTAAGTCCTGTTTTAAGTCAGCATCTGATTGAGATTGAGCTGGAAGAAGACAGTGACGAAGATAGATTACCTTTCACAATCATCTCAAAGGGCGTTGCTGGTAATCTAAACGGCACACTTGGTATACCGACGCACACCAAAACACCCAAGCTGCGAAGCATTTTCATACTTTGTGTGTATGCTGGCTCATTATTGGCTGTGCAGATGACAGCATGGGCACCTAACCCCGATGTCAAAGCCTTCACTTCACGCTCTACGTCGTCTGTTTTGTAGTCTAGGAAGGTGTTGGCTCCTAGGGAGAGGCAAAGCTGCTTTTTCTTCTCGCCGCTACGCTGGGTAAGCTACAAAAAATTTCAATAATAGTGGGCGCCATACCTGTCAATTGCAATGACTTTGAGTCCCTTTTTAGCTGCGATCTGAACGCCCCTTGTATGCCGTCAGCTTTATCCGCCGGGAAGAAACAGCTGCAGATGCGCATACATATGTCCTAAGCCTCCTCCTGCTCCAGGAAGGACAATCCAGTCTCCGGGTCGAGTTTTGGTCTTCATAATCGAGGAGTACATTGCGATGCCAGCTGCGATAATATTAGCCTGGAAACCTTGAGATATCAGGTGAAAAGTTGTACACACCGCACAAGAGTGGTGCAGCTACGTCCGGTGCTAGCTCAGGAGGGATTATAGTTGCATGAATCGCAGGACTGACGACGTATTCTATAGTACGGACATTGGTCAGTCAACGCCTAAGAAATCGAAAGACAAAATAACACTCACGTTGAAACGTCCCTGGAACATTCTGCACCTAATTAGCATAACTAGAATGACAAGGCCTATGAGTATTTGCTTACCGCTCCGGCATTCTTCTGATATGGACACGCCGTATTATTGATGGCGCAAATCTCACACTCCAAACAGGAGCTATACAGCCATCTGCGAAACCCCTTTGTTCAGTATCTGTCTTTCTATATCAACAGACGTACGAACCGTATACCAACTCTTCTTCCCATCCACGTTTGCTCGTCAAGACCACTGCCCACTACACGCATAACTGGTCAGGTATGGACAAATGCTAGCGAGGCAATGGCATGAGGCACTCACCTTTCACTATCTTTCCCACTCCCTCATGACCCGCCACATCTGTCAACATGGGGGTTTCCCCGCGCACGCTGTGAACATCCGAGTGGCATACTCCGGAGTACTCGAGCTTGACTAGGACCTCTCCCTCAGCGGGTGAGGGAATCGGACGGTCATGTACAATTTGTAATTTGGAAGTGGCAGTTGCCCCAGAAGGCGGGAGAACAGCTGCGATTTGGGTTTGAGCAATAGCCATGTCGTATGTAGTAGATGAAGTGGTCGCGGAAATGCGGAGGGATGTCGGTGGGCTGTTGCGGGGTAAATATACTGCGTTGCAAGACAGAAGATCAACGCCGATTGACCTAACAGAACACTGAAGACACTGGAGGACTTGAAGTTTATTTGTGCTAAGTACCAGGCAGGGATAATCTATATGAACACTTGTGCAAGATAATCTATCTAGAAGCTGATTCCAAGCTATAGATAGTTAACTATCGGGGCTGATACGCGCCTTGTGAGCGATAGGCTTTGTGTAGATAAGGAGATTGCCAAATTGGAGTGATGCTATCTTAGTACTATCCGCCAGTCGCTTTGTGATAAAATTAAAGCCTGCTTCTCCGAGGTTCATCCATAGCTTGTTCTTCTGTTTAAACATATCAGTTGTCAGAATGTCTACAAGCTAGGCATGGTCAGATCAGCGTGCCCATCGTGACTGAAAAGACCAAAGTATACTTGGACTTATTTTGAATTAAGTTCTGCTCTAACGACAATTCCGATATACAACTGGCAGCAACTGTCTGACATTCCTAGCTAAGTCTTGACATTTCTACACCAAGGCTGGACGATCCCTGTCTTGAACCTGAACATGGCATAAGAAGCGGCGCAAATCATTGCTGTAGACCGCAATGTAGTCATTCCAAATAATTATGATATTATACTATGTATGGATGTTTCGATATCAAAGAGGTATACTGTATAAACGACATGAGCCCTGAACGGAGTTGCGAGAGAAAAGAGGATGTAAAAGTGAGGATAAGTGAACGACACCAAGGAGGAATGAGGAAGCATCAGGAAGCAGCTAATCCCTACCACCTGAAAGCGGCGAACATATATCAAAAGAAATCTATAAGATGGTACAATAACACCGTCGCTCATGCGTTTTCAGACTGAAGAGTTTGCTGTGTATAAAAGGTCAGTACTTATCCAAAGTGAAGGAAAGGAGCTTGAAGATGCACATACCACCAGCCAATCCATGCCTTCGTTAAGACCTTTGCCGTCGATAGCAGAGCATGCGACGATGCTCCAGTTTCTATCCCTTAGCTCTCCCAGCTTGAGAGCCTCTGATATTTCGCCGGCACCTTTGGCGCCAGGCTGGTCCTGCTTGTTGGCAAATACCAACAGCGCCGCATCACGAAGTTCCTCCTCATTCAGCATAGCCGCTAGTTCGTCAGCAGCCGTGCCGAGTCGCTCAATATCTGTGGAATCAATGACGAATATGACAGCAGCGGTGTTCGCATAGTAGCAGCGCCAGTAAGGTCGAATGGACGTTTGACCTCCGAGATCCTGAACGACAGCGAAAAGTCAGCAACCTCAGATACTTTTTCTCTACCAAATGGCAACTATAATGGTATTGTAGCGTTGACTTACCCAGACATTGAAATTCAAGTTGCGATACGTCACCGATTCGACGTTGAAACCAATGGTTGGTATCGTGGTAACAACTTCACCAATCTATTCCTGGCACATTAACACTGGCCTCTAGCTGACAGTAGAGTAGCTCTGCAAGGCTATACGCACCTTGAGTCTGTAAAGAAGTGTTGTTTTTCCGGCGTTATCCTAGAGATGGGAGCGCGGGTTAGTATGAAACTCGCTAGTAGCTTGATGCCTAGTGCCAAAGCATGATTATACCTACCAGACCGAGGATGAGGATGCGAATCTCCTTCTTCGTCCAGAGAAAGGACCACATACGAGACAAGGAGCCTCCCATGTTGATAACCCTAACAGCGACAGGAGCTGAGTAACACTGGGACAGAGGGGGGCGCGGAGTTCGACAAGAGAATGACGGCTAGCGAGAGATATTGCGGAGGGAGGGTCGGGCGTCGAGTGGTGGCGGAGAGGATGCGGCGGACACGAAAAGGACTCTTTCCAAACAGAGAGCACCAGCCAAGGGGATGCGAGGGGATTTAAAAGGCCAACGAAGGGTCTTTTCAACGGAACTGAATAAAACACAGCTTGACACGAGACAAGGCCACGATCAAGAGCTGACTAAATGGCATGGAGGGATGGTTGGTGGCCATCATTGGCCCGCGGTCTCCTGCCGATCGGCCTGGCCCAAGCTCAAATCAACTAAGGATGGCTTGGATGGGGATGCGGTTCACTACCGCTCGCTGGCCGGTGTTGGTTTCCATCATTCAATTGTCGTCGGATTCCTACCTCTCCTTCCCTCCCTCCCCAGCCACGACGCCTTTCGCTCGATCATCCCTCTTCACCTCTTCCCCACGCGCCACCTCACCGTTGGGATGCTCCTGAGCTGATCCGAATCTACTCCTTCCGACATCCTTTGCGATCCGCTCGCGATTTGACCGGGTCAACTTTCTCTCACTGACACCCTACTCAGAGATTACCGGCTGCCGGTCTAGCAACACATCATGGTCGGCAAGAAGTCGGGAAAGGCTCTCCTTCGGGATGAGGGTACGGGTTCAGCGGTCTAATAAGCGATTATACCTTCTCTGCTAACAGATCTGCTTAGGCCTGGAGCGGACCGATAACAATATGGAACTCTCGAGCTGGCCGCAGATTCCTCCTATCAATCAGAAGAATTACTACACGTACGTCGCTATAACTCCCCTTTCGATACGCAATCGTGTTACTATTACCGGGCTTGTGCCCTCTATTATCCCACCTTCATCGCTGACCATCAGTTTCTTCATAGAGATTATTTGAAGCGCGATGACCAGTATCTGGCGTTCAGACTACAGAATGAGGAGAATCGAAATCGGATGGCAAAAACGGCCAAGGACCGCGATCGTGCTCTAGCCATGGCAAAGGCCAACGACCTAGGGTTGCCAGAAGCAGACGCGGAAGATGGCGATACCAACATGGAAGATGCCGAGGACGCTGCTACGGAAACAATAGGGTCGAAGGTTATTGTCATCCACGTGGGTAGTCAAAACCTGCGAATCGGACTGGCCAGTGATGCTTTGCCTAAAACTGTGCCCATGGTGATTGCGCGGAAGGCTGCTACCAGCGAGTCGGAAGACCAAGAGGAACCTTGTCCCAAGCGGTTAAAACTGGACGATGGCTCAACTATGGAACCGGAGAAGATGTTTGGCCCAGAGGTCTGATTCTCGCCCAACTCTACCTCATCGATGACTTGGCTTCTAACATATCACAGTTTGCTTCCCAGTATACGACGATGGCGGCGGAGCTCAAAACCCATATGCGACAGAACAAGCGTCGGACACTGCCAAACTCCAAGGAAATGGTCGTCAACTTCAATCGGAGGACCGTGCCAGAGACTATTTCAGAACACAATGACCCCATGCGCGTGGAATGGACTGAGATCCCTGACCCAGCACCCGAATACATCGTGGGACAAGCGGCCTTGAGGATACCCGATGACTCAAAGCCTCGCTATAAGCTTTACTGGCCAATAAGGCATGGCTGGTGCAATGAGCGAGACTATGATAACAAGCGGCTTCTCTTCCTTGACATCTCCCTCATTCTGGAGGATGCCTTCAAGACCCAACTGGGACTTACGAGCAAGAAGGATTGGCCTCAGTACTCCTGCGTCTTCGTCATCCCTGATATCTACGAAAAGTCTTATGTCACCCAAGTACTTGAACTGCTCATGAGAGAGTTTGCCTTTGCCCGAGTCTGCTTCATCCAGGAAAGTCTGGCAGCTACATTCGGCGCCGGATTCACCTCGGCTTGCGTCGTCGACATTGGCGCCCAAAAGACTTCCATATGCTGCGTCGAGGAAGGCATGTGCATTGAGAACTCTCGCGTGAACCTGAAGTATGGTGGGCTGGATATCACTGAAGCGTTCATAAAAATGATGCTTTACGACAACTTCCCTTATTCAGATATCAATCTCTGGCGCCGATACGACTACCTGTTGGCAGAAGAGCTGAAAAGGAACGTTTGCACCATGAACGAAGCGAGTGTATCGGTGCAAGTGTTCGATTTCCATCTCCGCGTTGCCGGTCACGACACCCGGAAGTACTCTTTCAAGGCTTACGACGAAGTCCATCTGGCGCCGATGGGCTACTTCCAGCCGACCATCTTCGATCACTCACAGAAGCTCAAGGGACGCAGAAAGCTGATTGCCCGCTCGGTGGATATCTACGACGGACAGCCTAATGACCCGACATCGGCCGCCCAATCACTCATTCTTTCCAGCATCGCTCCCCCGGCCACTAACGGCCAGGTGAACGGTGATTCGCAGTCGAACAACGTGGACGTTCAGGCTACCCCCAGCCGGGCCCAGCAGTTCAATGCTCTTAGTCGCGTGCAAGAGCTCGAAGCAACTCCAAGATCTTCAGTCGCTGGCTCCCCTGCGCCGGAAGCAGTCGGTACACCTCAGGCCGGCGCCGCTACCCCTGTCCCGGGCGGACAGGGCCAAAGCACCTCGCAGCCCCGTGGGCCTACTGTTGAAGAGAGGGATGACATTCTCCCCGTATACCCCTTGGATAATGCGATCTTGACCTCTATCGCTCAGGCGGCTCGATCTGATGAGCGTAAAATGCGAGACTTCCTCGGCGGTATCATGGTGGTTGGAGGCGGCAGCTTGGTCAATGGATTCCATTCCTTCCTGGAGGAGCGTCTACAGGCTCTGCGACCAGCTTTTGCCAAGGAGATCATGATTGGCACGCCGCCGCGAGATCTGGATCCGCAAGTTGTTGTCTGGAAGGGAGCCAGCGTCTTTGGCAAGTTGAGCGGAACAAATGATAGCTGGATCGGACAGCTGGAATACGATCGACTGGGACATAGACTCATGGCATACAAGTGCATGTGGGCTTACTGATCTTCTGTCTTTCCCCGAGGGCTATGGCTTTTCCTGATCTGAAAGGTGGTGTTGGTATGACACGGGAACACTATGTGACAATTTTGTAACTCTATTGAATTTCAAGCTAGCTTTCTGTTTGATCCACGAATATCCTGCAGCCTAGAGTTACAGGCATCGAATACGAATAATGACAAGTGAATGGAACATTCTGTGTAGTATGAACCGAGATTCACAACACTTCCTTTAAGACGACCAATCCAACCACTCACTGCCTGCATGCTCGGAGCATCCTTTCTCCGAATCCCCATTCACGTTGATTCACGCTAACTTTGCTAGCCAGGCGGTGAAAGGCTGCAGAAATGAGCCGGCCACCCCCATGTAAGTTTATCCTGCATCTCAATGCTCGCAATTGTGCATACTGGTTGCCGGTGCTCACTGACTGCGTTATCGCTTCCTTAAGCTCCCAGGGAGTTTATAGTGACCCGTCGGCCTCGGAGAACTCCTGGTTATCTTGTGCCTACCTCTGAGATCCCGCCGCTTACCCTCCCAGAGCCACGTAAGTTCCAACGAGCTGTCGCCGCGCGCTCAAGTTAGGAGCTCTACTAAAGTGTGTTACAGTGTACAGTTCACCTTCCTCTGACGGCGCTGAACCAAAGGTTTTGCTGCTGTCTGAGTTCCGAGCGAGCATGTCGAAATCCAAGGACAGCAGCTCCTCCGGGGGCTTTCACCAGGAGTACATTGCTTCTCTGCGCTACCGAAATGACCTGCCGCCTCCGGATATGCCCCCGAAGTTCCTCGATATTCCACATGAGGGCTTGGACCGTTTTTTGACTCCGGGATTTGCCTCCAATTTGGCTCGCCGTGAAGAACCTAACATTGATGTTGATGCTGAAGGTGGTATGCCAATCGACTTGGTCGGTATTCCCGGGCTTCACCTGGGTGATGAGAGCGGTATGTATTTCGGCTTGCATGATCTGGTCTTTCTTGCATTGGTGGCTGACAGTTGTTCGAAACACAGCGATTATGGCTCCTGAGAACCCGGAACCCATTGACCAAGCTGATTTGGCACTTCTGATGACGCCGGAGCAGCTGAAGAACCCGGCACCGAAGAATACCAACGTCAGTTTCCTTCGCCGTACGCAGTACATTTCCGCGGGTCTTCGGGCGCCTGATGGCCCCAAAGTCGCTCCTATCCGGACGAAGCGTGGGACGGACAAAACTAAGTCGCAGGATGACCCTACCTACATCAAGAAATACCTCCAGAAAGGTTTCGATATTGCGTATCCTCACAGCAAACACGTCGGTGAAGATACGGCTAGCAAGATCAAAGGCCACACTCCTACGAAGCTTGAACACGATGCATGGGCCCACCCAGTGCACCCTGATAACCCCAAGTTGAAGCCCGTCGGATTCTATCCGCTGCTCCCCGATCTGGAAGGTTTCCCGGACCCAGGTGGTTTTGTCCAGTTCAAGTTCGACAAGGCGCCTGTGCAGGACGTTTCAGGGAAGAGAGACAAGCGCATGGATGTGGCCATTCTGCTTCCATCGGCACCGGAGGAGCGCGTTTGCCAAGAGCACAACACGAAGGCAGCCTTGTATAAGACGAATCCCAATCTGTACCCTGACCCAGGTCCAATCCCATGGGATTACGATCTCTATCTACCTGAGAAGAAGGATGCGGCCAAGAACGTTTCGGCGAGTCTGCGCATGACCAATCCGGACCGCGATAATGAAGCGCTATACACTCACGAAGGAGCCGACAATACCAAGTTCCACCGCTTCGACCGCGTCCGCACCTACGCTACGAGCGCTCAAACTTTGGGCAACGATCAGAAGCAAAAGGACATCGCGTTGACGCTCTTTGACCCAGAGGAAGTGAAGGGTGGAAACCGTGACGGTCTCGACTCAAGGCAAAAGGCCGCTTACTACTATCCCATTCTCGGAAAGACCCGTCTTAAGCCTGAGAGAGCCCGTACCATCGCCCAGGCTGGTCTGGCGCCTACCCGTCCCAAGACCAAGGAGGACCAGGTCGATCAGATCCAAGTGGCGGTGCGCGATCCTGACGAAGCGGAAGTCTACAAGCGGTCCCTGCATAGGGCCGCCATTGACCCGAAGTTTGCCGAGTCGATGCCTCCACCCCCAGAGAATCAGGAGAACGATGTTGAACCAGCCAAGCAAGAGGAAGACGAAGGCGAGCACGACGTCGACCGTCAGGCCTCGCCTGAAGACGCGCACGACGATGCCGGCAATGAGAGTGACGAGTAAATGGCTCAGTCTTCCATTATATTGCATCCTCTAGGCGCTATGACGGTGGCAGGCATGCCTTCCTGAGTGTAACTTTTGCCTATGCATTACAGCTTACATACCCTTTCATTTGTCATTATGCTAATGTTCCTTGGACTTGTTCACATTGCATGGCCGTCTCCGAACGGGGTCTGCGCTGCCAGTCGCATTGATGGGCTGGTTGGCAGGTATTGGAGTCGAGGCAGCAAAAGGCGTTGTGTGGCATGATCATCTGGAGTTACGTAGCGAAGTTTGGTTCTTTTTCATTGTTGCGGCCGTGCAAATGCACAGAAACAGGCTGCTCCGGCGATTGATGTACATCCCATAAATACTAGTCAACAATTTATGATCCTGCACGAGAACATGCTCTGTTTGTCTGTCTGCCTTAAAGGTTCTATGCTACACCGCTCGGTCAGCTGGTTCTGCCGGCTAAACACTTGACCGCCTCGGGACGTTGACGCAAAAGAACCGGATATCCAAGACGCTCGCAGCAACGTCCATCCACTCCGGCAGCTTTGTCTTTGCTCGACTTGGCGGCGTAATTGCAGCATCTTTGGCTGCTAGTTCGCTAGTTCGGTGGATCTGACTTGCAATTTATTGACATTGAATGGTGAGTCGCCGGCATGATCGGTTGAATCGGCTGTTCTTCGGCATAGCAATTATAGCAAGACATAGTCTTGAGAAGCACATGCTAGTGCTTCTCCAAGGCCCAATTGCGATTATCTTCCCATATACTATACATTCATTTGAGCATTTGAGCATACAGAACTAACAATTACGTAGGTCAATTGCCCTGCCCCTCACATTCGACATCACTAGACTCCACTCCACCACAATGGCTACCAACGCAGTGGCTCTCGCCTGGAGATCCGCAGGCCGCAGAGCACCTGCTCTTCCCTCTCTCCGCGCTACTCAGCGGCCCTCAATCCTCCACCGGGAGTCTCTCCTCCGTCAGGTCCGCTATTCCTCGGACGCAGCATCCCAGACCAAAGAAGCGGCCAAGGAGACCACCGCACAGGTCACGGAAACCGTGAAAGAAGCCCCCAAGAAGACCGGCCGCAAGCTCAAGCGCACCGTCTGGGGCACCTCTCTTGCCCTGACTCTCCTCGCCGGCTACATCTATGGAACGGACACCCGCGCCAGCGTGCACCGGTACGGCGTCGTCCCTCTCGTCAGACTGCTCTTCCCCGACGCCGAAGATGCGCACCACTTCGGCGTGGACATCCTGAAGACACTCTACAAGTACGGTCTGAACCCGCGCGAGCGTGGCGACCCCGACAGTGATGGCGCTCTCCTGACCGAGGTACTTCCCCTCCCTAGTCCCCCCCTCCCACCTTACCCCCATACTCACACTCATCCAGGTCTTCGGCTACACCCTCTCCAACCCGATCGGCATCTCCGGCGGCCTGGACAAGCACGCCGACATCCCAGACCCGTTGTTCGAATTAGGTCCTGCCATCGTCGAAGTCGGCGGTACAACCCCCCTCCCCCAAGATGGCAACCCCCGCCCGCGCGTCTTCCGCCTCCCGTCCCAAAAAGCCATGATCAACCGCTACGGCCTTAACTCCAAGGGCGCCGACCACATGGCTGCGGTCCTGGAACAGCGCGTGCGCGACTACGCCTACGCGCACGGCTTCGGCGAGCACGAGCTGGCCGAGCAGCGCGTGCTGAACGGCGAAGCCGGCGTGCCCCCGGGAAGTCTCCGCGAAGGCAAGCTGCTCGCTGTGCAAGTGGCTAAGAACAAGCTCACGCCCGACAACGACATCGAAGCCATCAAGCGCGACTACGTCTACTGCGTCGACCGCCTGGCCAAATACGCCGACATCCTGGTCGTCAACGTCTCCAGCCCTAACACCCCTGGTCTCCGCGACTTGCAAGCTACCGCGCCTCTCACGGCCATTCTGAAGGCCGTTGTCGGCGCAGCTAAGAGCATCGACCGGAAAACTAAGCCCTTCGTCATGGTTAAGGTCAGTCCCGACGAGGACGCAGACGAGCAAGTCTCCGGTATCTGCGACGCCGTGTGGGGGTCTGGCGTTGATGGTGTGATCGTGGGTAACACGACAAATCGTCGTCCGGAGCCGCTTCCGAAGGGATTCACTCTGCCCAGTAAGGAGCAGGATGTTCTGAAGGAGACGGGTGGATACTCTGGTCCGCAGTTGTTTGATCGTACGGTGGCGCTGGTTGCGAGGTATAGGAGCTTGTTGGATGCTAGTGCTCCTGCTGCTGCTGCTGTGCCTAAGGCTCTCGAGGCGGCGGAGCCGGATGTCGAGAATGTGCCTCCCACTGTGAGTGAGGCTGTAGAGGGGCTGCCTGCCAGAAAGGTTATCTTTGCTTCTGGGGGTGTGACGAATGGCGCGCAGGCGAGGAAGGTCCTTGATGCGGGAGCTTCGGTTGCGATGATGTATACGGCTATTACGTATGGGGGCCTGGGGACGGTGACGAGGGTGAAGGAGGAGATGAAGGAGAAGCAGTAGAGAAGAAGGTATTGTGGACTGAGGTAAGTTTACTGCCAGTGGCTAGATATGTGATTTTAAAAGGAGCGACCGGGTTTATTGGGGTGGGTGGATGGTAGTTTAGTAGGTAGGCGTAGATTAGGGGATGTGATATTGTATATAGAAGAACTGAATAAGATTATTCTCAACCGTTCATTTGCTTTCAGGACTGATTACAGTAGCTTTATTGAGTATGTTTAATTTCGAATGATCACAGCAGGGTATCGAAATATACTGTAACTTGGTATAGTTGATATATGCTAGCTGAAGGCAAGTAAAATGGTTTGCTGTAACTGCTCGTATTAATCCGTCAACGCTGCAAGTCAGTAGAAGTAGGGAATGTCCTCGAGACGAACGAAAGCTTCAGCTGTCGATAAGGAAGGATTAGTCACTCTAGTTATTATTGCATGAGCAGATATCTAGTTGCTGCTGCCAGCAACCAAGCTAGCTAGCTAGCTATCCAGGTAGCTCTGCAGCGTATGACGTGAACGAGCGTGTGTCTTGATAAGCTGGCAGCCGTTAATTGCCTCTAGCCTATGGCACATCAATGCCACATCAGCAACCTCTTCATGCTCATGCAGTAGCTATCAACAGCACACCAAACCCCTGACCCCTAAACCCTCACCGAAAATAACCCACCTTCAGCCCCCTTCAAGGATCTAGAACAAAATCCCGGGCGTTGCTTGCAAATCCAAGCTTCAGGAATAAAATTAGATTTAAACTACCGCCCGGGTTGGCATTAAGCGATCAGATAAAGTGGGCCCCCATCGGGTCAGGTGGCCGGCAATGTCACACGTGCAGCGGAGTGGAGGGGACGACAAGCTGGTCATGCAGCCCGCCGAAATTTTCTTCAACCTCACGCGGACTCGAGCGGGCAGGATTCCATCAGGGCCCAGATCGCTGGGAGCGGGGATCCCGCAAGCTTCGAGAAGGTCTTCACCGACTCGGTTGTGATCCACATTCATCCATGAATCCATCCCACTCGGGAGGGTTATGGGTCAAGTCGGCATTGCCTGTTTCGAGATCCCATTCCTCTCTGGAAGGGAACGGAGGCTTAAACGATGGATACTGCTCGGGGTTGCCTGAACAGGATACCCGATGGTGGTGGATATCATCACACAAAGGTCTTGAAAAGGGGCTGCTAGCAGTCTAAGATTTTCTGTTCTCCCGCGTGATGCCCAATATCCCCCACATCTAGCAGTAGTAGACACTAGTAGTGTGTGGTTCATGATGTACTATGTTTGTTTTTGTGTTTTGGTATCGTCCGAGAGCGTAAACCCGAGTCTTGCATCTGCCGGAGCAGCAGACCGATGATCAAGCCAACGTCTCCTCAACCTCCCTGACCACCTTGCGGACCCCCTCGACTTCGTGGGCGAATCGGCCCAGGAACATGCCGTCGACGGCCTTCCCCAGACCGCCCGGGCCCCACAGCCCCGGTCCGGCACTTCCCCCGTACAAGATCCGGACGTCCCCCGCGCGGGTGCCAATCACCGCCTTGATGCCATCGACCACCGCCGATATGTGATCTACACCCGCCGGGGCGGGCTTCCCAATTGCCCACACCGGTTCGTAGGCAAAGATGACTGGCGCGTCCGCCGGGATGGCCTGGAGGACGGCCCGGATCTGGACCTCGCATTCGCTGACGGCCTGCCCGATGGCCTGCGAGGCTACGGGGCCAGGCGCGGTGACCTCTCCGATGCAGACCAGCGGAACCATACCTTGTGCGCATGCAGCGGCAGCTTTGCGGCCAGTCTGATCATCTGTCTCGCCAAAGATGGCGCGGCGTTCTGCGTGACCAAGTTCGACAATGGACACCCCCATCGAGCGGAGCGCCAGCGGCGAGACTTCTCCGGTGTAGGCGCCCAGTGGCTCCCAGAAGCAATCCTGAGCCCCAAGCAGGAATGGAGCTGGCAGTGAAGGAGCATCATCCTTTGGTAAAGTGGATTCCCACGCCTTAATAATCTCCGCACAGGGGTAGACGGTCAGGAAGTCGGGGATAAGGGCCAGCAACAGCTTGGAACGGTTCTCCGGGCGGACAATATCATTCTTGGGGTCGAGCAAAGCACGGCAGTAGTCGAGCGTACGGGTAGGTGTAAAGTACATCTTCAGCGAGATGATGAGCAGGTTCTTTGGGAGAACCGGGTAGGCTTGCTGGGACGCCATGGTGGGTGACTTGAGACACCGGTGTATTGATGCGATGGGACCGGTGAATGATGGTCTTCGAGAGTGATTTCCGTAGCAATCAGAGAACGATCAACTGGTCTCCACTGGTATAGACTGGCCAACGAGATTAGTTGTCTGAAATCTGAGACTGCTAAACTCCACTATGCTGGTGAGAGCACCCACTCGAGCGTAAGAGTAGTGTGTTGATAGGGAAGGATATTGTGTGATGGTTGCTGGGTCGGGGATTCGATCGAAAATGTTAGAATCGAGGGAGGCTGGATTAGCGTAACGGAAATAGCGCAGTAGGAGACAACACAGGGTAACGAGGGGCAGTGCCAATCAGTCGAGCACGGAAGTAGTAGCCATGCTGTGCCGCGGACCATTTCATTGGGGCCTAATTTAGCATGCAACCGGTTCTCCCTTCACAGTTTAGTGTTGGGAGGGAAAGAGGAGACACGATGGATCGGCCCACGCGAGGTGCATCTCCATCCGCTGATGTCAGAGCAGCGATGAAAAACCTGGGGAATGGCGGGTGGTTTAGTGTGGTAATTTAAGAGGGTCGCAGTTTTACTGCCTTGATACTCTATCAGATGGATTCGGGAATGGAATTGAATAACTAGGGGAGCGAAGAAGTACGAGGCGTGCAAGCCACTCTGCACATTGGAGAGAGGCTTGAATGAGGAGGTGTGGGAATGCGAGTCGGGAGAGGAACCAAAACACACGCAAGAATCAGACTCTCGGCTTGCAGAGAAAGGAGACGCAGAGCCTGCCTGATTGAGGCATAGAGTGGAAAGATACAGAATCGACCGGAAATGAAGTTGTCGCCAAAGACAGATTCCGACTGGTCCGCTTGGACCTCGTCGGTTTCCGCGATACAGTAAGTTACCCGGGGAGTTCTGGATCCCCTGGAAACGGTATGACTTGTCACTTTCCATCGATCGGACGTCAGCGGGCCACCAATAATAGCAAGAGTCCTATCAGAGGCCAGTAAAATACTAGTTTGGTGGGGATGGAGGGAAGAGGTGGGGCGTGCAGTTGTAACCTCGTTTGGACTTCCGAGAGCCCAGCCTGGACTGTTTGGGGTATCTTGCAAAAAACAACATTACTCGAGCTATGTATGTTCTGCTGTATCAATCATTGAGACAAAGCATAATTAGGAACTTGTTGTGGTGTGTGGATGGTTAGAGAACAAGGCACAGCAACAACCAAAAATTGGTGTATCTCAAGTTTGGACATTGAACGCGTCAAATGGCGTAGACTGAACTGCCACCATTTGAGATTCACCCAGCCTAGTTGCACTTACAAAGTACTTCCTTTGTAGGAGTTAGTCCTAAATCCTTTCCGTGAACTGACTGGTTCCGACTATCTGTAACAGGCTAACAACCATGCGCTTTGATACGGACGGGATCCTCCACTTTCTGCTCGCTGCCTGCCGTGGGCCGTCGACCCCAGAATCATCCTACGATAATAATAACAGCATAGTATACTATACTGGATGGTAGAAAGGCCGAGGTTGAGCCTCCTCCATGTATGCCACATGAGCAATTCTCAGACCAGCGGAGCTTCCCATGACTGGTTATGCCAGCAACAAGGGGACTATACATGCTGTTGCTGTTGCTGAGAGTTCGGTATCCAATCTTCAATCGTCGATGATAGTCTACTGCCAATCCCATGTCTATCATGGGATTGATTGCAACTCAATGCGAGCTAACGTCCCTCGGAACTAATACGACACCGATGCTATCCCGGATGAGCCCACACACCATTCCCGCGCCCCCTCTTCCTCATTTCGGTATACTTCTATGTATTGGGCAATTGCCCAGGGAAAGCTGAATCCGCGCCAAAGAATGCCTGTATACGCTTCCTGAATAGGCCAAGTAGGCCGATAATAGTGCGCGGGCATGCAGTTCCCCCTCTCCCCCAACCCGGTTAGCTTGGCCGCGGACCTGACCCGTTACCAAACATCCAAGACATCCAACAAGGGGGAAGGATGGAGGAGAATCCCGGGGCAATCTGAGGTCGGTCCCGAATGGCAATGCAACAGAACCGAATGGGAAGAATTAGGAGGAGACCAGATGGCGGGCTGACATCATCGGCTGTTGCGGGATGGAACTATTCCCGGTGAATTTCACCGTAGAGATAAAGTCGGAAGAGAGAAAATATCACAGTAACAAGCATACGGTATATGGTAGGTAGTCCGTAGCGTAGACAGTCATACTACTTTGAACTATGTTGTCACTGGCTCAAAACCCTCCTAATCTGTCCGAAAGGGTTCGCCAATCCGGTCTCAACGCCATTGGTTCCGCTTGCAGGCAGTCGCAGCAAAACAACCTTTGAGAAGTGCAAGAATGCATGACGCCATGAGTGGAGCTGGCAGAACCAAACATGGCCCGGCCCAAAACCGGCTTCTCTGGATCGCCTCTAGCTGTGGGGAGTGCGAAACTAGTGTCTATCGCTGCTGTCGCGCATGAAGCACGAAAAAAAAAGCATGAGGGATAATCAGCATTGGTTCGTAACGGCCATTGGGACATGCGTGTCGCCAAACCGAATTGGCGTCTACCACCGAACTTTGGGTCCAGGAGGCACGGCACGGCCTTTTCTCCCCCACTGCATCGGACCTTTCGATCGGAAAAGTAATTGAAGGGAGGGGGACAATAGGAGGGGAAGACAGAGAGCTGGAGAGCTGAAGAAATAGGTATAAAAAGGTCCATGTCTTCCATCTTCAACCCTCTCTTTCATCACTATTCCATCATCATCATTATTCTTATCTACTTCAAGTCACATTCACTCTCCACTTTACTTCCAAGACTTTCTTGAATCCCTTTACTTCCCTCCACACTTTCCACTATGTCTGCCGATCCGAAGCCCCTCCGCATCGTCGTGGCCTGCGATGAGGCCGGCCAGCCCTACAAGGAGACCCTGAAGGCTGCTCTCGAGAAGAACCCTCTGGTTGAGTCCATCCAAGACGTGGGCGTCAACTCTACCTCCGACAAGACCGCCTACCCTCACCCCGCTGTCGCTGGTGCCAAACTCATCAAGGAGGGCAAGGCAGACCGTGGTCTCTTCATCTGCGGTACTGGTCTTGGTGTCGCCATCTCCGCCAACAAGGTGCCCGGCATCCGCGCCGTGACGGCACACGACTCCTTCTCCGTCGAGCGCTCCATCCTCAGCAACGACGCCCAGGTGCTTTGCTTTGGCCAGCGCGTCATCGGCATTGAGCTTGCGAAGAAGCTCGCCAACGAGTGGGTGACCTACCGCTTCGACCCCAAGAGTGCCTCCGCCGCCAAGGTGCAAGCCATCTCCGACTACGAGAAGGAACTCGCTGGTACTGCTTAAGTGGGACTGTCAGTCAGTCTGTCAGTCAACCCCAGTCAATCCAGTACTACGATGTTCCTTGTCTGTGCGGCATGACATGAACACCAGCCACAACCGAAGTGGCAGCGGCAGCGCCATAATCTCCGGCGTGTTACTATAACTATAGCTTCCTTTTCACCTCTTACTTTCGAGCGAAGCGATCTGGTACGGCTGGATCCGGGCCTTTCCCTTCTAATATCCGACGAGTCAATGATACCACGAGTTGTACGGAATGATATGGCCGGCCATTCTTTCATTAGAGCAGTAGGTAGAAAATGTACTATATTGCTCCATATGTCTTCTATGTTGTAGACGATCGTTTATACCATCAAGATCCATTGTAATCAACCAAGTAACTCTCTACACCAATACAGTATGGCAATCGCTAAGTAACTCTCACCCTCCAACATTTCCTGACCACTCATAACTGCTGACTCATCTGGATTCTGCGGGGATCGATCACCTTCGATTGATCAAACCACATCTTTTCCACTGCACAGGAACAGGCATAAAATCGAACATCAATTGATGAAGATGGACAATCCAACGTGCCGTCCCGACACCAGGGCTGTGTGGATCACGACTGAAAGCTCACCCGAGCTCATCAATTCCATTCCTGAGCTGACCTCCAAGGATCTCAGGTCCCAAGAGGGGTAGCTGAATAGTACTTATCTGGATACTTATACTCACGAATCGGCCAGCACTCCCATGACCGTGCAGCATCATTCCTCCATTGCTTCTATCATCAATTATCCCATCGAGTTGAAACTCACTCCACATCCACTATCCGCTAGACAGAACGGATAGAATCTCTAGCACATCCAGTCACCATCTACTTCACTCACAACAGTGGAGATCACCGCGCAGCCCCACACATCCGACATCCGAGGCGTTGTTTCTTCGTTTGTTCCTTCGTTTGTTCTTTCCAGCTGACAAAACATCGTCACGGAAACAAAAAGGGGATATTCCCGTCGTCATTCACAGCACAAACCAGTGTGCGCACAACACACCAGCGCGCACCACATAGCACCTAACAGCACTGCACAACACAGCAAACATGGCTCTTGAACTAAAAGAAAAGGGCAACCAGCTCTTCAAAGAAGGCGATTACAATGGCGCCGAGGAGATGTATTCACAAGCGTGAGCATATATCCCACTACCCCGCTAACACCCAAACCTCCACTAAATACCAAGCGTATACTAACCACCGAATACCTACAACAAACAGAATCCTCAAGAACCCTAAAGAACCCACCTTCTTCTCCAACCGCGCCCTCACCCGCATCCGTCTCGAAAACTGGGCCGGAGTTGAGCACGATGCCCGCGCCGCCATCGATCTGTACGGCGCCAAATCTCCTACTAGTTTGAAATCCTCCTGGTATCTGGCACAAGCGCTGTTGGGCTTGCAACGACCTCAGGAAGCATACGATGTAGCCATTGAAGGGTATAAGGCGAGTCTGGCGGCGAAGAACATCCAGACGGAGAATTTGTCGCGGACGGTGCTGCGCGCTAAGCAGGCAATTTGGGCGGCCAAGGAGACGGCGCGGATAAGGGAGTTGGATGAGACGCTGGCGAGTGTGGAGGGGCTGATTGAGGCGGAGATGGAGAGGGGGTTGACGGAGTTGAAGGGGCGGCTGGAGAAGGGCGAGATTGGGGAGATTGGGTTTAGGGAGGATGAGAGGGAGATTAGAGAGGATGCTGAGCGGAAGGTGCAGAGGGTGAGGGAGGCGTTTGCGATTGCGTCGGAGGGGAAGGTGGTTGAGAGAGTAAGTTCTTCCTTCTTCCTTTTCGGTGAGTTACTAGTGAGTTGTGCTGATAATATGGTATAGGTTGTGCCTGATTATCTGGTGGATGGAATTACGTTTGAGATTATGCATGACCCTGTTATCACTCCATCCGGGACCAGCTTTGACCGGTTTGGCATCACCAAGTACGTGGAGCAGGCCAAGGTTGACCCCATCACACGAGTGCCGATGACGGTGAATGATCTTCGGCCGAATTATGCGTTGAAGGCGGCGTGCGAGGAGTTCCTGGATAAGAATGGCTGGGCAGTGGATTGGTGATTAATTGCACAATTAGTATGATTAGCATGGCGTTGGTAGTAGACTACTTGATACCATTAACAGGACATATGCTTGTATACTATATTCAGAGTAATACAATGTATACTAGTTACACTTTACATTTCATTTGAGAGACCAACAGATTAGTCAAAGTGCCTTGGTATGCATAGTAGCCTTTCTATGTAGATTTTTGTTATATCCATATTGACCGTCAGTCTTTGTCTATTCCAAACCCAGCATGCCATGTTAATGTCGGACAGACAGTATGTCTTATTTGTCCTTATTCCGTATCTCCGTGGACCCAATTATTTAACTGGTATTCCATGTACTACTTTTCTAGTAATTATCAAAACAATTAAACCCTTCAGGTTATCAACATCCACATCATCAATTGCTTTGATATTGACACTAATAAGTAAACACCTCACAAACGCAATATATTTAGCGCCCCGCCAACCAAGTAAAAACACCCCGTTATCAAGACCTGAGATGCATTATCCTGCTGCGCATTTATGCTTCTTGCTGTCTCGATCGCTTCTTCGATGGTCTCTTTTGTCGAGATTGAACTCATGCTTTGGGGGAAAAGCTCTTTCCATTTCTCGGCGAATAAAGGTAACACGCTAAGATCTAGAAGGGAGGTGGGGAGTGCATCTATATAATTCAAGAGTCATTAGTTAGTACGAGACAGGGTACTGGAGATTTATGCAGGAATAGCGTTCCTGACCTTTATCCATCTTTGTAAGTTCATCTTCTCGTTCAATGTAAGTAGTGAAAATCACATGGTCCGGCAGTGCATCTCGCTCAGCGAGAGACTCTGCTAAGCATTCGAGAAGGGCTAGGCCGTCTCGGTCTTTGGAGAAGTGGCTGAATATTAGGATTCGGTATCTGTGATTTACTAAGGTTAGTTGATTGAGTGTTTCATGATAGGGGGCCATACCATACTCACTTTTGCAACCCGGAACCCTTGGTGAGATCTGAATACCACTCCGCGGCTTTCTTAAGACTAAGCGTGTTATGTGCGCCGTCCACGAACCACTGCGTTTGTCCGTCTGGGTCCTCGATAATCTCGAATCTTCCGGGCAGAGAGATATCTCTCACCGCGGTGGATATGTCCTCTGGCTCGAGTTCATGACCAGGTGCCTTGGCTTCCAGGAATGTCTTGGCTAGCTTGAGGGCTAGGGAGCAATTTAGTCGCTGGACTGGAATACTCAGCACCCTACTGTTAGTGGGGAGGCTGGGATTTAGCGAGACGATGGTCAATGATGTATTCTTCTCCGCAGCACGAGCGTGCAGGACCTCTGTGGGCCTATCTTCCTGCGGAACGGATAATGCAGGTGCACTGGATTTGAAGATTCCTGACTTATGCCAGGCAATGGATTCGACCGTAGGGCCGAGCTGTGTAACGTGGTCCAGCCCTATGGAAGTGATGCCGGTGACGACGGGGTTCTGGATCACGTTCGTAGCGTCGAACTCACTACCATGATGGACTTCGAATATTGCGGCGTCAACGTTTTCTCGGATGAAGGTGTGGAAAGCGAGCAGGGCGAGGAATTGCAGGTAGCGAGGTGGCTGTTGTTTTGGATCTGTGTTTTGGGCTTTGGGATCCATGAGCGTATCCCATACTTCGAAGAAATATTTTGTGAAGAGGTTCTTGGGGACGGGTTTGTTGTTGATTTGGATTCTTTCTCGGATGCATTGTATATGAGGTGATGTGTAGAGTCCGATTTTACTGGGAAAGCCGGTCCTCAAGCCATGTGCATGTAGGATAGAACGAGTAAATTCGCATGTGCTGCCTTTGCCTTTTGTGCCTGTGACGTGGACTATGTTTAAACGGGATACATCGGTTTCCTGTATCTAGTAAGTAGACGCAGTTTCTTGTAGCAAGTAAAGGGCCTACGGAGTGTCCGAGGATCTGTAGCCACTCGCTCATTCCATGCAGACTCGGGATACCTCGCACAGTGCTGGTGAAGTCTGCTGGCAGTGCATCTGTTTGTACAGAAGGGCTCATCCTTGGTCGGCCACGACGCCTGCGCGTTTCCAGGAGTCTGATGGCATCCTGCTGCGGTTGTCAGAGGCAGTAAATGATATGGATGTTGACAGCGTACCTCGTAAGTGCGAGTCATTTGGTTCCTTGATTCCACAGTAAACTCTGCGATACACTCTTCTCAGACTTCAAGAGATACTTCTGAGCGTGTTTCTGGGTTCGTTAACTCAATGACGCATCCATAGAGTTGCTCGCGAGTGTTCAGGGTGAGGTTGCATCCAGACAAAGCGAGCCCGTCGATGTATTTATTAACGGTTTTGGTCATGATAAAGGAGCTTTGTCCGGGACTCCCCAGGGCCAACTATTCAAATAATGAGGACAATTCCGAGCATTCAATAAAGGATCCCTTACCTAGCCCGCAGAGCAGTTGGCGTAGATGATCCATCGCTCGTGGTAATCCTGCTGGGGTACATAGAGAAACACTATTTTCCAGCATGAAGACGAGCGCAAGAAAGAAGAGACATATATTGTAGAGAACTGCAGACTTTGTTATAACTTAGCACAAGGTCTGATGACAACCAGAAAGACATTCAGTACTAAGCTATGCAGCTGTTTTGCACCAAAGTGGCAGTCCATAACATAGTATCCAGAAACCCACTCAACGGTTGAGCCAACAACCCTCCATTTCAGTAACCACCAAAACAAAATCAACAAATCAGACAATATCCAACTAGACAAAATCTCATACTATTGCAGTGATCAGCAAATAGTCAATTAGTACTCAGTAGTATGTATAAGTTAGTAGTCACCTGAGAAGTATCCATAAACCCAACCAATAACCAACCGTGCAAACTCCCCCACCAAATCAACAAATCCCCCCCACCTTCACCTTGTCTTTCCCAACTCACTACTTATTCTTCCCCTCTTCCTCCTCATCCCACCTACAACCACAACTCCCACTTCCCAAACCACCCATCGAATAAACTCGACAGCCAAAATGTCCGTTCCCAACTTCACCACCGCCCTCTCCGCCTCCATCAACAAGGAGAAGTTCACCCCCGAGGTCCAGGCCGCCGCTGCCAAGGTCGACATCTCCGCCTTCTCCGCCGCCATCGAGGCCGTCCTTGCTGGCGAGGAGACCGCCACCGTCGAGGGCGAGCAGGCTGCTGCCCTGAAGTCTGCCTTTGAGTTCGCTGTTGAACTTGTGAAGATGCTGAACAAGGAGCCTGGTGTGGATGACAAGTTGAACGTATGACCGGCCCCTCTTTTCTCCCTCGGTTGCTCCGTCCCTTTTGGAGGGGGAGAATGTGACGATTTACGCTGAAGGTATATGCTAATATGTGTGTCTGTGTGTAGCTCTACAAGTACTTCAAGCGCTCGAGGAACGAGACTCCTGCTCAGCCTGGCATGTTTGCTATGGAGGTATGTTTCCTTTTATCCATCTTGGATGTTTATATGTCCTTTTCTCCGGATGCAAGATCTGTGATGAGAGTGGAGGGCTAACATGTTTGCTTTGATGATATAGGCCAAGTACAAGTACAACGCATGGAAGGAAATCCAGCACATCAGCGAGGGCAGGGCCCAGGCCGAGTACATCAAGCAGGTTGACACTCTGATTGGAAAGATTGGAACGAGGGAGTAGATTATAAACCTACAAGGTCATAAATGAGGAGATATCATGTGGTGGATACATTGTCTATTAGCAGGATGAGATGAGTTATGAGCTACTTACTACTCAACTAACTACTTAGCTATTGAGCTGCTTGCATAGTCATTATTGATTCTTTTGATATTGATATGTGTATGGGTGGTAAGAGATCAGAATATAGGCTATCCCTCCCACGTCTGCCCCAGCCAGTCCGGCTCGCTATGACTAGCCGTCGCACACCAGGGTATATCCGTCTCGCCGTACCTCGTCAACGGCAGATCGTAGGGCATTCGAAAACCAACCGTAGTCGTAGTAGGAATTTCCTTTTTATCTGCATTTGCATTTGCATCTGCAGCCGCAACCGCATCTGCATCAGGCATATCCCTCCGAAAGCAAGGCATCATCACACTCCTCCCCTCAGCACCAGCACCGGCAATCAACTCCGGCCAAACCACAACCCCTATCTCCCAACTACATATCCTCACCTCCCCGTTAGCATTTACCGCTGCTCCCCACGCCTGCGTCGACAAATTCGCCGATGTCACCATCGCCCAATCAATCCGGTCCATCTCCGATGACGAGTACCGGATATACGTCTTGATGTGCGGTGCCGCACGGCGACGACCTGCTTCTCGTTTCATTTTCACCTCGTCCTCAGCGACATCTCCAGCCCAGTGGCACAGATACGGCCTCATGTACTGCAGCTGTTTCTGTTGCGCGGCGCTCTGTAGCTTCATGTGGATGGAGCCGCCGGAGCCGTAGCCGTTCAGGGAACGACGGATTTCATCAGGGGTGGGGAAAACGATCGAGAATCTTGGTTTGGGGTTGTTTGATGACGGGGAAAGGGACGCAAAGAAGACGTCCTTGAGCCATTTGTCAGTTTGGCCGAGAGAGGCGACGGAGGATATCTATACTTCGTTAGTGGATATTCCATAGGCAGTCCCAGTGGGTGATAAGGACAGCCAGCCTACCTGAGTTACAATATGCGGTCTATCCTCTGAAGGAGAAACAGGCACCGACCGCAGGACATCCCTTAGAGCTAACCACCCCCACAGCGTCTTCTGGTTCGAATCAGTCGACTCCCGGATCTTCTGCTTCGAGGGGACACTAGCGATCAATGCTGCGCGGACAGCGCTGAAGTCGTGTTTCTCAAGCTGCGCAACAAGCGGACCGGTTTTCCTCTGCCCGTACTCTCGTAGATATGAGAGGAGGTCGCGCTTGAAGCGTGCCCCGGGGGTGGCTATATTTTCACTCCCACTTCCATCGGAACAGAGTGGAAGAAGAGGAGATCGCCAAACGGCCTGGCACATATTTGCCCAGTCGCCTGCGATCATGTTTGCCGTGTGGATGACCACTCTGTGTTCACTGCATTAGCTTTGCTAGATACATTAGTGGTATTATGGATACACACTGAGCCAAATCATCATGTCTCAACAAAATCATCATCTTGGAATGATGGGTCCCGAACGCTTCTGGCATGTAGGCCACTATTGCCTCGACGTTGGGGTGACGTGTACATGCTTCCTATTCATGTCATTAGCATTATTATCACATATTACATATCCCAATACGAGTCAATATGGGAAGAAAAGAATGAAGAAAGGGTATATACATCAATCCTCTGCCGATTCGGCGCATCTCTCTTCCACGAGCCATGCACAACCTTCACCTTGACCAGCCGTCTCACATCCTCGTCAAACTGGCTCATCAAAAAGTCCACATCAAAGAGGTAATTGAACTGCCAGCATTCGCGGATCAATGGATCCCCGAGAATGTCGCGCAGTCGGACAGTGTCGGTGTTGTGACCTGAGGAGGCGGGGAGGTCCCGGATGTGGGTTAGTTGGATGGGAGAGGGTATTATACTCTCCTTGTTTATTTCTCTATCGTTGTTCTTTTTGGTTTTCTGCGTGCTGGGTGATGCTGGGTGGGTGGCATTGTGTTGTGGTTGTGGCGGTGTTTTTGGTCCCTTGGAGCGGGAGAGCAATGGAGGTGTTATGGAGCGGTGCAGGGATGCTAGGGGGTGATTGTTACTCTCAATGCTGCTGCTGTTGCTCGCTTGGTTGGAGTCATTGTCTGCATTATCTATGTTGGAGGATAACTTGGCCCGTTTGGCAGGCCGGTCTGGTTCTTCCATGTTGCGGTTGAGGTGAGGTGAGAAGGTGGTGAGGGAGATGCGGTGATGGCGGATAGCATACCGGTTACATGTGGATATTGCCAACATCATAGGTAGAAGGTTTGCTTCACAACCACGAAAATATTCAGATCTATATTTAACTATTACTACACTATTATACACTATACAGTTTTACAAGTCTACCACATGAAGCGCTGAATCTTCCCCGGTTCCTGGGGCCATTCGAACCCGCAGTACAGGAAGATGTATCCCGTCACCGCATTGATCACCAAGAACCAATACGTCTCCAGGAACAGCGCCATGTTCGTGGCAACCTTCGCGTTGAGCTCCTCAGTCGCATCGCGCGCCCGCTGACGGTGCACGAGGGGCGTCGGCTGCGGGGGCAGATGCAGCCGCCACATCACCCACGGAATGATAAAGTATCGCGGCTCGACAAGCGGCGCCGTGATGAGCGACAGTGCCGTGGCCGCCAACCAGACAAGCACAAAGCTTACCTGCGGCGCGCCCTGGTGCTGCTTCTGCCGGTGCGCAATGTGCTCCTGGATCCTGGCGTACGCCTCAAAAGAGATCGGCTCCGGCTTGGGCGGCTGTGCGGGTTTCTTAGCTGCCTTTCGACGCTCGGCCTTCTTCTGGCTGGGTTCTTTCTGCGGCACTGGCTCAGGCTGAGGGGCTGCTGTCTGCGGGACACGCATCAACTGGGGAGGCGTGGTAGTCGTTGAGAATCCAAAGGCGGAAATGACCATCCACGCGCAGAGGAAGTACACTGCGACAGCAGCATACTTGATAGCCGGGTGAATGCGCAGAAGGATGCGGAAGACGTAAAAGACATAGTGACGGTTGTCGGCCAGGGTAAAGGGATGGACGATGGTGTTGAAGTGGACCACAGCCAGCATGATGGGAATAACAACAAGAGCCGTCAACAGCTTAGGAAGGCCCTTTTGCTTCTTCGGGAAGCCAAAGTCGATAAACTTGGGCAGAAGCGACTTCGGAAGAACCAGGTTGGCGACCGGCGACAGGAGGAGAGGCCATGAGAAGAAGACGAAGTAGGGCCAGATGTAGAGCATCTGGGGCAGATGCAGCCCAGCAGTATGGTACTCCTTGTGTCCTGCAGTTGTCAGCCTAGCACCTGCAACACAACCCGTAGTAGACCTACCAAGAACGACCCCATCATTCCACAGCACGAACCCTCCAAACCCAGCAAGTATAAGCAAGTACGGAAGAGCAGAGCTAATCACCGTGCCGAGGTTGTTCACGGCAACAACCACCAGCGAAACAGACGCTTTGAAGTAGTCTACCTCAGTCAGCAATGCTACAACACACCACAACGACAACACTAACCTCCAATTGAAGCTTCCGACACAAACGGATCATACAGCTCGTTCTTCCACCCTGCCTGAGCAATATCCGCGAATCCCGACGCCTCGCATCTCTTAGAAGACAACCGCAACCGCCGCACGACCTGCAGCCCACCCAGGAAGATCGCCACCCAGAAGATGTTCGTCTGTCTGAAGACCAGCGCCACCAGCCCCAGCACGACAAACACCAAAGTCTGAAGCGGGGCAAAGCCACCCTGCGACGAGCGTTTCAGGTCCCAGTTGTACGCCTCAATGACCACCAGCAGCGCAAGAATATCGGTATAGTATAGGCCGGAGAAGAAGAACAGCGGTGGGAACAGGCAGATGTTCAGAACGGTATGGCTTAGCCATGCTCCAGAGGGACGCGTGTTGCGTACCTTGCGCAGCCGATCCAACAACGTCTGCAATCGCAACGGCAGAGCCACGGCGGTGGCTGCCACGTTGGTCGCACGCAAAGCTTCCGGTGTAAGCTGCGTTGGGGAACCGCGCAGGAAGAGCGCGATCGCGCACAGCACATAGGACCAAAGATAAAGTCCCGGGGGAGTGGTGATCTTGGGATCCCAATGCGTCCACTTATGAGCCCAGTAGGCCTGAGCCTGGGGGACATGGAAGGCCTCATCCAGATACGGTTCGGGAACGACGGCATTGATCCTCGTCATCCAAAAGGGGATCAACAGCAGAACAAAAGGTATGGTGTAGCGGGCGGCCAATGCCACGCCCGACTTGGGTTGCGCATTCATGTCGGTCAATTCTTAGGCAGGAGGTCAACCATGCTCAACAATTGAAGTGTGTAGAAGAAGAAGAATAGATCAATTAATCTAAAAGACACGAGCGGAAATGCAAGCTTGCAGTGCAAACCGAACAAACACACCGCATCGGGCAATCGACGCCCATCGCGATCGAATTTGAATGAACAACTTCAAGCTTTCCTTCTTTCATTCGGTCCGCAAAGTAACTCCGGGGCATGAAATACTCTCCTCCGGCTGCCCCGACACGTCCCTAACTCCTTTCCCCCGGCCAATCCACGCGCAAACGTGAGGGGCAATGGCCTTTCCCCTCCCGCGGGGCATCACGCCCCCGGAGATCTCCTTCCTCGCGGAGATGGAGATGGTCACCATCTTGCCTCGTCAGCGACTCGAGGGGCTTGAATTACTGGGAGTACGTCCTATACACACATCTTCCGCTACTAATCACAGCTAACAACTCTTCCAATAGGGCCCCGTCTCCCCCCTCCTCCCACCCCGACGCACCTCCCTCCCCCTCTGGCTTGCCCTCCTCCTCAAACGCCAACGCCGTGCCAACATCCTCCCCCCGCCCTGGCTCCACCCCGAATCTCTGGAGCTCATCCTCGAAATCGAGACCCAAAACGACGAATACCAGCACGCCTTCTCTCCGCCACCTCCACTGCCCGGCCAGCCCGCCCCGGGAGATCACCGTCGCGCTCCGCTCGCAACCCCGCGCTACACTCCCTCCGGCGAGAAATACTACCCTGCGCCGCCGTTCCTGCCTCAGAATACAGCACGCGATCACATCCCGCCGGGCGAGCCACCGGCACTACCGTTCCATTGGTTGGAGGTAGGGACGATGTTGCTGGAGGCGGCGAGCGATGATCTTGTGGATCCGGATCAGACGAGACGGCTGTTGAAGGAGCTGAGGGAAGTGAGGATGGCGAAGGTTAGGGCGGGTGTGGATGTCCTAGATGCGGCGGCTATGGGGGGTGGGGGTGTTGCGTTGACGGGTGTGGGAGCTATGGAGTTGGGAGAGGGGAGGAGGTTCATTGCGGGGGTGGTGGATGGACTGAGGTATGTCCTTGTCACTTCTTCTATTCTTTTGTTTCACAATCGTTGTTGGAGGTGGGTTGCTAACGAGTCATGTCGATAGGCGCATCGGGGCGTCCAAGGAACAGGCGAGGAGAGAAGAGATGGCAGAGGAAATGGCGAATGGGGGGTATGATGGGACACAAGACGATGATGATGAAATGGAGTTTTAGATGCTTCTTCTTTTCTTGCTTTATATTTGCAATGCGTGGGTTGGTTCATTGTTCGTTGTTTGTTACATGATGGGAGTTATGGGTGTCAAGTCTATATGTATGGGACATGGCAGGACATGATCATATTGGCATCGCACATACATCAGATACATGTATGTATATATACCCTATATCATTGGTTGGAAGTTACTTGGTTGATGGGCCAGGTGTCGTGCTAGTAAGCAGGTAGTAGATAGGTAGTAAGTAGTCCCAATCATTCCCACTATCAAGAACACCAGATGCATGCGACGCTCAGCTTGAAATGAGAGAGAGAGGAGAGGGAAGATAATAGAAAAGGACATGACAAGTCAATCTCCGAAAGACAGATGAAAACAACAAAAATACCAGAAACAATGGATTGAATCTTACATCCCCAACGCCGACGACAAGAGGTATATAACAACCCGAAGGAGATAGAAGAAGCATGCAAAAATGATCCAACTGGATACAGAATGAAAGGCATAAATAAACACCCTTTTCGAGTAAGCCGTCAGTCTACCTACCCCTATGACGCGCAATACCGGGGCCCCAGATAGTAGTTCTAGGTTTTCCAGTCCCCAAAGCCCGGCGAGCTTCATTGAGCAGCCTGATCCTTCTGCATCATCTTCCTCCGCGCCGCCAGAATCATCTCGTCCCTCCGCTTCTGCAGCAAGCGCTGGCGCTCCTCCTTGCTCTGCGACCAGCCTGTCGTGGAAGAAGCCTGCGACGGTGCGGACTCGGCGGCGCTGTTCTCGGCCTCAAGTTTCGCGCGGAGATTATAGCGGGAGATCAGGTCCTGGGCATCGGCCTTGGAGGTCGCCGTTTGAGTGGGTTGTGATTGAACAGGGGCCGTAGTGGGGATAGCGATCTGAGGTTGGAAGGATGGGGGCGGCTACAAGGTAGTTTGGGTTAGCTGGCTATGCATCTGACTCAATGCGGGGGAACGAGATAGGGGAAGAAAGAGGAGCAGATGATGAATGACCAGCGACGCAGGTCAAGATGCATCCAAGAGAGGAAGGAATAAGGGAATAAACTCACCACTTCCAGGCCCCGACCGGTCAGGATTCTCTCCGTTGTCGCCGCAACACTTCCCCCGTTGCGCTGCAAATCCCACATGATCTCACGGGCGCTGAGCTGAGGGAACATCTGGGATATTTGCTCGACTTGGGCTGGGTCGACGGTGCCTCGCGCCCGACTGCGACTGCTGCCGGGTCCGGCCTCTCCTCCATCGCGGTTGAGAAACCATCGCAGCACGAAGAATGACACCACAGCGAGGGTGAGGAGAGAGGGGATGTTCAGAGACGGCTCTTCTTCTGGCATTGTCGTGACGATCTCTATGAGCGAGGTAGAGGGTAAGGGACGAAACGTGGACTCTTGGTTGGGTCGGATGGGGAGTCGCGACTCGAAACTAGCGTATGCGACCGCCTTGAAGGTAACGGAATGAAACAGGTAAAGCTCGAGGCCCAGAACAAGGCGGCGTTGGATAGAATGCTGGGGATGGAGGAGGAGTGATGCCGCGGCAGTTCGTTTGGGGGGAAAGCGGCGAGGTGGCGGTGGGACACTCGGATCCCGGCCGGATCGGGGCGGGCACGTTGACCGAGTGCGGCGGTGCTTGAGTTTCGGGGCTGTTTGGCCAGGGGAAAAAGGTGAGAAAAAGCAAATAAACTCTCCCACCAAGAAAAGGGGAGGAAGAACGACGATCTACTCAACGGGACAAGGTGGCAGACAACCGAGGAAGGCCGTGTCTTGCTGGCATCCACCCGATGTTGTGGTAGATGATGCCAGCAGTTGGTCGCCCTTTATATAGTAACCAGGTACTCCAGCCTCCGTCCACTTGATTGCATCCTACCGCTGTCTCTACGGAAATCTCCTTGCGTCCGTCATTAACATATCTCATAAGAGTACGGTGTAGAAACTGCAGAATCATCCAGAATCATGTACATCATCCGAAAACACCCCGTCCCAACCTCCTGGCCTGTCACATAACGCGCCATGTCCAATGTCCAAACCAAAAGATCCATATGCACCAACGCAATATCGACAAATGAAGAATAACAATCCCGGCTTGAGGTCTACTTCATGTCGGCAGGAGTCAAGGCCTGGACCACACTGGTTCCCTCGCTGAACCTTGTGCGGAAGATCCGGTTGGCATTCTGGAACATGCCGTCCTTCAGCGACACAACAATGAACTGTGATCCCTTGAATCGCGTCTTGATCAACCGACCAATGTTCTGGGTATGCGACAGATCCAGAGCGGCATCAACCTCGTCCAGAATGTACATTGGCGCCGGCTTGAATTGTAGTAGCGCCATGATTAGCGAAAGCGCGATGAGAGACCTAGACAAAGTTAGCTCGTAGCCAAATAATACCCCATCGGAAATCCACGTACCGTTGTCCACCACTCAGCTCGGTCAAACTCTGCTTCCAGACCTTGCCCAGAGACACCTTGACTTCCAGACCTTCAGTGATATCCTTGCCCTCAGGGGGTTCCAGCTTGGCAAAACTGCCGGGCAGCAGGTCGTTGAAGATTTGTCCAAAGTCGGCTGTGACCTTAGTCCACGTTTTGTGGAGAGCCTCCTTCTTGTACTCGTTCAAGTTGATGATGGTCTCTTCGATCTTGCTCTTGTCGCGAATGACAGTCTTCATCATGTTCTTCAGTGCAGCCTCCTTCTTTTCGACGCTGTCGATCATGTTCATCACCTTAGGGTTGATCTTCTTCTTCATTCCTTGGAACCGCTCCGTCAGGTTGCGCAGGGTCGACTTGCACTCGGCGATATTCTGGTTCTTGAAATCGTATGCCGTGTTGGACCGTCCAAAGTTATCCTTCTCGTCAGCGATCCATTCATGCTCCTCCTCCATGTGAGCCACCGTCTGCGCCGCGGCTTGTTGCTCCTTCTGAAGTTTCTCGAGCTGGTGTCCCAGCTTCTGGACCTCAAGGCCCTCTTCCGTAAGTTGGGAGTTCTTCGACTGCTTCGTCCGCTCGAGTTCACGCAGCTCATCATCAAAGCCGGTCAGCTTAGCTCTTTCGTCCTCCAAGTGAGCCTGAGCAATATCATGGGCGTCCTATGGATCATTAGCGATTGATCTTTAAGCCTTGACGGTATTCTCTCACCTTGATCCGAGCTTGTTCTCTCTTCAGCGACTGAATTTCTTCCATCTGAGCCTTAAGGGTGCTATCGGCCTCGGCGCTTTGTTCCTCGGCCGCCGACAGATCACCACCAACTTGCTCCAACTCTAACCGGGAGTTCTGAAGCTCCTTCTGCAGGGTCTTGACTGAATTGGAGTTCTTGACCAGAGCCTTCTTGAGGGAGTCCAAGGAAGACTGCAATTCCGCAAGTTTGCTGTCCTTATTGTCGTTGAACTCGCTCATATCCTTCTCGATCCGCTTGATATCCTTGGATGCTTCGCTCTGGCGAGTCTTTGCATCAGAAATGTCCTTCTTCAGCTGCTCGATGTTCGCTTTCATCTCTTCTACGGCGTGAATGATCTGCTTTCGTCAGTTGTACGTCTAAGAGCATAACGGAATGAGACTTACCGAGGAAGACGAGTTGCTGCTGATTTGCTCCTCCGTAAGCTTAATCTCGTGGGTCTTGAGGTCCAGCTCCTGCTTGATTGTACGAGCAGCATCAAGCTTCTTCTTCTCCTTCCTCATTGTTTCCTCCACAGTAGCCAGCTGCCGCTCCTTGCTCCGGATCTCCCGAGTAATCTCATTGAACTTTTGCAGGGTGACAAGCACACCGCTCGTGTTGGGTGCACTACCTCCGGACAGAGTACCGGACGGGTCGTAGACATCACCCTCAAGCGTCACACTCTTGATCCTGACGGAAGGGTCGAAAGTGACCCGCTTAGCTGTGTCGGCATCATTGCAAATGAGGGTATTGCCGAAGACGTAGTTCATTGCCGCAGTGACTTCCTCATCATAACCGATGAGCGACAGGGCAAGGTCAACTTTTCCTGGAGCAATCCTCTGCGCTGCTCCAATCTTCTCTGCCGAGGCAACAAACGAGGAAATCTTATTCAGAGGAATGATAGTCACACGCTTCTTCAGTCTACCCTTCTGAAGCAGCTGAGTACCGGTTTCAGCAGTGTCGACAACAACGTTGTACAGACGGCCACCCGCGCAGATCTCCAGTGCTGTAGCGGCCTGGAGCTTCTCCTTATCAAGGCTAAAGAGCTGCGCAACCAGGCCCTTGACCTTTGAACGATCGAAGTGAGGATGGGGATCAGTGTAGTTGAAATCGACATTTGCAACCTTCCTCTGGAGGTCGTCTGCTCTCTGACGCAACTCACGGATCTCTTTCTGGAGCTCGGTCTGCTGCTGGTAAAGCTCTTCCTCGCGACCCGGCTCAAATCCTAGCCTAGAAAGTTCCGATTCAAGCTTCTTAGCTTGCGACTTCAGTCCCTCCAATTCTTTCAGGAGACCAGAGTTCTGTTCCTTGGCCTTCTTCGCGCGTGGCTCCTCTTCCTTGATCCTCTTCTCCAAGTTCGCGATCTTGAGTTTGGCCTGCTCTTGTTCAGTCGCGGCCGTGTTAGCACGGTTACGAGCGTCCTGAAGCTGGCCTTGGTAACCACTTTCTTGACCTTCCTTGGAAGCGACACCAGTCTGCAAGGTCTGGAGCAATTCTTCCTTCTGCTCCACTTCAGCTGTCTGGGCGTCAAGCTCTGCTTTAGCAGCATCATACTGCGCCTGCAGCTTATCGTAAACCTTCTGCTTCTCCTTGAGGACCTTCTCCAGATCAGTAACCGTTTTCTGGACTTCCGTCCTCTTCTCTTTCTCTTCAGCAATGCTGGCATTCTTGAGGTCGAAAACAGTGGTCAACCGAACCAGCTCATGAGAGTGGGACTTGACCTCATCCTCCAGAGCCTGGAATTTACCACCCTTCCGTAGTTCCTTATCGCGGGCTGCTCTGACCCGCTTCACATCCTCCTCGAGGTGAGCAATCTCGCTCTTCAGCTTGGCCGCATTGTCTTCCAGCGCCTGCACCTTGTTTCTCTTTTGCTCGCATTCTTCTCCAGAAACCCGTAGCCTCTCATTGCCCCTGAGATAATCGTGAGCAACCACCAAGCGGGTCAAGCGCTCCAAGTCATTCTGGGTCTGCTGAAAGTCGAGGAAAGCACGCTTCTCGGACCGCAGCTTCTCCAGCTTGGGCTCGATTTCTTCCTTGAGAAGCTCTTCGATTTCGCGCAACTTGAGCTCTTTCTTGCCCATTGTCTTCACAGCCTTCTCCCTCCTATCCTCGAACATCCGTGTACCAGCTGCTTCCTCGATCATAGACAAGATTTCAACGGGCTTCATATTCAGGACCTTCGTAATCCGACCTTGCATAATCAAGAAATTGGGGTTGTTGATGTTCAGCTGCACACTCTGGAAGAGGTTTTGCACGGTCTGTTGCTGCGCACGGTGTCCATTGATGAGGTATTTGCTCGTACCTCCAAGAACGATCTGCCGAGTCACCGAGATTGTCGCATATTCCTCGAATCCGATCGGCGATTTCGCGGTGTCGCGGTTATCGAAGACAATCGTCACACTGGCCTTGGTCACACCAGCCTGGCCACGTTTGTAGATGAGATCCTGCAGGTTTTGCGCACGAACGGTAGACATGTTCGTGATACCGAGGACGAAACAGATGGCATCGAGGATGTTCGATTTACCACTACCGTTGAGACCGGTGATGGAGTTGAAGGATTCGTCCCTATGAAAGAAGTGTTAGGTCTGTCATCGGCAGGCAAATTGCACATTGAAGTGCGTCCCAATCCGCGCATACCATCCTGAGATCACCGTACGCACGGCGTACGATTTGAAGCCCTTTGTGTTCACAGTCAGCGATCGCACATCTCCGGGCTGCGGAGAACATGAACTTACGTCAATAATAATCTCCGTGATCCTCATTGTTGCGACTCTGATCCAGCCCCATGAACTAGACGATCAGGTGCATGGGAGGGGGGACCGAGGGAACAGTTGCGGGATTGATTGACGTCTGGGGAGCGATTTTGCGGGCGGTGTTTTGCCGTCGGGGCCCAGCGCTGTTTACGGTTTGCTCTTTCGGGGTTGGTGCGCGCTATCGTGATAATGTAATCATGGAGGGGTTACACGTGATAGAGGTGTGGGTATCAATAAAAGGGTCTACTTAGCTTATGTAGCGTTAATCAAAGCTTCCTTTCAACAACCGGTCTCGGTGGCGCAATTGGTAAGCTTACCCTTCGACATTTCATCACACCAATCAGTTACTAATTCAGCATTAAAGGTTAGCGCGTACGACTGTTAATCGTGAGGTTGAGAGTTCGATCCTCTCCCGGGACGTCCATTCTTTTTTCCCTTTCCTCTTTTTGCTCGGCTAGCATAGCCGTCGCTCAATGTCAAATGGAACCATGGCTTGTCTGCTCTTTCTTTTGTTCTGTATACATGGACAAAGACTCCTTGCCAACTCTATATCAAATCTGGATATGGCTGGTCTATTGCCCGATGTACAACATATAGACATGGGAGGCATTATGGCCATAGTCATGTTTCTTTGACAAACAAAAGCAGCAGGCTTGGGTAACAATGCTGTCTACGACCCCAAAGGAGCTTATAATAGGAGTCAGATTGTGTCAGGATTACCTGGCGGATCGATAACTTCACCGTATCCCAGTATTTTCAGTATGCGGACTTGGAGCTTTTATCATGCTGCGGGAAGATTTGACGGCATTCTTCCAGCTTCGATTGAGCTCACGGGCCTTTTGTAGCTCTGTAGTGTCTTTCGCCGTTTGGATCCTGGGGTCAACAACCGCCATCTAGAATTCTCGCGATGTCTTGGCCAGGTTGATGTCGGGCTTGATGGTTACCGTATGGTGGGATAGTGGTATGCTCGGGATAGCGATCCCTGGAAGTCATAGGTGCACGTCGAGTGTGTCATAGTTGGTAGTCTTTCGCCTATGTCCAGCATGCAGTTCTTCTGCTGCATCTTGGGCAGTGTTGACGGGTTAGCTGGCATAACAGCCATGGTCTTTTGGTGCATATATGTTCAATGGTATCGAGTATGCTTTCATTGACGAACACTGCGTGGGACTTGCCGCGTCAGTTCAGTAGTGGTTGCGGCACCGAGGCAGTTGCACGGGTTATTTGCACATTCTGATACTGCGCGCCTTGGTGTGCTTGAGTATATATAGGGCTACCTGATAGAGGTATGTGTGGTACCTTGTTCATAATTGTCTGAATAGCAGGGGCACCGTCTAATAGATTGTGGTACAATAGAGCGTCTAACGTATCCGCTCTTGGAGTCTAAACCTGCCAAAATGATATTTTCGGCCTCGGTCTTTTTTGGTGCAAGACACCCATCTGCATTAATATGAAACGCGACATGGGGCCCCTTTCGTCGGATGCGCTTCGGTTCTTAGCAGCGTTGGAACCTTCGATACTAGTATAAGTCGCAGTCTTGTGGATGCAGGGTATGCATTTTGCTGTTGTCTGGATCCTTGGCCCGTTTACATGATTGTGCACTGGCCCAGATGGCGTTCACAAGTGCGGGTAGTATATAGTGCCGCGGTAACGGATATATAGGTTGAATATAATGTAATATGGGTTCTGCTATTCCGAAAGATGTAGGCCACATCGCATTGCCATGAGAGCTGTAAGGCCAAGATAGGGACATATAGAGTGCTGAAGGGAAGATTGAGCGTATATATACCACTTTCACACGCAGATGACATTGTATGCAGACCACATGGGTCGGACTGTAGGGGTTGGCCGTCGTCCAATATCCATCGCTCTTTGAAATCGAGCATTGACGATACCTGATCTCGTCGCCGGCAACAACGAGTCGTCTCGGTGGCGCAATTGGTAAGCTTGCCCTTCATCAACTTCATTCAATCATTCAGTTACTAATTCAATATAAAGGTTAGCGCGTACGACTGTTAATCGTGAGGTTGAGAGTTCGATCCTCTCCCGGGACGTCCATTCTTTTTTGTACTTTTTTTACCCCCAACCCACGTCGGCTCCATACAGCCCGCATCTATAAAAGATACGGAGCATTCAAACTGAAAAGACCCCCATGGTCGGCTCAAAGGCGACCACAACCTGTGGCTGGCAGAGAGGACTGACCTCGAATGCAAAAACAGCGAACGCTGGCCCGACAACACTGGCCCGACAACACCTCATACCTTTGCTACCAAGAACGACCCCTATTGCATTAAGAACCAGCTGCACTTCATGGGAAGCCTGGCCGATAGAAAATCACATCCGTTGATATGCATACACAGTCGCTGTGAGCCATAGGATGACCGAACCGTGGCCTATAGACTGCACTAAGGAGACAGAAAAGCATATGAACCAAAGCATATGAACCACGGGAGACTTCATATACGAGAAGTGGGTGAACATCGCTATACCGTACGAGGAAAGATCCACCAGGCACCAGCACAGCCATGCCGCCGGCCTAAAGGTTGTGAGGCGAGCCTAGACCCTCACAATGGCAAAGATGCTTTACGATTTCTATACGGCCCACCTCCTATAATGATCGAATTGCCACTGTTTCTGGCGGTATACTCTGCCTGTACCGTACACAGTGCGCAGTATACTCAGCTACCCGACGATCGCTACCACATGCATCACAGCAGGTAACTAAGGAGTACTGTGAGTGATCAACTCGTCAGTGTGGCAAGAACGTGACGGTCGATTCGATGCCATGCGATTCGGGAAACATCAGGCTGTGGGCCATAAACATGGGATCCCAATTCATTGATCATGCTGCAGCATCCAGCCCAGCCAAGATACTGTCCGAGAGCATTCTTCTCTACTATTCGTTTCAGTCCAGACCTTGGTTATTCTAGGATACGCCTGAAAAAGCAGGTCATCGATGATGGATAACGACAATTCCTTGACCAGACACGCAACATATTTCGATGGCACAATAATTGCCTTGTATAGCAGTTGTGCCGCCTGGTGGCGTCATTTACTGGATGGTACGCATCGCTTTATGTTCGTTGATAATACCATAAGTAGACCCCTGCAACAACTGAGTAGTCTCGGTGGCGCAATTGGTAAGCTTTCACTTCCGAAATTCATCATATCTCTCAGTTACTAATTCAAATACAGGTTAGCGCGTACGACTGTTAATCGTGAGGTTGAGAGTTCGATCCTCTCCCGGGACGCTTCTTTTTTTCGAACATTTTTGGATTAACCTTGTTATACTCTTTTCCCCCGCCTTGCCGAGCCGGATAGTAGACTCGCAGACAAGCTGTCAGTTTGGCTGCCGTACTTCTGTGCTAACGGCCGTCAATCAACGTAATGGTGGTGTCGTCCTATACATGCTACCAACCGTGCCTCAGTCATATACGAGCACACCCCTGAGTCTGCTTATGTGTAATCCTTCCGTGATGTTGTTGGGTCTGATAGCAGTTCAACAGACGATGAACGCCCGTCTTACGTTCCATACGTAATCGAGTAGAGAGTGACTTTGGACCATCGAGTTTTGGTAAAAGATACGGAACAAGAACTATATTCAACGCCCAGTCTGTATTGGGAGAAAATAGAACAGGAGGCTGAACGTCTGCTACATCAGAAAATAAACCATGGCAGGCGTGTCAGACTTGATGATACTACAGTTATTGTTTCTGTAAACAATCACTCACGGCACGATCTTACAAAGCGGTTTAAAAAACTGATATTTGAAGGAAAGACTATAAATAAGCAGATACTCATGTGGCAAGATCTCCTCCATCAGCCTCGTCCAATATGTGGAGCAAGGTGGTATCCTGGAGATTCATAATAATATTCCTGATAAGAATACAGGAACAGCTGTATACAGAAGAGCAGCAACGGCTTCTAAAACATAATAAATTTACCAGCAGCCTCACGTCTGGCTCGACGCCTCTGCAAATAAACATTAATATCCCGTCATCACAGTCACCCCAACCCGCGGGCTCTTCCTTCTGGGCGTTTGAAGATGCTCCAAACTCGATTAAAGATGATTTGAACAACGTTCCTGGACTTCTCGAGGCAGCCGTGGAAGAGTATGCTACTTGGCATCTGTCACGGGTGGGCACTGAGAGCTACAGGTAAAATATCAGAAAAGCACGCGAAATTGCATTGGGGAACTATTTTGATATTGTATAGATCCGCAAGGAAAGTCTAGATTTCTTTGAGTGCCAAGGAGTGGTGAAGGTGTGGCACGTAGATTTGTGGGTTATACCAGAGTCTGGCTGAAGGAAAGGGATAAGGACACTGCTTGATGTACCTGATTGCAAAAGCCGAGGGTACAAATTTCCGACTTCGTGTCAACATATGACTATCTTATTGAGTGAATTGGATCTAAACTACAATAAGAAAAACACAGAAAGCGAAGTAGGACCGGGTAGGCTCTAACAGGAGCAATGATCGAAATGGCCAAATTCGTGAAGTCAACTCAAAGAAGATATCGAAAAACGCAAGTCCAAGTATTCAGAAAATACCTATAGAAGAATCATCGCGAAACCAGCGACAAACGCTGTTACTGCATAGGCGCCAAGCTGCCACAGCCCAATATTTACGCTGCTAACAGTTGCCATAGGATGGGCGGCACCAGTACTGGAAGATGGAGAGTTCAGAACAGAGCCACCGGTCGGAGAAGCAGTAACTGTGCGGGTCCCTTCAGCGCCTGCGGCATCGAGCAGGCTAGAGCAGGTGCTACTAGGACTTTTAGGGATTTTAGTGCTCGCAGCGCCAGCGAAATCACAAGCGGACGCAGCGTTGCCCTTGGCCTTTTGTTCCTGATAGTATCTGTTGAAAGCAAAGGACAATTTCTCCTTCGCACTACACACGCTGTAGGAGCCGTATTCACCGGAAGTTGCATTAGTGGAAATGCCATCACAAACCCCATAGCCACAGACGGTATTGAAAAGGTCGGCAAAGGTTTTATTCGAAACATCGTCCTTCACCACGCATTCCAAAGAGGCATCCATGCATGTGCAAAGATCGGGGTTAGGAGAAGGGGGTAGTGGACTAGCTCTGGCAAACCAGTTGCCGTCAATAGTAGGGCAAGATTCAAGAGCTGTGTTGGAAGGAGAATAGTCGGCTTTCTTGACACCTGTAGGATTGACGCTTGCGATTTGCTCAGAATAGCCGAAGAAGTCGGGGAGCTTGCTGGCAGTATCACCCTTAAGGGTTACTAAACCTATGGATTCCGTTAGGGAAGATGGACAGGGGGGAAAAAAGAGAGCTTAAACATACCGTAGTCATTGGCTTCCTGGAAGTACATATAGACAATACCCCCGGACCAAACCTTCGCCATCTGGTCACCGTAGAGAGCAGCCACATCAGTGAACTTGCGAGGCTTGACAAGGTTGCAACCATACTCGGCAAAGAACACTGGAACGGAATAATTAGCGAATTCCTCAGTGCGAGCTTTGTAGCCAGATTTCTCATAAGACGAGTCTCCACACCACGAGTACACATTGTAGCCCCAGAAATCAATACTTTCTTCCTCAGATTGACAGTTGAAATAGTTGGCCATATCCACACGAATTTCAGCGTCGTCATTGGTGGCATACCCAACAGCCATGGCGCGATAGTTCTTAGCTTTGATATATCGCTTTATATCGCGCACAGCAGCCTTCACAAAAGCGCTAGCAAGAGTGTTGTTCTTCTGGTTGGAGACTTCGTTCCCAGCAAAGAACCCAATAGTGTTGGTGTATTTAGCCATCTCATCAACCACATCAGTATAGCGTTTATATAGGGCATTATCCCACGATGGGTCGTTACGGTTGATCGACTCCGCGGGTTGCGCCATATCCACCACAACATAGATGCCGGCGTCGGTAAGGAGCTTCATGCACTCAGTATGGTCCGCTTCAGGGTCGATCGAATAGACACGGATAGTGTTAGTCCGGAGTTCCTGCAAGAGGGGAACATCTCGCTTGCAGGCGGTAGTATCGGCCAGAATGTCTTTGTAATAGGTGCCGCCAGTACTACTGCTGGGCAGTTCTTCTATAGAAATTGGTCAGCCTGTACATCAGAAATTATCCAGCAAAACCATGATAGTGGACCTTCCTACGCTGATAGGCAACACCACGCATGTAGCTAAAGGCATGCCAGTTAGTAAAAGCCTAGCTTTACATCGTACGTATGAAGGGCACATACAATTGGGTATCGTTGCTCTTGAAGAAGAATTTGCTACCCTAGAAGAGCAGTCAGCGACCAGAAGAGGGCATGAGATAAACAAGCATGGTAGAATTGCTTTGTCTCGAACTCGTACCTTGATCACTATAGGGTCCAGTTCGGCCATAGTAATACCGGCAAGGAGGGTTGCGCCGGCAAAAATAGTAGACAACTTCATAGTGAATTTCGACTGGCAAACTGGAAAACTATCATAAGCGAGAGGCGCTTCTATCACGTAAGATAGAAAGACAACTATATCGATGAAGTGGTAATGGCCGTTCCTGAGACCATTGGATAACGATAGAAAGGAGTTGAACGAGTGTGAACGAATGTAAAGGAGGGAATGAACATGAAAGTGACATGATGCGAAGGAAGTATAGAACTTTCGGAAGAGTAAGTAAGGATAAGTATGGGGCGCATCTTCAAGGGTCCTGTGCCTTAGCCACTATGTGTTTCTCCAATCCCGAACAAAAAATAGGCTTCTGGGGGTCCGTGGGGCCCAGGTGCAATGCTTGGGTCCACAATTCAGATTATGCCGACTATTTATATCAGAGCCCTCGTCGGTGCATTGGTGCAGAACTGGCAGCAGCCCAGTGGAATAAGATAGAAGTTTCTCCCACTTATGCGTCTTCATGTTCTGAGATTTTGGATCTTTGGATCTTAGAAGCAGCTTTCAGTGCTATCTCTTTCTGTACTAATAGTATGCATTCATACATTTCGTGCAGGAAAGTAACGAAGCCTCCGATCAACGCAAGACCCCCAGGAAACCCGCGGGTTGAGCACAGGCTTTAATCTATAACCGTGTCTTGGCAGACAATGCAAACATGCTGATAGGCCTGATTGATGCTCACGAAAAAGTGCTTGATTGGGATAAATCAGCACTTTTAGTTATGCAGAGCTGCATGGGTCTGTGGTGGTTACCCGCGGGTTCAGGTCATTTGCCAAGGAAAGCTTTTATCTGATCTTCCCAGATTATCCAATTCCAGCAACATGCCCAAGCCTTCGCTGCACACTCTTCACTCATTTCTCTAATTGCTGGCTAGAGATTACCTTCCAAGGATCAGAATAGGGTCCATTCTATGCACGAGCCATGTGAGATATCAAACTTGAAGGAATCCATTCCATTAGGCCATTCGCTCTTAGTCACAGTGGAGAGAAGAGATTTCACCGCAGGCGTGGCTAGACGCTGGGAGCAAACAAGTAAATTTGACGCAGGAAGCAGGAAACGGGGAAATCAAGCACGGTATAAGCAACAGAAACCCTACTGCCCCCATAAGCCAAGACAAAGCTATGCCAGACCGAGTACTGCACGACATCGTTATCCGATCAATATTTACTTACTATAACCTTCCAGAGACCTTCTTGAAAATATGCTAGTACTCACCGGAATTCCTAGAAAATTTTTGCGATTACCACTCCATTAGATCGAGTTATATATATCAGCTTCCCCAAGGACTGGTTGGGACAACCACTTCTGTATCATCACATCACCAATACATGCCTCTGATATAGCAAACAATGGCGCAGATATTTAACGAGTCGTCTCGGTGGCGCAATTGGTAAGCTTACCCTTCAACAATTTCAATCCAGTCACATCAGTTACTAATTCAATATAAAGGTTAGCGCGTACGACTGTTAATCGTGAGGTTGAGAGTTCGATCCTCTCCCGGGACGTTTCTTTTTTCTTTTTTTTTCTTTCTCGATTTTATGATAATAATATGAAATTGGTTTCTTCTTCGATCTTTCATTCTAATTTAAGTCTTTGCTTTTTCTCCGATAGTTTATGCGACCCGTGCTCAGTCCCCGGTAGTATATAATTTAGCATGCCTCGTCATGGAAGGACGGGATGGAAGTATACGAAACAGTCCCGGAGACTTCTCCACCAACTGATCAGACGAACCATACACTCTCATCCATAAATATGAACATCAAGACTGATCTAGAACGTAAAACATCAGCTGATAATACATCTATCCAATCCAAGCCCCGAGAGATGGTCACCAAGGTGCTCGCGGAGACATATCGGAGACTTACTCCCATCCTTCGCGGCCCCAAGGCACAGCCAAGCAGTAGATCGAGCAACAACCAGGTAGCCAAAATTGATATATAAAGGTGCTCTTCTCATGCGTATCCCCTCTCCTCGTTCTCAGCATCATCCAAACCAACTCTCATCTCTCTCACTATCATAAAATCAACACAACATTGTTCCTCCCAGTTCATTACCCAGAACGTCCACATCTATCCATCAAAATGACCCCCAAAATCTCTCCCTCCTCATACCTCACCCCAGCATTTGTATCCCGCTACCACCTTGCCGAGAAACTCACTGGCGTCTTCGTGGCCCCTCTCGTCCAGCACTCTGGTATCCTGTCTACCCCGAGTAACAAACCTATGGCTGTCTTCGACAATGCCTGCGGACTGGGAATTGTATCCAGCTATTTGAACAGCACGCTGCCTGAGGACGTCAAGAGACATTGGACGCTGACTTGCGGGGATATAACGGAGCTGATGGTGGAGTATACCAAGTTGCGAATTGAGAGGGAAGGGTGGGTGAACGCTGAGGCGAAGGTCGTGGATGCTCAATGTACGGGGCTGCCGGCGGATAAGTATACGCATGTGTTGACGGCTTTTGGTGAGTGGTATAATCTATGTGGTTCGTTGTGGAGGTTGTGGGGGGTGGGTGTGGTTTGAAGGAATGAGTGGTTGACTGACTAAATTGATCGTCGACGTGGGTAGCTTTTATGATGATACCTGATGCGAGGGCTGCGATGAGAGGTGAGTATTATTACTGGTTCCGTTGTGGTTATTTTGGATTGATACCTGAAGTGAAGCTGACAGTGTGTGATTGTTAATGGTAGAATGCTTCCGTATCCTCCAGTCCGGGGGTGTACTTGCGACTTCGACGTGGAGGAATTGTATGTCATTGATTTCCTCCCTTCATGATCGGGTCAACCCGTCGCTCTATCAAGCTCTAACCAGAAGACAAATCAGCTTCGTGGCTCGTCATCATGAAAGAAGCCATCGAAACCACGGCCTGGAACGTCAAGTTCCCCACCATGAAAGAGTTCCTGGCCTTGCATAACGAAGGCTGGGACGACGAGTCTTTCGTGAAAGCTCGGTTCGAAGAGGAAGGGTTCGAAGATGTGGAAGTCACTGCTGTGCAGAGGGAGACCTCATTGACTATATCCGAATTCATGGAGGTCGGTGGAGGAATGATCCCCATTGTGACCGGTGCCTTTTGGACACCCGAGCAGCGGGAGAAGTATGAGGCGAAGGCACCGGTGGTGATCAGGGAGTATCTGGAGGAGAAGTTTGGAGCTGATGGGGTGATTAGGATGGAGCCGGTGGCTGTTCTTGCGGTGGGGAGAAAGCCCTAGTCGATAATGGTACCGGATGAATTGGGTGCTGAGAGGTAGTACTTATGAGAGGTTGTTATTGACTCATCTGTTAGTGTTAAAGGAAATGGTCTGTTTTACGTGTTTATCAGCTAGTTTGGAAGCACCAGAAAGTGAGGTCATAGAAGTCATTGAATTCGCGTGAATGTCCTTATCCCGGATAGACCACTAAAGCTTAGAGAAACACCTGTTGCTCGGCAATACTGCAACACCTGAACAGTCACCTGAAAAACTGGCAGTAAACCTAACGCCATTTGATCCTATCCCCTCCCCGGTGTGTTTCCCTCAGACATTCATGAACTATGCGGAAATCCGACTCGTGCAAGACCCCGGTTTGGATCCATCCGGTTATCCAAGTCCTCGTAGCGGAGAATGAACTCGCGCTGTAGCATCCGGTCAGTAAATGCGGGATACGAGTCATAGAGGGACGACGTCAAGCAGAGACGAGGGTAGACATACCCGAACCTTCTTCCAACTGGCGGGATCCCACAATAGGTAGACGCCCCTTTCACTTACGCCGCGATCGACGTCAACAGGACCGGGGTACGTCTCATCGCGGGTAAGCCAGCACCGTTCGATCTTATGGTACCTCCATTTCCGACCCATGAGTTCTTCCGCAACGACCTCCTGCAGTAGATCTCTGGGCTGGCTGTAGAATATGTAGAACAAGGTCTCGTCGCTGAAACTCGGGATACGTGTCTGGAGAGGCTGAACATTGGCGACGTTGTAGCACGCCGGGAGAGCGAAATCTTGCTCCAGAGGAACTCCTGGCATGGAGGCAACGAACGGCGAGGCAAATGACGTATGTAAGGGTCTGGAACTGTGTGAGAAAAAAGCCTTCGAAGTGCAAAAAATTGCCAGAACATACTCTGGTTGATTCAGATCCAAACCTAATGTCATGAGATCCTGTCCGACCGCGAGACTTGAGACATCAGCGTTATCGCTATGAATCATGCGCAACAGGCCTGCCAGCCCAAACTTGTCGAGCTCGCTCATTTCGGCAAGTGGTAATTGATCAGAGCTTTGCGCAGCCCCTGAAGCTTCCTTCCCAGTAGCGGGAAACCCTGGCGGCCGCATAATGTGTTGTTGTTCGGTGTAAGCACTTTGGTTCGATATTACACTGCTGTTCAATTCCTGAATTCAAGTCAGCAACGGAGCGACAAGCGTCTCTGGTCGCGACCCTTACCTCCTTTTCTTGTCCCGGGACCCTGCTTGACCCCTGATTCACCGGCGATCGCGACGTTTCAATACCTGAACAGAAGCTTTAGTTTGAGATCAGGCTGACCGAGTCACCGAAACATACCCCCTGATCCTGCAGTGGCAGGCGACATTATCCGCTCTTGTCCGTTTACCGACGCAGCGACCATGTTGCGAGCTTGGGCAGACTGAGCCTGGCTCACGCCCGTAAATGAAAGGCCACCGTTGTAGTTGCCAAGCCCTGTACTTTGTATCAATGATCCTCTCCGATCTTGACCGAGGTCCGTGGTGATATTACGTCCGAGCGGGGGGAATTCTTCAATGTTGCCGGTTTGAGGTTGGCCCCCGGCACCTAACTGACCACTGATACCCTGTCCACCATTCCGGAAATCGTCCAAGCGGTTTGCGAACTGAGCGCCCGAGGGAAATACGTCGTCGTGAGAGGGTTGCGATTGCTGCTGCGGGTGGTGGGTTTGAGTCTGCGGGGCTCGTGAAGGTGCTTGGGAGGTAGCATGCTGGGGCCTTTGCACAGGGGTCTGCTGCATCGCACGTTGGCTGGCGTTCGCCCATACTAGATGGCTCGGGTTTTGGGTTTGCGATTGCGGAGACGCTCCAGATAACGAAGGGAAGTCTCTGGAAGGAACAACCAGGTTTCTCAGCAATAAGTTCGATGTGTCCTTCAGGAGGCCTATCCATAGACCTAGTTAAAAGGGAGAGCAAGCCACACTCACGATAAGTCAAGAGGAGTAGCAGGTTGAGAACCGCTCAAGCTCTGTGCAAATGTTCCCATCGTCCCAATGCTGCGCTGCTGGTTGCCTTGTATCCCCGGTGTTCCGCTGACGGGTAGGTTGAAGTTCCAATTCGCTCCGCTACCTGTTGGGTCCGACGCCGTTAGCTTTCAAGGCGGATCTACCAGTCGAGCCCAGACAATGAGTCGCACCAAGTTTGCCGTTTGGCAGGCGCGCCGATGCCAACGCCGCATTTCGAGCTTGTGCTTGTTGTTGGGCGGGGAAGCCGGACATGCCTCGCAAGGGCTGGGGGCCTGGTCCTGGAAGCCATAACAGTGATCAGCGACATGGCCAAGGTGAACGTGCCAAATTCGGGGGGGACTGCTTCACCAAAGCCGGGGGAGGGGCTTGGCATGGTGACGAGGAAGACTATTGCGGTCGCAGAGGAAGATCCATCTGGAAAGAGAGCTTGCAATTGAAGCCCGATGGATAGCAAGACGCGAAACCAAGCACCAGCCACCCTCCACACGGCACCATGAAGCTAAAAGAGGATGGGCATGAGAGAAAGCAGTGATCGGAGACTGCTGGGGTTGCCGTAGCAAGCCCGATCGGGAGGACAAAGGGAAGAACGTGAAAATCACAAACCTGGCCTATTCATGATGCAGACGAGACGGTTGGGCAGTACAGATGAAAGAACAAAGCTCTGCAGTGTGATTTAGAGAATAACAGTGGTACAGCATGTGAACGATAAGAAACCAATGTGCAGCCAGGATCTCTGCCCACACTGTGTTGCGCCGGCTTTGGGAAGTGGAGTGGCTGCAGACGCGCGCTTCTGGTTCCTGCACGGACCTCCATTAGCCGCCCATTCACGGCCATCCACGCTTTTTGGTAACCATGAGCACACGACCACGCACTGGATCAGGTGGATGATGGGGGAGTTCGGTCATGGATTTACTGGTTTCTTTTCCTTACGACAACATTATTATGCAGCTTAGGGAATATCTAGCGCTCGAGGTGTGGGAATGGCAAATTATGTGCATCCGTCTTCTTCCCAGCTATCTATGTCATCAATAGCATCACTAACGGCATCTTCTCCCACATTGTCAACATATGACATGCCTATTGAGTTCATCTAGTGTAGATACACCCAATCACATGGGTAGTAGAATAACCTATCTACACCCATTTTCCAGCCCCGAGTTTTCTCCCCACGATGTGCAGTAGGAAGGTCGTTCCCAACTGGTCGCACAGTGTGACCAGCCGCAGCCGCACACGTGATCTAGGCGCCAAAAGTCCGTCCCGTTCGCTTTTGATCCCGGAGGCCGCAAGGACATCCTCTACCGAGTCCCTTCGCCGTCACAGGGCTGCTTTACGCTTACAATGAATCGTCAGTCAGTTTTACGGCTGGCTCGCCAGACCGGAGCTTTCCCGCTGGCCGAATTGCCTCCTCCCTACCTCGCCCCGTCTCTCCATTTCTCTATGAACCGGTCGACCGTCCAGTGCTCGAACTTTTCTTCCACCGCCGCTGTTGCCGCTGGCCGTGGTGATCTCAACAAAGTCCGCGGCGTGTCCGCTATTCACCGCACTGGCCCCAAGTACAAATTGGGTGTGTCCAAGTACCCATTGCCTAAGCCGGTTTCCCCAGACGCTCTCCCGAAGCGAAATGCCACACCAGACCATGGACTCTGGGGTTTCTTCCCCACGGACCGGACCGCTTTGAGTACGCCGACATACGACATTGAATGCGGTTAGTTTGGAACCATATAAGGCTGTGGTGACGTTGTGATGCTTACTATTGATCGTTTAGGCCGCTCGTGGTCTATTCAGGAACTTCGTGAGAAGTCATGGGACGATCTCCATTCCCTGTGGTGGGTCTGCGTCAAGGAGCGCAATCGCATAGCTACGAGCGATATGGAAAGGAAGAGATTGAAGGCTGGTTATGGAGAGTGGGAATCCTCTGAGCGGGATCGTGTGGTAGGTTCAGTCCTGTTGCTGGTTTATGTTTCAAGGCTCATGAAAGCTACAAACGTCTTACTACGAAAATTATATACAACATTAATGGGCTGCTGCTCGCCTTGGTGCTCAATGTGCTAATGAATGGCTTTCTTAGATCCGCGTCACGCAAAACGGCATCAAGCACGTTCTTCGGGAAAGATGGTACGCCTGGGAGGAGGCACAGCGTCTCTACAGAAAGGGCTACCGGCCTCAGGAGGATAGCCAGGAGTAAGGGCATCGGCTCTATGAGGGATAACACAAAAGGAACGGGGGTTTGAATCTGGAAGCTCCGATAGAAACTATTGGTCTGTACTTTTGTATGTAGTAGTATGTAGTATATGTTCTTTTATTATTGGCAACGTTTGTTCTTTTCCTTTTCTTTTTCAATTACTTTCTTTGGTTCTCCTTGTCGAACTCTTAACTAGTTTGATTTTGGCGACCTGATTATCGAGACCCGGTGTTTTGTAGTCTATAGTTCCATCGAAAACCCTACTTACTGTACTTGGTCGTGGCGGAAAGGATGCCAGATCTAGACTGTCAATTCTCATAACTAGTGCATGATAGAGCCATATGGGAGATGAGAGCAGATAGTGTGTCCAATAGTCAGGGAGCTGGCCAGCTATTAGTTGTGTCGAAAGCGGAAGACATGATCGATCCACTGCGGCACGACCGATGGGAAAAGGGGCAGGAGGAGAACTCAGGAGGCGAAACTGAAGATGGGAATGCTCCATCAAATTAATTGCATGGTCGTAAGGAGAAAATCACCCTGAAATGCCAACGTTATTTGGGCTGGTGGAGCCGGGCTGGCGGGCGTTAAGACAAATAACGAATCAATATTTCCTGATCGATGATCCGCGGGGGGTGCCAAATCTACCCTTGCGACCTCCTTTCAGTTTCGCCCTCCCCTTCAACTTCACCGCTGCCGTCTCCGCATCTTCTCTCTTCCCTTCTCTCCTTCTTCCTGCACATCTTCTCTCTCTGCTGCTCATCCGCGTGCCCCTTGACTGCTTTAAGACTTCTTTCCTGTACATTCTTTCTTCATAGCCCTCCCGTCTGAAACCTTACACCATGGATGAGATTGCCCCCGAGTATGATGTTGTGGTGCTCGGCACTGGTATGTGCTACCCCGCCGCCGCTCGACGACAGCTGTACTGACACCCCTCCACAGGGTTGACCGAGTGTGTCCTCTCGGGGTAGGGACTCCTTGCTGCTTGCATTTTCACTGCAGCAGGTTACTGACAGTTTGTTCTACAGTGTTCTTAGTGTCAAGGGAAACAAGGTGCTTCACATCGATCGCAATGACCACTATGGAGGGTAAGTTGGGCAGCTTCTTGGTAGCTATCCGTCATCCCACCCGCCACTAACCGTGACTCCAGTGAGGCTGCCTCGGTGAACATTGAGACTGTAAGCGCCCATAAATGACCCTACGAGCTGGAAACAGCTTTATTTTGATTCTAGTTTACTAACAAATCTCCCGTGTTTTAGCTGTTCAAGAAGTACGGCAACGTCAAGCCCGGCGAGGAGCCCTGGAAGAAGTATGGTCGCGTCAACGACTGGAACATCGACTTGGTCCCCAAGTTGCTCATGGCCAACGGAGAGTTGACCAACATCCTTGTCTCCACCGACGTTACGAGATATCTCGAGTTCAAGCAGATTGCTGGCAGCTACGTCCAGCAAGGCAAGGGTCCCAAGGCTACCGTTGCCAAGGTGCCTTCCGATGCTGGTGAAGCTCTGCGCTCATCTCTCATGGGGCTGTTCGAGAAGCGGAGAGCTAAGAAGTTCCTGGAATGGGTTGGCGAATTCAAGGAGGAGGACCCCTCCACTCACCAGGGTTGGTTCAAGACTACTTGATCGTTGTAGCGCCGGCGCTAAAGCAATATAGGTCTGAACATCCACACCTGCACAATGAAGGAAGTCTACGACAAGTTCGGACTGGAGGACAACACTCGTGACTTTGTTGGTCACTCCATGGCCCTGTATCCTTCCGATGAGTACATCCTCAAGTCGGGTATGGCTCCCGAGACGATTAACCGCATCCGTTTGTACGTGAACTCGATGGCACGCTACGGAAAGTCCCCCTACATCTACCCTCTCTACGGTCTGGGCGAGCTTCCCCAGGGTTTCGCTCGTCTGTCCGCTATCTACGGAGGTACCTACATGCTCAACACCTCCGTTGACGACGTTCTCTACGACGAGAGCGGCAAGGTTTCCGGCATCAAGGCCACCATGAAGGACCGTGACAACGAGGCCGAGTCTATGACTTTCTCCACCAAGACCAAGAAGATTCTTGCAGACCCCTCATACTTCCCTGGAAAGGCCAGAGTCACCGGCTACCTGCTGAAGGCCATTTGCATCCTAAACCACCCCATTGACAAGACCGACGGCAGCGACTCGCTGCAGCTGATCATTCCTCAGTCGCAGGTCGGCAGAAAGCACGGTAAGCTCATTGTCTGGGATCTTTGCGAATGTGTCCGCGCTGACCCTTACCAGATATCTACATCGCCATGGTATCGTCGGCTCACAACGTCTGCCCCAAGGGCTACTACATCGCCATCGTCTCCACTATTGCCGAGACGGATGCCAACCACCACCTGGAGCTGGAGCCTGGTTTCGAGCGCCTGGGTAAGATCGAGGAGACATTCATGGGTGCCCCCATTCCTCTGTATGAGCCTATCGAGAGCGGCGAGAAGGATAACATCTTCATCTCGAAGAGCTACGATCCTTCATCCCACTTTGAGACCACGACTGGTAAGAAACCCGTTCATGACAGGCTAGCTGCAGGATGATCACTGACGTTCTTTAGACGATGTGCGGGACATCTACCGTCGCGCGACGGGCGAGGAGTTGGTCGTTGAGGGTCTCCGGGAGGGCCAGAAGCTTGCGGAGGAGTAAAGAAATCTCCGCGAAATGCATATTGGGGTAAAGTAATATCTTGACGCTACGGGCGCTTTTGAATCGAGTCATCCTAATTCCTTCTGGACTTTCTCTACGCTCATGAATCATACCACTATTGGACTCGCACACTCACTTGGGTTTTGCGTCTTGAAGTAGTAGTCGGGCCTGCATATACATTTATTGACCCGATAAAGTTGGTGTCTGGTGCACCATGACGTGTGAATAATTCTATCTTAACAAACATCTGCAGTGTAGAACTTGCTTTCTATCATTATGCGCCAAGGCCAACTCAGATCTTGATATCCGCGGGATCCGAATTGGCCTTATCATGCTCGGCGACGACACAGACACTCCCATCTAATTTCTGAATCTCCGCCCGTAGTAGTGCCATCCGCTTCCCCATATGAACCAGTTCACACACCACCCGGATCTCAGTTCCCGCCGGCACTGGGCGGATATACGTAGTCTTCAAGTTCCGGCTCACACCACCATAAGAGTACAAGCCCGGTTTGGACAATGCTATAAGCAATGTCGAGGAAAGAATATCAATCAAGGTGGCTGCGCACCCGCCATGCAGGTTCTGGAGGTAATTGCATTGCTTTGGAATTACTTTGAGAAGATACGAGACGCGGGCCGGGGGATCCTGAGTGGCGGACTCGAACCGGAGGTTGCATTCGTCCGGGAAGAAGTCCCAGGCCTGTGCGGATGGTTAGCATGCTGTTTGCGGATGGGGGATGGAGGACAAAGATAATGATGTATAGTACGTGCCTCCTCGTTCTTATTCAATGTCGGAGGCCCCGTAGAGTAGCTGTGCACGAGCTGCTCGAACGGGGTCAGTTGGGATAGCGGACGAACGCTAGGTGCTGGCATCTTGGATGGTCGGAGGGGAGTTGTCGGAGCCATGGCTGCGGTTGTATGTATGAATGGATGTGACTAATTTTTGGGCACGTGTCTTTTCTGATTAGGTTGCCAGTATGAGATTCCTGTAAAGGGTTAGGGGGGAATTCTACTTTTATAGCTAATTGAGCGAGAAAAGAGGACATTATTCCATAGCATGGGTGATCTCTCATAGTCCGATGTCCTTGGATAAGGGTCCAAACAACCGAGGTTGCCGGCAGACCTTAAACCTGCTTGTCCGTACAGACGTCCTACTCGCCCTGGAAGCTTAATGTAGCTGCTCTATGTATCTGACTTATCGGTTCCTTTCTTGGTAACACTTGTTTGTCTTTAACTTCATCGATCTCTTTGGTTGGGAGATTCAACGTGGGTATTTGCCCCGGAATTCGGGCCATGATATACAAGTTATGCCATGATGCTTGTGATCCTGACCGGTGGAATATTCGTCATGGACCTATTCTTATCCCACTTTCAGAGAGATAACCTCAGAGAAGTCGGAGATAGTCTATACAGGTCTGTAGTGATTCTGGAAGGATGTTGCTAGTATGTATTTTTCATTATGTTCTTCTTCAGCTTGTCTGTCGAGAATGATGCACCTGACCTCGCATCATGCAGGCTGCCTCAGGCATGATAGGCTCCCGTGCCTGGCCCGACTCCGAGAGACTCTCCGTCAACAATCAATACAATTCTTTCATTGAACCGGCCCAGTCCATGTGAATAGCTGGCAGTGGCTCCTATCAAATCTATCTTAAATATATTTTCTGCTTAACCAAACACCTAATTTCTTGTTCCCTCTTCCCGACCAGTGATCTCATCGAATCTCCCCGGTCGCAGTCCAAAAATATTTCCTTCTCCGCATCTATCCCTCCGCTCCCAGTGCCGTACCTCTGATGTTTGCTATGCGCGCCATTGACCTTTCCTAATAATATACCCTGAAACGATAGACGATTGACACAACACTGCACCCGCAGTTACGGGTGGTGCAGCCAAATCTCCCCCACCAGCGCAATACCCATTTCGAAACAATGAAGGACCCGCGCGCCAGCAAGAGGAGAAGGGTGTCGGACGCACAAGTGGTTGACGAAGATGGAGATACTACCATGGGCGAGGGCGCTCAAGACGCACCCACCTCGCCAGTAATCGAACAGACGAAAGCCGCGTCTCCTGCAGCCGAAGAGCCAGAAACGCCCGCTACATCGAGATCAAAGCGGCGGCGATCTTCGCCGGGCGCCGCTGTGATTGAAAAGGAGAACGACGAGGTACAAGCTACAGATACACCTACGAGGGGTGGAGTACGGTCGAGTGGGCGACAGCGCCGAGCGCCGCAGAGGTACGGAGACGAGGTCGTGAACACGCCATCGGGCAGGAGAAACGCTTCTACACCAGGTGCGAACGGGTCAACGACGAGGAGCGCCCGCAGGGCTAAATATGTCTCGGAAACGGAGGGTGACGAGGAAGAGGAGGAAGCAGAAGTCGACGACGATGACGACGAGGACGAACCGTCTCCGCAACCGAAAAGACGACCGGCACGGACGCGGTCGAAGAAGGCCACAGTTCGGTTCGAAACGGATAAGGACGATGCGTCCAAGAAACGGGATGAGTCGCAGATATCTCCTACGCCGGATGATTATCAGGATGGGCTAGAAGATCTCGTGTCGATGCAGTTACAACAGGATCTTGCCAGCAATGACTTGACCAGCACTGAGCAAACCGTTCCCGCCAACGGGGAGCCGCTTCCAGACTATGCTGCGAAACTCCAAGCGCTTGTGCAAGAAGGTCTGACAGAGGAGCTGCGGTTACTGACAGGATATGTTACGCAGAAGCTGAACGGCAAGAGACGGGTGCCACTGAAAGGGCTCGAGACTGAGTACCACAAGGTCAACCATTTGATCGAACAAACTGTTGCTGTCGGTGAAGGTAACTCAATGCTACTTCTCGGATCTCGCGGAAGCGGGAAAACTGCGATCGTTGAGACGATTATCTCGACGTTGGGAAAGTCGTACAAGAATGACTTCCACGTTGTCCGTCTTAATGGCTTCCTTCATACAGACGACCGATTGGCGCTCCGCGAAATGTGGCGTCAGCTTGGCCGTGAGACAAACACTGAAGACGAAGCTGGCAAAGTTAGCAGCTATGCTGATACCATGGCTACACTCCTTGCTCTTCTGTCGCACCCAGAGGAGCTCTATGGTCCGTCCAATGAATCAGGTACTGCGACCGCTGCAAAATCCATCGTCATTGTTCTGGATGAATTCGATTTGTTTGTTACACACCCTCGCCAAACACTGCTGTACAACTTGTTTGATATCGCGCAGGCGCGCAAGGCCCCAATTGCAGTGATTGGGCTTACTACCAAGGTGGATGTGACGGAAATGTTGGAGAAGCGAGTCAAAAGTCGCTTCAGCCACCGATACGTCTACGTTCCACTACCACGATCCCTGGAAACCTTTTCTGACATTTGCTTCGCCGGACTTAACCTGGAAGACGAGGAAATTTCGGAACTGCTTGAATTGGCTGATGCCAAAGAGCGAGCCGTCCTCCACTCTGACAGCTGGGGCCGCTTACTGGAAGGATGGAGAGCTTATCTGCAGGTAAGTGCGCCTCATTGCGCGACAAATAACCACACAGACCACGTTTTGCTGACCCTAGCGGGCAATTCCAGGGCCTATGGATCGACGAGGCGTTCACATCCCACCTACGAAGGATATACCATCAAACTAAATCCGTGAAGGAATTCTTCACGAGCGCTTTGATTGGACTGAGCGACCTCTATCACAGCACCCACTTTCTTACTACTCCCGAAGGAACGTCTTCCCTGGAGATCCCCACCGCTACCACCTTCACCAGTCACCTCCTATCCTGCCCGGACCCTGCCCCTCTCCCATTCTCCGCGTCGACCACCGCCTCCGCAAGTCCCTCATCTCTCCCGCTTTCGCTTCTCCTAGCCGCAACCCGCTTAGCAGCCCTGTACGAACCAGGCCTCGAGACGACGCAGCTCCAGAGCGCTGCGCCACTAGCGCTCTCCTTCCCCGCAGCCTACGCAGAGTACGTGCGACTGCTAACGACCGCCAAGACGTCAGCCTCGGTGTCCGGCGCAGCGGTGACTCCGGGACGAGTCTGGGGTCGGGACGTGGCGCGCGAGGCATGGGAGAAGCTCGTCAGCTGGGGGCTGATCAGCCCCGTTGGCGGGGGCAGTGGCACTGCAGACGGACGGATGTTCCGGGTGGAAATCAGCTTCGACGAGGTGGTCGAGATGGCCGGCACGGGAGGATCATTAGGACGGTGGTGGCGGGATGGCTGAGCAGGAAAAAAAAGCGAACGTTGCCCTGCACGGTGCAGGGAACTGTCCGTGTGAGGTGAGGGGGGAAAAAGGAAGGAAGGAAGGAAGGGAAACTCAGCCTTGCTTAGGTTCAACAACGGGATGTAGGTGTCTTAGACTACTTACTTGTACTAGTAGTACTATGTTGCATTGCATGAAGAGGAATCTTACACACATTGTCACATTGCACGTTGCACATTGCACATTCCATTACTCCACAGGTTGAGGGTGGGACGGACGGGTGGAAGGTACTTACTTTCTTTGTTTATTTCGTACGAAGCATTCATCTGCCTATCCCCATCATACTAGGCAGCAGCAGCAGCAGCAGCAGCTAGCTACCCAGTTGCCTAGACACAAACAAACAAGTAAAATATAGATGGGAATCTGCCTAGACGTCTGCCTAGGCGCGGGGGAGAGAAACAAGAAAACAGACAAAAGATGATGGAGGGGAAAAAGGAAACTGAAAATCCACCTTGCAGAAAGCCTAGCGATAGACATAGTCTAGTCTAGTCTAGACAGGTTTACTTATACTAATTTGTCCATTCCCCACATAGAAAGAATCAGATTATGTATCTAGCGGAATGCGAATGTGTGTCTAGTATGCATGAGCAGCAGCAATAAGCGGCTGCTTTAACTTGATCAAGAAGGTGGGCGGGTTATATTACTACCTACTTACTACTTACTAACTACTATTTATTATGTGATTAGTTGTTGGTTGGTTGAGTAGCTACAGTAGTGTTGAGAATCAGTGGACATGATGAAGCCAGCCAACCCCTCCTTTGGTGGGTGGGCTTTCAACCCCACTATACTATTTGTTGACTTAGTTGGCTAGAATTGTCCGTATTTTCTGGGGAATGGATATAGTCTAGTATGTGCCGTGTTGGGGGATGACGGTATGAAATATATATACTAACAGATCTGATGGTTAGCTATCCCTGTAACTCGTGGATTCAAGGTATCAAGTCATCAGGTGAGGTTAAGAGGCAAAGCTGGATGCATATGGTTTTATAGTACTATTATATGATTGATTGGGCAACATCCATGCATGGAATGGTTGACGACTGACCCGAAAGGAAGATTGATTGAATTGGTCGGATGTAATGGAGTTGGTGTCAATAGGTAAGAAATTTTGAAGTGATATTATTGTTATGTATTGGGGTTGTTCAATTAATGATAGTTAGTATGAATGATGGAATTAATGATCAAGGATTGTAGTGCCGTGTTATAACGTAAATTTTACATATAGTGTCATGATCAATGGGA